CAAGTGCATTACGCATAGCTTCGACATTGTCGGAAGAATCAGCTGTAATGAAAACGCGAAGCTTGGCTTTCTTTCTTTTTCCAATCAAGGACGCAAGAAGAATACTGATTCCTCCATCTTGTCGGATCCACCAGACATCGATATTTCTTTGCGAACCGTTTTTCTGTTCTTCAGTGTTCTTGGAGACAATCAAGGCGCAATCTCTCTCGGCAGCATGACGAGCAGTATTGAAGAATAATGAGTATTTTTTTCTGTTAGGGCGTTTATTTTTATATAACATTCAATTTTAAAAAATTATGAGTCATATTATCAATAATAATTTGATTTACAAGACTTGGTAAAAATTTATATTTTAAAAACATAAATTTTGCAAGAATGAAAGATGAAACGCTTTTCTATTAGTTACAACTGTAGGGAAATTCAGAACAATACAGTTTGGCTTAAGACCACTGATTCCTATGCATTGACAGATGAGTGGAATGTTTTCGGCGAGTTTTGGCGAAACCTTAGAATAGTTAAAAGAATCTAGTCGAGGTGGTTGAAGGTCCCTAAATAGAGGACGCTCTTATATCCGAGCATAACCAGATAACCAAATAGATACAAGATAATAAAAAAGAGCCAATTTACGATTTTGCGGAGAAGAATCACGATAAATGGTGTTGTTAAAATTTGAAATCGTACGAGGATGGCAAAACTGTGGTAACGGGCTTTGAAATTGACAATTTTGAAATTAACGCCGGAGCGCATATCGACACAATTTTCGGTAACGCGACTTTAAGATCCTCGTAATTCAACATTTACTTTGCACGAAAAAATAATGAACCATTTTGAAATATTTTAGCATTTGAACGAAATTTGCTAGTCGCATAGATTTATTCTATTTTAGCGTTTAACTGTTTCAGCGTTTCAGTAATTCAGTTAACCATCAACATTATTGGCAGTCGAAAAGGGGCATATTTTTCAAACTTTAAATTTCAATTTACGACAAAATTTATTTATATAGTTAATTTTTATTTTTCGCTTTTCATAAGTGCTGCGTAGCCGCATCCCTTGCCCGCAATTTTTCTATTTTTTTCTTTTTAGAAGAAGCAAAATTTAGTGCACCCTTTATCCGCGCTTTATGAATAGGGAAACTCCTCCCATAACTGTACCAGAATTTATCGCTTCCCATTTCTTATTCATAGACTTTTTTTACTTACTGCAATAGAACACTCGACTGGAACGATGTTCATCTTTTTAAATTTTTCTCGTAGGTCCATTTCAATATCGTCTTTATCCTCCGAGTAATCCTTATATTTTCCAGGAATTAGTGTTTTGATAATCGTGAGACCTCTCCCCTCCTTCAATTGAGCCACGAATTCTAAATTTTTTTCCATTAGCACCCAAAGTCGATTTAACCAAAATTAGATGCATTGTTGCGAAAATTCCATACATAAATTTATCAGGAAAATCTAAATTTATCCTATTCCAAATATGGTAGAAAATTCGTGCTCCCGCTCCCTCCCTGCTCCCTCACCCAGAACAAAGGGAGCTTTCTCGCAAAAAATCCGTGTTCATGCTCCCTCCCTGCTCCCAAAAAGGGGAGCTCCAAATTTTGCTCACTTCTTTAAGTTTATCATTTTATAAAGTAAACTTTAAGTGACAACATCATCGTTGTTAAGTTATCATATAGCGATGATAAAAAACGTATAAATAGGCAGTACTTTCAATGATAGAGGTTGACTTCAATGTTTTACTATTTGCGAATCTTCAGAATCAAAGATAAATTCATTCTATGGAATTTAAAAAACCAAATCAATGTTAAATTTTGACAACTTATTTATATTTAATTTCTGAAGAAACATTTGAAAATCAAACAAATCAAATAACGTCTCTTCTAATTTAAATCTGCGCAAACGCTGTATCTTTATTTATAATTATGCTAATAATCTGAGAAAAATACATTATTCTGAAATTTTTAAAATCAAACTAGATGTATTTTTGATTATTTATTTATATAAAACTTTAAACGTTTTTGAAAATGTCGTATCAATAAAACGTCTTTTTTTTTTAAATGCTATAAAGTAAGCGTGTCCCATTTTTGGTGCGCATATAAGATTCTAGACTAAAAATTGTTGATTTTTAAAATTTTTTTTAATGAGAAACTTGTGCCCCTGCTCACTCCGTGCTATCAAAAAAGGGAGCTTCCAGTGGGAGCTCCCAATTTTGCTCCCAAAAATTTCGAACTCTGCCTGAAATATCTCTTTTTTACCTTTAAAAACTTTTAAAAATCGAGAATAGAGTCTATTCAATAGACATGCTCAAATCTATGATCAAAATGAGGTAAAATGATCAGAATCTAATGCAGCTTGAGTACAGTTGAGCACAGGTACATTTTCGAAGATATCAGCTTCAAAAATATGTACCGAATTTTGGGTGTTCGCATTAGTTATATTTTTAAAAAACTTTACAGAAGAGCTTTTAAGCAACCATTTTGTTGCATCTTATTGCCTGTTTGAAAATATTAATTTTCTGCGCACCGAAAAATAGGAAACGCTTACTTTATAGTATTTTTCTGAGAAGAGACGTTTTTTTGACTAGATATATTAATTAACGTCTCTTTTAATATTTCATATAAATATATAGCCAAAATAACATCTAGTTTGATTTTAATAGTTTCAACAAAATTTATTTTTCTCAGATAATGAGCATAATTATTAATTGAGATACCCTTTTTTGGGAGCAGGGAGGGAGCAGGAGCACGGATTTTTTTACGAGGGAGCTCCCTTCTTTTCAGGGTGAGGGAGCAGGGATTTTCTACCAGATTTCGAACTCTGTTTCGACCACTGTTTCTACGCTTTTTCCGGCTAAAAGCAAAAAAACTACCAAATAGCTCTGGATGTTTGATGGTTGAGGCAAGATCATCATCATCCAACTCATTGAAGACGAGCACTTGTGGTCGCCAGGATTTCGTGTGGCTTGACAGATGCTCGTTTAGTTGACACATTGCGCTAATAGCTTATCAATGGTTGAAAATTTTACATAATGAAAATAACAAACTGTTTTAAAAAGCCCGAAAGATTGATGATGATTCTATTCTATCGACCATTGTCCTACGGTTGTGTACATTCCAGTGATTGAATCTCCCCACTCTTTTTTGCCACCAAAAACATTGACGCAAATGAAAATCGCACATGCAAGAAGCAAAATTATGAATGCGGCAGCCACATTCGTTATAAACATCAGAATCAAACAGCAAATACAGCCGACCAGAGAAATTGTCCAATGATAAAACTGAATAACAAGGTGAATAAGGCTCTCGAAAAAAGGTTTCCCTAAGGGTGACATGGCTTTTTAAAGTGGGGTTAGGAGGTTTCAAAAATTCAAGATGCTTTATGTTTATCAAGACCAATTTTTTTATGGTAAAATATTATTTGTTTTTGTAATAAGCAATTAAATTGGTACAAAAATACAAAAATTCTTAATAACAATGTATTTTCTGCGGATATCTATTCTGGAGAGACGTTTTTGCATCTCAAAAATAATCGTATGTTTCCTTTCAATATTTTTTGTTTAATGTGATAAGTCTTAACCTTTTTTGACCTTTATTGTTATGGTCCATAAGTTATGGACCATAACTTATGATAACAACAACGAGAGTCGAGTCTCGAGCCAAGCTCGCAGAATCCGAAGCTGAGAGGCGAGCGCGAGCACCAACTGCGAAGCGCGAGCTCATCAGTCAACTCGGAACTACAGCTCAGAATCAAAGTCGTGCTCGAAGTGAGACTTGCGAGCGAGTGCCCCTATAAAAGTACCTGACCATGCCCATTTTCGCTCACTCTGGCCTTGCCCCAGAATCACAAATAAACACTCTTTTACGTCAAATTTAAAAGTAGTATGCTCACTTAGCAGGAACTTAGCATATTACAACATTATAACAATGAAAAAAATGGAATTAGTGGAGCTAGCTCACATTCAGTTGAATCCGTCATTTTCAGGAGGAGTGGGAGTTGAATGAGAGGGGTTAACCGAGGCTTTATCTGAATCAACGCCGAAACGCACAGCGACCAATTAATTTGTACAACGCTCTTCAATACCATTTCAATACATTTGGAAGTTTGCAAATTTACTCATATTAATGTTTTGATATCGGTATAATATAGGAATGAAATTGAAGCTTAGCGTCTGAGAATTATTCGTGCAAATCATTTATACAGTGAGCTAATCAGTTTCATTGTTTAAAAGGGGTAAAAGGGGCATACCAATTAATTGGGATGATCTGCGTTCGACGTTGAAAATTTTTTATGCGTACCGGTGGTTTTAAAGCACCTCGATTTAATTTAAGGTGAGATGGGTTGGTTTAAAATCACCTCGAGATTTATCGAAGTCTGGTTAGGTGGGGTGCTTTTAGAAGAAATATTGAAAGAGCAAGATTGTGCAAAGGTGAGGTGATTGAGGTGGGGTTTTGTAAAATCTGGTCTGAAATTTTTCATTTTTGGTTATCGAGACTACCACTAATACCCTTTCACCTCTTACCTTAAATGTTGGTCGCCACATTGGTAATTTCATCAAACTATTTATCGTTGTTGATAAATTCACAAAGAGGTAGCACATAAGGTAGAAAATTGAGATGATCGGATTTATGGCTTCAATTTCACCGATCCATATGCAAGCCAAACATATGAGAACTAAATATTGAATAAATTGAATTTATACTGTAAAAGTCTTTTATTAATAGGCTATCAATGAAAACCTATCATTATAAAAATAACATACATGTTGGAATTATGGCAATAGTTGGCTCGTTTAGTACGCCACGTCCCCTCGCAAAAATATTGAATTTAGGAATAACATCGTCCTTAGCAATTGCCTGTAAAAGGCGAGGAGCACCAGTAAGCGATTGAAGCCCAGAACCAATTGAAGCAAATAATGAACCAATAAGAATTATCCATGGGTGCGGCCAAGCAACAGAAGCATTCATAAGTATCTTTAATTTTAACCAAAAAGTATATTGAAATTTGTCATACTTGATTTCCGTTTCCGTTGTAAAGTGCGCTTCCAAATTTATCTCGCATTAAAGCTCCATCAGAAATAAGACCAATAAAAAGTGTGCTTGCTAGGTAAGCGATACCGGTGCTCAAAATAGCTGCAATCGTGCCACGTGGTATAGATTTTGATCCGTTCGCAAGGTCACCTGATCTATTAGATCCTGCCATGATTCCTGTGACAGATGGAAAGAAAACTCCAATAAGCACCATGATGTTCGTAAATTCATTTCCAGAAGAAAGAGTTGATGTCACGTATGGAAAAGAAGTTTCTGTGTTGTTGATATCGATTTCTTCGCATGCATCTTTGTTCTCAAAAATATCTAATAAGAGGTTCATCGTGATTTTATCAGAATCAACAATATAGAAAACCAAGATTTAAGTATCTTACAATAAAAAGAGGTAAAACTTTGTTTAAGTTTAAGCTCCCTCATTTCTTTACAAAAGCTCAAGACCTTTTTCAGCAATCGAGAAATTGCTCCCCTGTTTTTTTATTATTGTTTTACCTCAGAAGAAACATGTTTATTGAGGATGACGTTTATCTTATCAGTTTAACTTCAGGGGGTAGAAACAGCTTTCTCGATTTTGGACCGTAGCTACATAAAAGATAATATCAGATTTATTTATGTTTACAGAATTTCCTCATAAATGCTCCTTAAAAAGGGGTTCAGCTTCACAAAATGTGAATGAAATTTGTTTCCCTGTTACGTGACTCGAGATATTCGAGCTTGAAAATGTGCAAAAATCGAGAATTTCGGAGAGATTAGTTGCTTCTGAGCCTAATTACTCAAAAATTTGATGATAAACCAAATTTCGAGGGAGATGTTCCTAGATGTTAAATGTTTCTGTCTAAATATGAAAAGAAAAATTGAAAATCAAAGATTTTCTTGTCTGTAGCGCCGGTCAAAAATAACCTATTTTCGAAAAAAGCTGTTTCTACCCCCATAAAGAAAAAATTATTTATCTGTTGATGAGAAATTTTGTCGCGGAGCCATCGTCCAAAAAGTTCAAGATAGAAAAAAATTCAACTTACTACATAATTTATCTACAAGAATTTGTCGCCTTACCCAGATTCTCCCGTAGATATTTATGCAAATAAGTAGTAGCAATCTCAGAATTCTGTAGCAATGAAAAATTTGTATATCTTTTTTTGAAAGAGACGCTACATTTTTCGACAGAATAAACGTCTTTTTTCCGGTTTATTCAATGGTCGTTGTGATTTTAAGATCTCCAATTATTAATAAATAACCGCGTTAAACGCTTGAGCGGAGCGAGCAATTGAGCGAATAGTCCAAAAAGAGCCGTGAGCTTATCAAGCGGAATTTGAGCGAGCGGACTCTAAGCAGTTTCTCTCAAAAAACATTTTTTCAAATTTTTTGTAAAGTTTCGACTAGCGTCGGAGATAAATTTCCCAAATGCAGTTGAAAAAATCGAAAGATTAGATAGAAAAGTGTTTTTTACCAATTGTTTCGCTCGGTCGCCGCTTTCTCACGCTCAAGTACCGCTCACCGGTCAATAAAAATTTGAGCCCTGAGAATATGATAGAGAACCTTTCCTTGTATTATTTCATTGCGACGAAGGTGAGCAACCCAAGCATCATCTTTGCAAATCCACTGATGCTGATGATCATCTTTATGACGATCAGGGAACTCAATAAATTCGAATTTATCACATTGAATCACATTTTCAGTTTCATTTCTTCGATCTTGAAAATATAATATTAGCTTAATTTAGCTTCTGATTTACCTGTAAGAAGCTCTGGAATATTAATACGCCCATTGTGTATTCTGTAATGCTTAGGTTGCCAATTCCAGTTTTCTTCGGAATAAACATCAGCAGATATTTTTCGAGAGAGACCAGGAACTCCATGTCTATTCCAAACAGGTGCAGCAAGAAGGGATTCGTATCGACAACCAGCATAAGGGGCTAAGAAAAGAGTTCCTAAATGTCATAAGCTATTCAAAAATAATAGCAGAATAAGAAAGAAACGATCGATCACAAATAAGGCTGATTATGCGAAGCAAAATACAATGAATTTTACTAACGTTTAACGAACTCTCCTTCGGGATCAAAATTAACCAAATTGTGAACATCATTATCGGCTTGACAGAAATTCTTAAAAATTTCAGTAGGAGTCTTGCATTTCCACTGATTTTGGTCATAGACGCATTTTGCCTGATAGAAATGAGTATCATTGCGGCCATTGACTGTTGTTCTTGGTAAGCAAAAATCGTTGGTATCAACATCGGCGCAGTCATTTTCTTTATTATAAAAGTCAGTTTCCACAAATTTAGGCATTTCTTCAAGAAATTTGAAGCACAAACCATCACGAGGTCTCTGAAAATCTTTGAATAGAAAAATCAATGCAGAAAGATTTTTAATCTGACCTTTGCAACAGTATCTCCAATCATACACATTATGGTATTCATATTTGGGCCAGATGCGGATGAGAAAAATCCAATAAATAGGGCAAGAGTTGACACAATAACGCAGATCAAAACTGGAAATGCTAGCTTGTTGATATATTTCATCCCTGCAAGCACCACAAGAGCCATGCAAATAAGAAGGATCGTTCCCAAAACTCGGAAATTATCGTACATGCCAGAAATACCAAAGGAGGATCCAAGGAAGGACTCACCGTCGATGTCAAATATTCGAAGGACGCCCATGTAGAGTGTCACAATTTCGATGGAACCTGAATTTGCAGGATGAATGAAATAGTTTTCTTAGGAGTTTTCAGCGCCACACCAAAGTACGCCAATGTCGCGGTGCAGGGCCTCTTTGCCCTTGATTGTTTTCAATTTTTCACGGACAAAAATATAAAAAGTGAATCAAAATAGACGAAATTCGGATACTGCTGAGATCCAGGAGGATCAAATAGTACGATTAAGCCCTTCCAATAAATGAATAGTTGCACTGTAACAGGGTGTCGGGCGGCGACGGTACAAATATGACTGGTATAGCAGTTAGCGGGACGGAACTGGGCACCGATACTTCTTGCCCTGTTTCGCACCCCGGGTATAGCTGAGGTGGAGCTCTATCCAAAAGTGAATTTTATAATGGGTAAAAATTGTTTATCAAAAAGATTATGATTTTTTACCGGCAGGACGAAAAATTTGTACCCGCGGTATAAATTCTACTTTTGCACCGCGGCCGCCCGCCTCTCTGTAGCACGATTCTCGGAGATTGCGGGCGACTACGTTTGTAATCGGTTCTAAGAACCGGATAAGTATATAAAATAATAATGAGCTCTATTTAATAAAAAGCTTTAAAACGGGTGTAGAGCGGCTACGTAACAAATACCAGTAGTAGTTAAAATTGTTACGGCGTTACTAAAACTCAAAATAAAAATCATTCAACGAGTGTGCGTTTCGCGCTTGAATTGAAGAAAACTAGTTTTGGTTTACCTTATTGCGTATTCTGTCAAAAATAATAAAGATTACGAAATTGAAAATAATTTTTATTGCGAAAAAAATCTAAATTTTTGTAACGGCGTTAAAAAATTGTAAAGGCGTTACAAATTTGTAACGTAGCCGGCCGTCCCCCTGAAAACTCATACAGTTAAACTAAAAAACTTCTTAGCAGATAAGAACTATTATTAATAGTCTATTTACTTTCATAAGAGACGCTGTAAGAGGCTGATAAATCGTCTCTTCCGACAGATACATAAGACAGAATAAAAGGCGCATTCCAGCCCCGTTCCTTGATTTTTAATTTTAAGGGGCTTGACAGAGGCCTGGAACTCTAAATTGATCAATCTCAGTTACGTCCCCAACCCCGCCCACACCCGTTGATATTAAAATTTGAATTATCCTTGTTTTGTTCTTAATTATGGTTTTTATAAGACGTCGTTAAATATCTTTAACAACTTGTTTCTCTTGAGTAAAAACAGTTGTAAAAGAGTTTTTACAGTGAAATTAACGATTTTTAGTTTTTCATTTTTTCCCTCTGATGGATGAGGATGGATCCGGATGAGGTTTTTACGACGATAAAAATGATTAGTGATCACCAAGGATCAATTTTGTGCATAAAATCCCTAATCTAAATCGGCTTTGAGAAAAATCGCATTTTGACCTCAGGTGACCTCAGGTGACCTTTGATGACCCCAAGTCACATGTTAAAACGATCAGTGGAACTTAGGCTTTCCATCGATGTATCATTCATCATTATAAGAGCATGATATAAAAATCGATTTTCCCACTGTGCACCCCCTACGCATTACCCAAAAACGGGTCGATATGTTCTTTGACTTACCAATTATCATTCCAGCAGCAGCGATTGTGATTCCACAGTAGAACATAAGTCCAACGGCGGCACCCCAGCCGGGACCGAGTGATCTCGAAATCATGTAGTAGCTTCCACCTGCTGGGACTTTTCCGTTTGTAGCAATAGCGCTCATTGAAATCGATGTGAGCATTGTCGTCAAGCAAAAAAAAGAAATCATCCCAAAGCATTCCCAAATACCAGCAAGGCCAACCATCCAGGGCAGACGAATGAACAGAAGAACACCAAAAATATTTTGAACACAAGGCAGATACACTCCCATCATCGTACCGAGCTTAGACGATTTTTCATCTTTTTCATTTTTCTCGATTTCGCCGAGACTTGGCGTGAAGCTGGTATAACTTCCAACTTGCTGAGAAAATTTTAGTTTTTTGTCTCCTCCAAAAAGTGTTTTTTCTTTTTTGGGATATATAATCCTGATAAGTAAAAATAATGTTTGACATTGTCAACATCTCCGAGAATAACGGGGGTACTGAAGTGTGCCGCCCTGCGCCACCCAGCGTCGCCCGGTCCGAAACCATCGTGCTCAACAGATTTATAACAGATTTTATGCCAAAATCTGAGTTTGGTTGAGAATTACTGGCACCCTAAATTATGCGTTCCAACACCCCTAGCCCGCACTTTTTTAATTTTTTCTTCTCGAAGTAGCAAAAGTGAGTGCTGCGTTTCCGCACCCTTAACCCGCTCTTTGGGGTGCAGAAACTCCTCACACAACTGTCATATAATTAATAACTAGTATTTAAGGGACGCCGCCGACCGAGCCCCGCGCGCGCTTCTCGCTCTTTTCACTCTCACTCTTCAGCTGGTTTAATTCTTTCGATTATCGTGATTTTTCGTACACGAAAATCATATTTTTATGCTCTTTCATCTCCATTTCTTAAAATTTTCATAGCTTATTGCAACGCCGAGTTAGGGCGAAAACATTGGCGCTCGTTTTCAAGTGTACATAAGTACTCGAATTATTCGGATTGGCACTTCGAGACTGCCCTCATTGAAAAGCCCGTGCGTTCTTGCATAAGGCCTACTTATTGAGATTTCCCGGAATAGTTTACTTATCCGATTATCGTGGGATAAATGCGGGTTACCTGGAGCGCTCGGCGTGAAACACGGGCATTTTACACTGTTGGCGCGGGATTCCGCTGCGCTGGTCAGAACAACCTTTAATTACCGCCTGATTACGAGAGCTGCATTAATTATAATCAAATCTCAATAAGTAGGCCTTATGCAAGAAGGCACGGGCTTTTCAATGAAAGCAGTTTCGAAGTGTCAATCCAAATAATTCGAGTACTTATGTACACTTGAAAACGAGCGCCAATGTTTTCGCCCTAACTCGGCGTTGCAATAAGCTATGAAAATTTTAACAAATAGAGATGAAAGAGCATAAAAATATTAGTTCGTGTACAAAAAATCACGATTATCGAAAAATTAAACGAGCTGAAGAGTGAGAGTGAAAAAGAGCGAGTAGCGCGCGCGGAGCTCGGTCGGCGGGGTCCCTTAAACGAAAACCCGACAATTTTGAAAATAAGGAATCATCGTCCGAAAGTATATTTTTTGGAAAAAAAATTGAGAATGCTTGATTGGAATATTTTAATCTTTGGCTATGGAGTCTCTTGTTGCTCAAAAGGATTTGATCAGCTTTAAATTGAAAATTTACATTTTTTTTACTGAAAGTCTCTGAATATTCTTTTAATGATTATTCGAAAATCCCAACGAAAAAGATTAAATAGGGCCACAGTCTACTCAATGTAAAATACACAACAAAAATTGTCGCTTAACCAAGTCCGCCCGTTTTGTGAGCGCAAAAATCGTTATTTGTAATCAAACTCAATTCAAATTGTTTTAATAACGTTCAAAAGAAAAATATTTTGAAATAAAACTGTCTGTTTCACAGATAATATTTAAGAATTATCATTTATTTTAAAATTTTCGAGAGGTGGCTGCACGAGTCAGCGAAAAGCCTGATTCGCGAATTTTGTTTTTTTCAACAATCAGAATCGACAGGGGCAACCGGGAGAATAATTCTGTGCACTGAACTATTCTGTGAAAAACAGAATTATTCTCACGATAACACCCCCCTTTCCGGGAGAATAATTCTGTGAAAAAAAAAGAATAGTTCTGTCCACAGAATTATTCTCCCGCCCAGCCAATCGACAGTTCGCCGAAAAAAAATGGAACAATTTTCCAATCAGACTCTGATTAAGCAAAATTATTGGCAAAATTTTGTTCTAAAGCATTTTTTCTTCCCTTCCTGGTTCTACGCGAGCCATTTGGAGAAAATTCCAAAACTAAAATAGTATTAAAGTATTAATGAATATTTGTATTTCAGGAAAACAGGTTCTAGAGATCATTCCCAGAGATATGAGAGACGCTCTGATTAAATCTTCAATGATTTTAATAAGAGGAATTTTTCCTCATGAAACCCCGAAGACGAATTATAGCCGAACAATTCAAATTGGAAGCTCATTTTGGATTTTCCAATCAAAATTTTCTTTTAATTTTAATTTTTCATTCTGTGGTTAGGGTTTGTTGCATAGTTGGAAAAAGCACGTGCGCGTGCGTGCGTGTTTTGCGCACGAGACCGCATTCGCACGCGAGTTTTTCGAACACTCGCGCAATTAGAAAAAAAAGGGTTTTTAATTCGAAACTTTGAGTTTTTGGCCTTCCTCAAAGGATCTCAACAGAGAAAAATAATTTTTTGTTGTTTTCAAAGCCTTGACTTGTTATTATGGAAACAAAGTCAAAATAAATAAGTGCTCATACGAAAAAATACAGTGAAACCTAAGTTAAGGCCACTTTTTGGATGACAGCTAATTCGAAAAGAGGCTATATTGGGTGACTCTCCAACTTAGTTGGATGACGCTTAAATTTTTCTATTTCTGGAGCAAGTGACCGAATCATGGACCATGATTCATGGAAATCAAAAATGAAAGGCGGAGATAATTTTTCGCACGAACCAAGTATGAATTCTTAAAACTCAATGCGCCATTTGAATGAAACCTTCGGTTATTTTTTCATTCTCTTAAAAATGGATTTGCTAAAATAATGTCGCAAGAAGAAAAGAGAATCCACATGACATTGACCGAGAAAAAAAAAGATATTCAGTGAAAACCCATTTTTAGACGACAGCGAATTTCAAAAGTTGCCTTAAAATTGATATTTTTTGCCTTTTGTCGGATGACAACAAATTTTCCCATATTTTTGGTACAAAAATGAATCATATGGGTTTATAGGGAAAGGCCCGAGTCTACCGCATGTTTTTGTCGCCCGAACCAAGTGGGATTCCAAATGTGTTCTTTAAATTGGACTCTTGGTGATTCTTTCTTTTATTCTTTCAAAAATATTTTTCTGCCAAAATATCAGAGAAACGGATCGAAAATCTCCATCGAAATCTTCATGCACTTGAACCCAGCAATCTTCAAGCGATCATGGATCAACACTGGACTACTTCAAGAGGATTATTTTCGAGAAGAGATCGAGCAGTTTGAAGATCTCGATGTTGCAGAAAATGTTCTGGACAAACAAGAAGAAGAATTGGTCGAGCATTTTCTGGCGCTTTAAATTGATGAAACACGTCCTGAGACTCCGATGGAGATTGAAGAAGTGCCTCAAGTTCAAGTGACAGACAATGCCAACACTAAACAGCCATCGACTTTCGGATTTTGAATAAAAAATAAAAAAAGTGGCCTTAAAGTGGATTTTTTTAGGATGACAGATTTTGGAGACTTTCCGAAAAAGTGGCCTTTAAAGGGTGGGCCTTAAAATGGGTTTTCACTGTAGAGCGATTCTAGTGAAGACGCCGAAGAAGAGTGATGCAATGAAGATTATCAACGGGTGTTTTGAAAGAAACATGATGGAAAAGACATTCCGACGCGGACATTTTATGCTCAGCGGTTCAAAATCAAGGTTTCAAATGTCTCAAAAATCGACGATTTCATCAATTGAGCATTATGAAAAGAAGATCAAGAAAGAATATGAAAAAATCAAAATACGTGGACTTGCTACAAACGAAAAATAAGGAGCGAATATTTAAAAAAATTGAAAAAAATGGCCTTTAGTTGGATTTTTTTCGGATGACAGATTTCGGAGATTTTTCAAAAAAAGTAGCCTTAATTTGCTTGGCCTTAAGTTAGGCTTTTACTGTATATTTATATAATTTTTCTTAAATAGAGGTTAAATTGATTCTAAATGATTCAACTCTCAAACTCATCACTACGAGCTTGAAATGCTGCTTCGATGATAGTATTTTGGGCCTTCAACGACCAACTCTCATTGGCGAACTCAATAAACTTCGTTTCTCATGGAACAGTGCGTCTGGCACTGTATTATCAACAGAGTTCGAAATCTTGGGGAGCAAAATTGGGAGCTCCTAAATAAGAAAATAGGAGAGCAAGGAGGTGATGAAAAGCTATTGAGCCTTATTTAGTCTCAAAAGAGACGTTTTGGGTGGTAAGACGATAAAAATCGTCTCTTCCGATAGTTCTTAGAATACATGTATTCTCGTTATATTTTTTTTTTCTAGGAAAATTCTAGGACAAAGTTGTTGCTTTTTTACAACAATTTTCTGCTAGAAAAAAAAACTGCACAAAACCTGCTCTGCTCTGCACTGCTCTGCATAACATATTTCACCTAATACACCAAATTTTCACAAAATTCACATAATCCTTGCCATGAGACACCTAAGCTCAGATACAAGTAAGATAAGCGAATAAAAATATTTTATTGACAGAAGATTTCACTTTCTGTACATTTTAAAGTAAGTGATTTTCTCCAAGGTCTCAAAAATCACCAGCAACAACAGTAAGATTAAATCCCGCCTTTCCAAGAATATATTCACTTGGATAGTAAGTCTCACTATCACTGTTCCATAGAAGCTGCAATTCGTTCAATCCTGTTTGGACACTCGGCAAATTGTTATGAGCCTGATATCAAATTAATAAAATATAAATTCTGAAAGAACTTACGCCAGTCATGCATTTCACAGAATCTCCAATTTGAAGATAATCTCCGCAGTCAGGATCGACGTCGAAATACAGTTATTTATGGAATTTGTGGACATTTTTTGTCCCCTAGTTTTCTGAAAAATGTCCACAAATTTGATAAAGAGCCTCGAAAAAAATGTCCCAACGAACTTGTTTAAATTTTTTCCTAGAAAGAAAATTTGATGATTTTTCTCAAAAAATAATGAGAAAAAGAATACAAGATTGAATCTAAAGACGTAAATCTGAACAAAAATTAAGATTTTTGACGAAAAACAGTTCTTTGCAGGTAAAATTGGCTTCAATTACGAAAGTAAGACCATAAATTTAGAAGTAAAAGATATCAATTGAGAAAAAATGTCCATAAAGTTGATACCCTCTTTTTTTGAATATGTCCCAAGAAAACCCCTTATAATCTGAAAAATGTCCACAAATTTGATGTCCACAAATTCCATAAAAAACTGTAGTTGATTTTGTAGCTGATTGGCTTTACATTTGATTTAATCGTCACTAAAAATATTTCAAGAATGACAGAATTTTGAGAAAATTTACAGTCACAGTTTTTATTTGGTTGATAGGAATCTCGTTTATCGCAATCGTCGGGGCAATGCCACCCACTAGTACTACGGGTCCCTGTTTGTCGAACCAGAATATCTTCCAAGTTTTTTTGACCGATATTTAGACCCCTGCAGAAACAGCCCTTTTGGCCTTTTGGAGGAACTAAATCTCTTGTCTCTCCATTTTCAAGAATAAGTGGATTTTCAACATTGCAAATATTAGTCGAAGGATTGGAGGCGATCGTCATCACAATTGAAACGTACAAGGTGACCATTATTGCAAAAACGCACAACTTTCGACATACGTCATTTTTGCTCGTCTAGAAAATATTTCATATTTTGCGTCTTGTTTAAATATATTGTTATGAAATAAGGGTCCGATAGCAATTTTTTTTTCTATTTATGTATGTTCCGGAGATGGATATCAAAACTTGACTTAGAAGTTATATCAAAAAACATTAAAATATAACATAATTATGATGATTTCGAAAATAAATTAAGAATAGCCGATTTTGTCCGATTTTGACTCAAATGAGTTCAAGCCATTACACAGGGCTGGCAAATTACTGTAGGGTCCTTACAGCCGTACTACCGAAAAATTGTTAGGGTTCTTACTTAAAATTAGTTTGAATTAGAACGGCATCCCCGTCCTACCCGTCCTAAAATGAGAAAAACGAATGACCCGCCATGATTGGGGGACCAATAAGCGCGCGCAGAGTTCGAAATCTTCTTCACGCGCTGAAGTATACTTCAGCTATCGGTTCTTATCGAACACTTTACCTGCCACTTCATCTGCCACAATCAGCGTGATTTAAATCATGGCGCCTTAGAGCCAATAAGCGCAAAATCTGAAAAAATTCTGGCGGACGGATTCTGATGGCCGACAGAACCAAGTTGAAGGGCGGAAGGGCGGTTGAAGTAGAGGGAAGGGCGGAAGTACACTTCACGCCCTTCAACGCCCTGCAACGCCCTGAAGTATACTTCATGAAGTATACTTCATTCTGAAGGGCGAGTGAAGTATACTTTTTTACCAACTCTGGTTCTAACTCAAATAAGTACGGCTGGAGGGACGCTAATTTGCCAGCCCTGCCATTACATATAAATTATAAGTTATAAAACTGGACTGACGATACAATTTGAAAAAAAAATAGCTTATTGCCAATAAGTTATTAGTTTGCTACCTCTGACATCTTTTATAAACTGACTGTTTATTGTTTTTTCATGAAAAAAATATCCAGATTCTAGAGAATTACAAATCTTGTTCTTACCAAGAGGTTAGATTTTCCGTAAATTAGATTTTCCGTAGATTCGATTATCCGTCAAGGACTTAAAATTCCTGAATGTTCTTTCGAAAATAGCAATTTCCTTAATTCTCAATCTCAAAAAGACAGATGCCTGGGGTTGCGCTGGTGGGATTTTGGCCGAAAATGGTCTGTTTTCAAAAAATGCTGAGACCACGTGACCATATGTAAAAATTGACGAAGATTTCATAAAAAATAGTAAAAACTTAAAATTTTTGATTTTTGGACGGTAAATCGGCATTTTTTTCAGAAAAAACCGGGTTTTTCGCACGTTTTGCCGATTTTCTCACGTGGCCAAACTGACACCACCACAAGAAAGCTCAGACGATGCTCTCAATAGATCCATTCTAATCTCGTCCGGCAACGCCCGGCAACGAAAATGCGGCCGATTTGAAAATTAACGTTTTGGCCGAAAATGGCCTTTCTTTGGAAAAATATAATAAATAATGCTGAAAAATGAATAGAAGGGGCCGTCTCAGCCCCGTTCCTTGATTTTTAAATTTAAGGGGCTTGAGATCGGCGTTGGACTCTGAGGTGATCAATCTCAGTTATGTCCCCAACCCCACCCACACCCATTCGAGGTGGAAATACAAATTATTCAAGTTTTACCTTTAATTATGGTTTTTATTTAATTTTTTAGAAATTTTAATTTCTTTATTTGCGGATTTTTTATCACGCTTCGACTTCTTTCGACTCGAAAAAATCATTTCTGAGCTTTCAAAATGATAGTTTAGGTTTTCTTAGGCTTAATTTTGCAAAAATAAAAAATTCGATTTTTCGACACCTATACCCTAATTTTTCGAAATTTTTTTTTGATTTTTTTCTTGATTAGGACCTCAGAAATATGTCCACGAAATTTCATCCCTCCATGTCAAGTGCAAAAAAAGTCCATTTTCCCACTGGCGCAACCCCACAGATGCCGCCAGTCTAGGGTTAGTTTGGGTAACCGCAGCCTATCTCCCTCGGGTAAGTTTATTCTGTCATTTTGGGTAACCGGTGAAAATAATTGAAAATAACATCCCATGACACCCAAGAACTCAAAATTTGGTCGACTCTTAAAAAAGCTCTTAGAATCAAACGGCAAAAAGCGCTTCTTATGGACCCCCTAATCAAGGATTGTGAATACCGACATTCGACCAACGATTTTGTTTTACAGTAGTTGTAACGGCTTTTCAAATTCGTAGCGTAGCCTTTTGACACCTAGATTCTCGATTCGAATTGGCAACACCAGAGAAAATGAAAAAATTGTTTCCCAAAGACAATCAGCCCTTCTAATCGAATAAAATAAAGATGAGCAATTGGTTTATAATCATGCAATGAATTATTAAGATTTCTTTAAGGGAAAGTGTCAAACTGCAATTCTTCGTTCGCGACAAATTTTTCTCAAAAAAATACTGGCCACTAATTGGGCGGTAGACCTTATACAGGCGTCTGATTGGCTAAATTTTCTCATGGATTTTCCAGGAAAGTTTGTCGCAAACGAGGAATCGTAGTTCGACATTAGGCCATCTTTGAAGCCGAAGATATTGTTTTATGGGTATAGTTTTATTATGAAGATGAAATTAATTTTCCAAGAGTTTTTCTCAGTCTTTTTTCGATGTTATAATACCAAGTTCAGCAAGGGTGATGAGTGTCCCGAAAAGAAAGAATACGGCGACGAAAAATATTCTGATAACCCTGGCGATCGTGTAGTATCTTGACACTAGAGCATAGGTTTTCACCAATTTTTATTTCTTATATACTTACATTCTTCAGAATATTTCTTCAGTCCATTGAAAAGCTGTTCTTTTGTCCAGCCAGTCTTAATTCAAAAATGAGTTTTTGTTTAATTTTTCTTGAAGGCTCTATTGTAATACAATAATTGTATTTAATTTGGTTCTTTTATGGATTTTGAGGAGCTCTTTAAAAATGAACTTTTAAAATAAATTTTGGCCCCGGTTTCTGATCTTATCTTGGGTTCCAGGTAATAGACTTTGAAACCGGGTAGCAATATTGGATTGTTACCGGCACAGTCGACCCTAAGCATATTTGTTTATATAAGAACTTACTACTTCCATAAGCATCCTTTCTTCGTCGGAAAAAGCCATTGCTTCGTTCCAAGCAGGCCTGATTCCAAAAAAGGTTGCTTCGACAGGATATTGATATAGACGATCGTCGTAAGAATTCCAACAAGCGATAAAAATGCAGATAAAACAACCTCTGCAAAGGAAATAATTTGTCGAACCATCGCCACGAAAGACACAAGGTTTTTCTGTTTTCAGCCTGGCCTATTTTTCATGAATCGATTTTTATTTCGAGAAATAACTTACCAGGCAAAATTTCCATCAACAAATAACTGATGAATTCGGGTGGAGCAATTGCAAAATTTTCAGGCGTGAGCGCAAAATCGGGATTTTTGTAAGGAGACTTTTATGTGTTCAAAATCAATTCAGAATTTTCTTACTTTCTACTGACTTTGATACCGGATGGTACCCCCTAACGATCCGCAATTTAAAATAAACTTATCGCAATTCTTCAAAATAAGTCTATCTTTTAAAGTTTGTTTGTAGCTGCAAGTTAGAACAAGTCCTTGTTAAATTGAAATGCCACTACCAACTGACTTCCAAAATCAGCAGCTATCAGTGGCTTCCGAATTCTGGCTGCAATTTTTAATAGCATTTGAAGCAAAATCTTAAGGGCCCCTATTCCCAAAAATAATCATTCTTGCTCTCCGAAATAGAAAGCTTATTTGGAAGAGGGCGCGAAATTGGCTGTTAACCCCACGAGTCTAAGTCGACATTTTTTGTCGAAATCCGGTTTAAAAAAGCTGCCCTAATTAGCGAAATCACCAGAACAAGCCAAAAATTGTAATGAGTATTCGCACACGCCTTAGGCACCATATGACCAAAATAGAGGTGATAAGTTCTCAGCCTGGTGCTCTGTACCCGTTTATTTCCGCTCAGCTCGAGCAAAATCAGAACGTGATCACTGCAAAAAAGGTGAAATTCCAATTTTATGAGGATTTTTACGGGGAAAAAACGAAATATAGGTTTTCGAATATGAAGAATTCAAAAATGATGCTCTCAGAGGGCAAAACAGGATGTTTAAACCGATCATGAGTGGACTTTACTTTGAAATAGAATGAACTATTGATATGCAAGAGAAAACAATTAATACCATTGAAAAGAGCATATTTTAATTAGTGCAAGTACAAAGTTTCAGAAGAGTATCTTTATGAGAAGAGCATTTGGACAAAAAATGTCGAATAAGACTCGTGGGGTTACGCCCTCCAATTTGACACGTGTGGTTAAGGTTAAAAATTTCAAAACGGCCAACTTCCGCAAAAATTAATCTTAATTAAATTTTTTAGCAAACAATGTTTTTAAACGATTTCTTAGGCATAATGAAGTAAAAATTCCGAATCAATGAGACTTTGGACGAAAAATTGGTCAAAAGCGTGAAAAAAATGGATTTTCATGAAAATCGCATATTTTTAAACAAGAAGAGAATTCTTTTGAGGGACGTACCCTCAAATTTTTTATCGCCGATAGATTTGTGAGGGTCCAATCTATAGGTATACTTAATTTGATTGTCGAAAAAAATAAGGGTTCTGAGATTTTTCGGTCAAGAGATACCCCCAATTAAACCCAAATTTTTGAAAAAAATTTCAAAAAAAAAAATTTCTTTTCTCTTCGCCAGTAGAATCTTTCAACCATTTTCTTTTTATCCAAAAATTCGATTTTGATATACCTTATCAGGTTTTCCCGCTATTTTGGTCAAAAGAAACCCCAATATTCACGACCCCCTCTTTAAATCAAAGATCTATTGAAAGAGACGATTTTTCAGCCTCTTACTACCTAAAACGTCTCTTTTGAGACAACAAAGGGTGAAAAAACGTCAAATACTCGTACATATTGACTTCGAAAAGTGCATTTCAAAATTGTTCTTTAAAAAATTTATTTTTATTAATAATTTTTAAGAAATAATTATTGATAATATTTCATCCTATTAATATTTTAACTAGATTTTATTTTAAAATTTATTCAAAAAAGCCGGGCTTGGAAATTTAATGTTGAAGCTTTGACTTTTGACCACGTCATGCTTAGGTCATAAAAAACCCTTTTTCTTCCGCTAGCGAAAGATGATATCAAAAATCTGATTTGAAATTAGGATGGCCGAATTAATATCTAAATTAATTTTAATTTTGAGAATTCACCCAATTGAGCCCCTTTAATTTTTCATTGCGGACCCTACCTTGATTATGATTCATAATTAATAAACTGTGCCTACTATGGTCAGTGCTTTCGTATTATTTTGAACACTTGAAATCTCTGTGGCACCGCTTGTTTCTTTTCCTATTTTTATATCGCGAGTTTGAATTATCTCCAGATATTGATGCAGTCTCTCTTTTCGCATTGTGATATCGGCTCCTTTTTCGGCCCTTCAATTGATTTATTTCCAAGCAAAATAATTCAAAAATAAGAAAAAAATATTGATTCAGCTGACGAATCTTTTTCTCTGCAAAGTTAATTTGAAATCAATTTCCTAAATTTCTTCTCAATATTGTTCAAAATATATTCTTTATCATCAATCACGATATCTGGATAACATCGAACAATCGGCGCTCGATAAAGTTGAACAGGCTCGTTTGGAGCATTGTTAGCAGTCAAAGAAGCATCGAGAGGTGCGACTTGGGCAAACTGTGAGTTTCCCAGCTGTTGTTCTTGAGGAATTTTAATAGCTGTTTGTTGAGCCGGTTCGAAGCTATAATCAAATGCTGACCCCCACTGATTGTCTCCGTTCCCGCTTTGGTAGTCGTCAAAGTAACTCATAATTTTTAACTGATTACTAAGTACCATTTTTAGAACATAAAAATAAATGTTCTAGAAACATCAAAATTAATTATTCCCAAAGTTTGACCAAAGGAACTTTGGGGAAACTACATGCGTAGGGTTTTTTTGGGGAACCGCGAAGTCTCCTGATTCAAGTTAAATTTTTCTCATGAAATAAGTTTTTTCAGCTGATTCCAACGATACCAAAATCTTTTTGATATCATGGTTTTATGGAAGGCAGGCTTAAGAATTCCCCTAAAGTGGAGCGATTTTCATCCAAGTTTTCCAGGCCACCTGCTAATTTTCTTCTCAAAATAACTAAGCAAACATGAGCCTACTACCTCAGGGAACCTTTTCGTGTTAATCACCCGCTGTTATTTGCATCAGATTCCGAGTACTGGGTCACAGTAAGCACGGGGAAATGGAAGGTGAGTCGGCCACCCAGACCAGATTTTTAAAAATGATAACAGCTGGAGCGTTCTCTCAGCACAACGCGCCTTATCAATCATCGCCCAGGGGAGCAAGTGACTGTAATCAGCATAGGAAATCGGTACTGTGCAGGGCAAAAGGGCCGCATTCGCAAATAAAAATCTGTTTTCAATGGAGCCTCCTTTCTCTAATCCGTCGTACCAAGAGATAAAAGCTGCAGTCGCTGCGACTTACAGTCGATGTTCTTCTTCTCCTCCGGTCTTGTAAAGTATCACATCAGGGCAACGAGCTCATAGCGCAAATTTTTCATCTGCTGTTAAAAAAGTTTGGGAGATTTGTAAAGGTCTTCCATTTATTCCGCGCCATTTGCTGAAATGTGCTTATGATGAGCTCAGAACCTTTTGTGAGCATCAAACGGGAGTAACGCGAAAAAACTTATTGCTATTTTGCGATTACCTTGACGTTGTAAGATATTTTTAGTTCATAGATTAAAATTTTTTAAACAATACTGGGAGAATCAATCGAAGTGGAATCACGGTTGCGTCAATAGTTACGGTTAAAAATGAGTCATAGAGACCATAGAAATTGACACACAGTTTAGGGTAGGCATCAACCTAGGTCGGGTTTGCTGGTAATTTAGAAAATAACAAGAATTTGAAGCTATCTAAGTCGGTTTGAACGAGAGTGTGGGCGCTTTTTGCTTACGAAAATGATACCAATATGAAAAAATACCATTTTTAGCCTTGATTTAATAAACATTGCCCACAATGTTACTTAAAACTTTTTTTGCAAGCGTAAAGCGACCACACTCTCGTTCCGACCAACCTAGATACCTCTGGATTCTTCTGGTTTTCCAAATTACCGGAAAAACCGACCTAGGTTGATGCCCACCCTAAACTGTGTGTCAATTTCTATGGTCCCTATGACTCATTTTTAACCGTAGCTATTGACGCACCGTAGCTATTGACGCAACCGTAACTACTGACGCAACCCCCCAAACCGTAGCTAATGACGCGCACCCGGGGAGCCTAAAAAGGGCCCTGCGCGCAAAGCATAAGCGCGCTTTCACTTTTACTCACTTATCTAATGATTTCAAGCGACCCGTAAGCCCACGTAAAAAGATTTTTTCAGAGATTCAAGACAAGTGTCTGATAAAAAGCATATCGAAAAAAGAGTGACAGGGAAAGACTGTTTTTGTCAAATCTTTTTCAATTTTTGGAATCAGCAGGTAAAATAACATATTCCTGTCAAAAATCATAAAAAACTGATAAATACTTCGACAAGTTGGGAAAGCGAAAAAGGGGCTGTCGCGTTCCCGAAAAAAACCCTATACATGCGCTTCATTAATTCTTTGACACAAAATGTTCTTAGAACTATTCTTGTTTGACCAACTGGCACCAAAGTCATCACAATAAAGATTGATATAATTATTTAATAATTGATAAACAAATAAAAAACTGATAAAAGACAACCTAAACTTTAGGTCCTTAAGGGTACCTAGGTCGAGTTTGGGTACCCCCTTAAACTATTTTCTGACCGTAAAATCGGATTCTTCAGGTTCTGAGGAACAAAAAACTCTATAATGACCCTATAGCTATCTTAATGTTTTCACCTTCAAAAACCACTTCAAAGTTAAAAATCTATAGGAAATGGTAGCACCTTAAATTTTGACGAGAAATTTTTCATCTCTGATTTTGCTAATTAAGGGCTTGATTGAAAGCTTATGGCCCTCTTAACATCGTGGTGAAGCTTAAAATTGCCACAGAAAATTAAAATCATCTCTAAATCGGGAAAAATGGAAGCTTACCAAGCAAAAACGCGGAACTCGCGATGACTAGTCCAAACTTTTGAAAATTTAATTAAAAAAATCTTCGAAATCCAAAAATCTGCTCTGCCACGATTGAAGAGGAGGCTTGGAACTATATAAATCCAGAAAGAAAAAAAAAAGTTTGTATGAGAATTTTCACCTGAATTTAGCGTTGAAGTTGGCTATTTTAGACCGAGACGCAAACTTTGACGGCGTTTTATCTGGAAAAAACTTTTGAAATCAAAAAAAGTCCTCTGTCACGATCTGAGATCTAGGATAGATCTATCCAATTAGCTATTAAGGAGCTTTTTACATTATGAATAAAGGGTAGTAATTTACCCACAAAGATGGCCATCTCGACCCAGGTACCCTTAAGTGTGGGTGAGTTTTTCGAAGATATTTCCTCTGCGATATTATCCCTTTTTTATGACTCTTTTTAGCGAGGTGTCATCAATCGACAAAAAATCTTAACAAAATTTTTCATTATTTAAGTGAAATTATATGGCCAATAGGGTTGGCCAAAATTATCTGCTTAACAAAGGAAAGTTTCAAAATATGCTTAAGTTGTTCTTTTGTCCCAAAAAAAGCCACTCCTGAATACCAAAAAATTAAAGAGGTTATTAACTGAAATGTCCTTAATTATTGGAATCAACAGATCCTCCCGAATCAATTGAGCCATTTGATAAAAAAAAGTTTAAGGAGGTGAAATTAGGAAAATTACAAAAGATAACCATTTCAGGTGCATTTTCGCGAAAATAGCCCTACTTTGAAGGAATTTTTGACCGACATGTTGATCCAAATTTTGCTTTCGAAGCCGGTTTTCCGGATATAGGGTGCGTAGGGTCTGCATGAAGATCCCGGGTCTGCACATGAAAAAAATGTATCAGAATTTTTGTTTAAGGACCCCCCCCCCCGTTAGCTTTTTTCAAAAAATGAAATTTCGGAATTTTGAAATTTTTGACCCCGGAAATGGATTCTACGGGTCAAATAACGATTTCGAGGCTTCATTTTTTCGAAGTCTATCTTGACTCTAAAACCCTAAAAATCCCGGGTCTCGCAGACCCTACGCGCCTGACATCCGGTTTTCCTCATTTAGGTCACGAAAATCTCGATTCTCGTTGACCCTTTCCCCTTGAGGTTAGATTTTTCTAAAATTTTTCAAATATGTTTTTTAAAAATGAAATAAAAGTAGGAATTTTTCTGAAAAGAACGAGTTTGGAGCAAGATGGATAAAAAGAACGGTCAAAAGCAAAAATATCAGAAATTTTAGTTTAAACCCCCCCGTTAATTTTTCTCAAGGGTCGGTTGTCGGAATAACAAAATTTTGCCCTCAGAAAAGGTTTTACAGGTCAAAACGATTATTAGCCTCCATTTTTGGCGGTCTATTTTAACTCTAACACTATCAAAATCATGTTCTAAAATTGGACCTTTTGCTAGAAAATTACTTAAATGGCATAAACTCGCTAAAAGCAAATTGCCTCGTATTATACAAATCAGCTACGAATCTGTCAAATTTCGCTCATAAGACCTATATTATATTGGTTATATAATTATTTTTTCTTATAAAAGAGACCTTTTTATTATTACTTACGTTTCTTTTATATGTTTAACTGGTCAAAAAGATTGTTTTGAATTTCGATAGACTTGAAAAAAATATATAAAAAGTATCGAAATTGGCAGCTTTTGCCAGTTTCTTGACATTCGCAGTTGCCATATCTTTTCAGATTTCGAACTCTGATTAACGCGGTAGCTCACAAAATTTTTTTATGAAAGAGACCTTTATATTTTAAATGACGTTTCTTTTATATGTTTAACTGGTCAAAACGACTATTGCAAAAAGACTTAATTGTTCGAAACAAGATGTAAAGTAGGGTCCCCCCCATAAGTTCTACCATAAGTATACAAGAGAATGCGCGCGTAAGGGCCTCTGTCCCGTCGCGTCCTTATTAATTTGTGATTTTATACCAAAATCTACTCCCGTGTTACAATTTTAGGGTAGGGTGGGTTGCGTCATTCCAGCGCTGCGCTTCCAGTAGTACCGGGCCGGTACAATACCTGCCACAACGGGACGAACCTGAAATTTTCAACAAGGCCATCCAGGCCATCACGGCCAGCATGGCCATCAAGGCCATCAATTCCCAATTTCAGGTTCTGAGAAGTTTTGTAGATTTGGTTCTTGTTGTTTTTATAAGGGCGGTTCTAGAAACGTTCTTGTTCTCAGATTATACTGCGTAGCTGATTTATTAACTCAAAATTTGAATGTAAAATCGCTTCCACTGAGACAGCTTTTCAATTTTTGTACTTTTGGAGCAAAATCGACGATCAGAAAGCAGAAAAAGCGAAACCCAAGAAGCAAGTTTCTAGAATTGATGGCCTTGATGGCGTTGTTGACAAATTCAGGTTATGGGGACTTTTGTTGATTTCTTAAATGGTCTTGATGGCCTCGATGGCCGTGTTGACAATTTCAGGTTTTCCCCCACAACGCCCGCAGCAAGCGCCTTTCTCAAAATGCGCCATCTCTATTGCGGGCGGTGTGGTAGGTATTGAACCGGGAGCAGGGTTGTAAATCACATCGACCACCCCACCTCGAGGGTGAGGTGGCTTTCGATTTTTTCGAGGCAGGGTGGGGTTGTCTGAAACCACCTCAGTATTATTTGAGGTGAGGTGGGGTGGTTTCAAAAATTGCATTCAAACAGCGAGATTGTGTCGAGGTGAGGTGGTTGAGGTGGGGTGATTTACAACCCTGACCGGGAGCGTAGCGCCAAAATGACGCAACCCACCCTACCCTAAAATTGTTACTAGGGAGTAGAGCAGGGATGGAAATCTGAGCGTATTTTGTCATTTTTCCATCCCTGGAGTAGAGTTTATTCTCGCTTGTATGGCGGTACATCCATCAATGCGGTTCATCCATCAATGATTTCCATCATGATTCTTGTCAAAATTGAATGTACATGCTTTATTCATCATAAGGCAAGAATAAATTATGAAAATGACTTTCTGCGTTCAGATTTGACGGGTCTGAGAAGCTCATCATTGGCTTGATTTTCATGTCTTTATTAATATTTAAGATGAATACGAAAGAACAGATTTTTTTTTATAAAATTTTTCCTTGATAAAAATCGTAAATACAATTGTCTTGGTCTTTTCTGACTTAGAAAAAGGGGCTGAGAAGTATCATGATATAAAACAAAAAGATCATCGGTCCAGCACATCTTATGATCATGAAAAGGTAATAATGAAAGGTCACTGAAATAAATATAATAAGTAAAAATCAAAATAGAAAGCAATCTTACACATTGTTTGGACCTCCTTCATTCCTGCGTAAAGTTGTTCTTTGCTCCAGCCAGTCTTCAAATAATGTCAAGTAAATTTTTGTTTTGAAGAGTTGATTAAAAGTTATAATTCATAAATCTAAGATAATTAATTATTTAATAACTCACAATTTCCATGATCATTTGATCTTCTTCAGAAGGAGGCTTTGACTCGTCCCAATTGGGTTTGTCTCCACAAAATGTTTTTCGGACAGGAAATTGATAAAGACGATCGTCATATGAAGAATTGCAACAAGGACACAACTCTTGATCGCCTCCTTAAAAAAGTTCGGAAGTTAAGCTTTGGACATGTGAAAACATCGCAACAAGATAGTTTTCAAAATAAGCTCACCTGGAAGAATTTGACCAATAACGTAGGCGACAAAACTTGGCTCGGCTACTCGAAAGTTTGCAGCTGTATGCTGAAACCTGGTATAATGATCAGGGAAATTTTCTGGCCTTTGTATGATCTGAAGAAATTGATAGAGTCTTTCTTTTCGCAGTTGAAGGTCAGCTCCCTCCTCGGCTCTTTACGAATCGATTTTGACTGTTTATTTCACTTTCTCGGGCAAGAAGAAAAAGTGATCTTCGATTGGAACAGAATCTGGATCTTAGCCAAAAATAAAAAGCGAAAGCAAAAATTTTTCTAAAAATTCATAAGCGAATTCGCTAAGCGAATCCAAGCCCCTGATTGGAAGAATTGCCTTCGATTTCCTGAATTTCTCTCTTAATTCATGCAAATTTTTCATTCCGGAAGCGACGACAAGATCTGGATGTGTTCTTAAAATCGGCGCTCGATAGATTTCAACAGGTTCTTGAGGAGCAACCGGCGGTGCTTTAACCGGAGCTGACTGGTTTGCAGAATAATGAGAACTGGTGTTAAATGAAGAGCTTGTGTTATTGTTCAAAGGAGCAACAAGGGCCCAATGTGACGTCTCTGCTGACTGCGGTATTGTTACAGCTGTGTCCTTAGCCAGGGTTTCAATTTATGTCGAAAAAATAATAAGTGGAGGGAGCCGTTGAGGAGTGCAAGTTGTGATACTATGAAAACCCGAGTTTCTGCCGTTCAAAATTTGCTCGAATCTTTGAGAATTTCGGATTGTTCCGAAGGTCGCGAGACTCGGTCCCGAATTCGAGAAAATGCCAATTTAAAGTATCTTATGAATCATAAGTTATGATGATCGAGACCGAAAAGGCACCAGAAAACAAATTAAAAGAAAAGAGTGATTCCATCTAAACTCTTTTATTTTCATACATTACTAATTACATTGTAATTGCTGGAACAAACTGAAATTAAAAGAAGCGGCAGAATTCCTGGCTCATTATAGATTCTTTAAGGGATCCCCCCCCCCGTTTTCGCCATTTTCAATGGCGAACTACTTTTTTTTGGGCTTACCATTTTACACGTGCAATAGCGCAAATGAAAGCTCGTTTATAGCGGCTAATTCTCTAGTACAGAGAAAAAAATCCATCAACGCAAACCTGCCACACGGGGGCGCTGAACTTAGTAAATTTTGAAAAAACGCCGTTTTGGGCCATTTTCAACGGCAAACTTCTTTTTTTTGGGCTTAACTAGAATTAATCTGGGACTAGATTCAGAAAGAATAGAGCTTAATCTTCAAACTCTAGTACAGAGAAATCGTTTGGTTTAGTAAGAAAAATTTTTTCTTAAGAAAAACTTTTTGATGCCATTTTGGCCCTTTTCTGGCTCTAAATTGCTCTCTAGCGCCAATATATGGCCAAAAATCCGAATGCGGTTATCAGATTCTTTCTCAGTGCACTGTAAGCGTTCGAAAGACCCCTTATACGTCTATTTTCGATGACATCGAAAAGTCGAAAAAATTGCGATTTTCACGCTAAGTACAAATTACATGCATTTTTACGATTTTCGAGGGTCAAAATTTTGGGTAAAGATGCTCGTAAGGGGGACATATAACATATCAAAATGATCCTCAGAACACGGGGATTCTAAAAATGCCGCATAGACACCCATCATAAAGACTTGAGAAATCGGGGGATCCCTTAAAAGCAAATTTGGCGCCGCAACAAAGCTTTTGATCTTATTTTGTTCCCAAGACCTGATTTATGATATCTTTTTTATAAAGAGAGAGACTTTTTTATCTTGGATAAAATTTTTTTTATTTGTTTCTCTTGTCGAAAAGACTGTTCTAACTCAGTTTCACTTTAAAAATATTTGAGTTTGATGTGAAGTTTTATTGCATATCGAGTTCGGCTACTTAAGCCATCTTAACCCGTTAACAGGCGCGAGGCCCTCTCACGGCCTTTTCGCCTTTAGAGCGCGATAAAAAGGCGTAGACTCAATTTTTACGGGAGAACTACGGGATAAGGTAGTGCGTCATCGTTTATTTTAGAAATTATTTGCCATAGGCCATGTCTGGCCTTTGCGTTAAAGCTTATTACTGTGCTTAAAAATATGCTTCTATAACACAAGATGAAAAATCTTCAAACACGATTCGTTAAAAAGCATTTTATGGTTCTTGATAAAGATTTCTAGAAAGTTTGCTTAATTTTTCTGGACGGCTTGAAAATTTTCAATTTAAGTCAAATCAATCCATTCTTGGCGCCCCTTTTGCCGTTTCTGTTACGATAAGATCAATGTTGTTTTCACTTTTTACACTGCTAACTCAGTCGTGCTTTTTGCCGCCTCACGGTAACTTACTTTACATCGGATTAATTGTCTGTTAAGCCTGAGGAAGATTTTTATCCGAAACCGGTAGTTAACAAATAAACCAGAAAAATACCAATGGTCAACTAGAGATATATTCAAGTCAAAACGTTTTTCAACTTAAATTTTCGCAACAAAATCAAGGTGGTAGATATCTATTAGGGAAGAATCGAATAAAATAAAGAATGCGTGTTTTTATTTTCAAAGTCTGACGGAAAATTGTGATTCTTGTTATCAACCTCCTTAATGCTTTCATTTTGATTTAGCGAATAAATCAACCTTGTATTAATATAAAATTTACCGGCAACTTTCGAAAATTAATAATCTGCCGCTGTTGATTATCAGTGTTGCTTGCGTTTCTTTTCAAAAAAAGAGTTCTTTCTGCAACAATTTTCATTTATTTCAAAATATGGAAATTTATAGAATGATTTATTTTTAATAGTGTCGAGCCGAAGCTGGTCGTTGATTTTTGCTTTCATAATATCGATGAGCCTGCATTGCAATTCGCATCAATAAGCCTTCAAAATTTTATGAGCTTTGAAAATTATGAAAAGCAGATTTTTGATTTTTACTTCCAATTATTCTTTAAATGGGTTCTTTACTGCCAATTAATCCAATATTTATGTTTCTATGTTCTGAATGGGCGGAAGTTACGCAGTTTATTTCATAATTCATAAGGGTTGTTTCTTAGACGTTAAAAAAGTTATTTAATTATTGATTTTTATACTAACTAAGCATATTTTATCGAATTTAAAACCCATCATTTTACATCTTTTGATGGGTTATTCCTAGGGTAGACGAGCAAAAAATTAACCCCTAGAACCCCTTGAGGTTAATGCGTGAAACTTTGGGACAATATGTATTTTGGCCCAACTGAAAAATTTGTAATCAAAAATTTTTTGGTCTGATCACCTGATCACGTGATACGGACCCTCGAAAAGCTAGAAAAGCTTGCCGAGCTCGATCCCCTAATCCTATTGGATCATACTATAGCTTACTTGAAAGAGAACAAAAAGTTCTTCCTATAAAATTAAAAAACATTTTTGGTGGCGAGATCACATGAGTCGCTAGATGGAATTGAAAAGTCCGAAATGGCCCCTCTTGCAACGTATTTTGCAACCGTTACGGTCGAGTATGCGATCCCGGGCCCAGAGGACCAAGGATCGAGTCGAGGGAAGCCGAGAGCTTGCCCTCCGGAAAGGCCATTACCTGGCTGACCTTCGCTGCGCCCGAGCAACGCTCAGACGCCGCAGAGGTCCAGCGAGGTAGGGGAGAGAAATCAGCCCAACCTTTTCGAAAAATAAGAACGTGTCCCCAACCTAACCCATCTTCAGGTTCGTCTTGGTTCAAGCCTACGCCGGAGCAGCACGAAGATCATCTTCCCTGTCTTTCGGTATCTGTGCAAATAAAAGGACGCAAGTCCGGACCAAATACAAACGAGTGTTAGATTGTGGAACGCATAACGTGGTGACTGAAGCTCTCTTGAGCTTGGTACGAACGTAAGTCCCCATATCGAACCTCGCCGCTAGGGCGTATCCCTGTAGCGCAGGATGAATGCATCTCCTGGAATCTTCAGTGACTTTGTGCCGCACGGCTATTATGCAGGCGATAGTAAAATTCCACGCCTGGCTTATGTAGATTCGGACTCTCCGACAAGAGCCCGTAAAACAAAGGATTGGTTCGCCAATTTAAATCTATACCTTAACGCTCTTGCAAATAAGCAGCTGCCGAAATCTCCGATGGTAGGACACGCCGAGAAGCTTCCGATGCTTTGGGGCGAGAGTATCAGCGAATGAGGCCCGAATTGGTCGGGAAAACTCGGAATCCCTTCGAGTTTGGAGGAGTTCGGTAAATGGAAAGATAACAACATGTACGATGGCCTAAAATACCTCGACAATATGGAATTATCACAAGACAAGAAATCCTTCGTAGCTTCTAAACTTTACGATGGAATACAAGGTCGAAGACCAAAAGAAATGGTTCATGGGAACCTTCTTCCCTTATCTGACGGTCGATGAATTCCCCCGCGTCCTCAGACCAGACACAGTCGAACAGGGAGTAATCACGGAAAAGAGTCCGACCACAATCATGCGCGAAATGATACGATGTCTGGGGAAGGTGATCCTCCAGGCAGTGGAGCCAAATTCAAAAGCCGCCGTAGCAAATGGCGGGTTCGTTAATTTGCGGAGTTATTTGAGGACTCAGTTGGAACAATATTGCGAGACAGCGGGGGACAATCCATTCCTACATAATATACAGATCTTGCGCACCTTCGGGTCAGGCAGGTTTAGCTACGCACGCTCAAGGAATAGCTTCGACAATGTGCGCTCCTGCCTGAAAGAGTTCGTGGTGAACCATTCGAAAGATGTCAGATTTCCGGAAGGAACAGTATTGGGGAACACCACGAGCGCAAGGAGGACGATGTACTCGAAGGGCGAGTTAAAAAAATGGTCGCCGTTCATGGACATGATGACAATGTACTTCGTGGTGAGCCACCTGGGAAAGTCACGATTGGAGGAGATCGCCCATAAAATAGCCAAGAAGTCCGGTGTGGACTTTAGCGAAGTAGGCCTGCGCGATTTCCTCTGCAATAAGAAATTAATTTTCGATGAATCGGACAAAGTGTCGGGCGCAAAGGGACATTTAATGCTAGAACATATTCAAATGGCAGCGGATATGTCCGTTAACGGTGACGTAAGTAGAGAGCTAGAGAAAGTTTATTCGGATTGGAAAAAAGCATCAGTGAAGAAACAGAAATACGAGAAAGTAAACGCCTTAGAGGACTTCTGCAGCGACGGCGCGGACGTTGGCTCCGACGATAATGTAGACGAGGTCAATGCAGTTTTCGGTAAGAGGAACAGACCTTTGGACATAAAAACTGCACTAAATAACAATCGTTACATTGTGGATACGAGGACAGGGGAAGTCTACGCTAAAACAAGCCTGACGTTATCTCCCACTGACCTGAAAACGGCAAACGAACGGCTTTCAAGGAAAAGCTTTTATCTCTTTCCAAAGCCGAGGCAGCAGCGCAGCGGGGGCTCCAAGGGCCGTCTAGCGAAACAGGCCTTTAACAGGGCCATGAATAAGTCGCAGAAGGTAAGAGGTAAAAACCAAACTTACCAGGCTTTCGCGATCGACCAGGAGGACGGGAAGTCGTCGGCACTGGTTGCGTTGCTGGACGAGCTCATGCGATCGAGCATGGAAGACGAAGACGATAGTGACGGGGAGCTGGAAGAAGTGGACGTCATCAGCGAATACGACGAATGCGGCATTGGTAAGTCTCCTCGTCCAAAAAATGATGCTAAAAAAGAATTTAGAGTAGAAGAAGAAGTCGCCAGCGTGGACGCGGAAAGAAGACGTTTCGACATAAATTTCGGCGTCCGCAACTGTGATAACAAAATAGAAAGATTTAAAGTACTTATCGAATCAGGTGCGTCGGTATCCGTCGCCCCGGAAGCATTCGTTTCGTTGTTAATGCATAATTGCAGTGAGAACGTGGCATTGCAGGATTGCACGAGCTCCAGGGCAAAGGTAGCCAGCGGAGGCTACATGGAGTTCCAGAATTATAACGCTAATTTTGACATCGAGTTTAATAGCGACTTGAAACTTACCTTTAGGGATTGTAAAGTTTACGCAGGACCACAGAAGACAGTCATCCTCGGGGCTGACAGCTTTGAGCGTAACAGGATCGAGGTCAAGTTCGATGAAAACGATAAGTTGGAGGTGTGCGTAAATGGTAAGGCTTTACGCAGGATTTGGGAAGACTGTGAGGATATAGCGATTAATGACCCTGAAATCATGTTGACCGGTGAGAAGCTAGAAAGAACGCCTACCTTGCATGATCATCTGTACGAGAACAGCGAGTTCTTAGACGAAAGACCTTCAAGGGCCTACGACCCTGATGGAACGAGGACATGGGCTCGGAAGCTGGAGAGAATACACGCTGAAAATCGGAAAAAGAACTCGAGGTCGAAGGTGCAGGTCGATCCGCTGGGCGACACGTTGTCGTCAGAACAGGTGGACATCGTTAATAAGGTTCTTGACGAATTCGAGGCCATTTTCGAAGGCACGGTGGGCCACGTGGCCGACAAGGAGTTTGAGGTGCACGCTAGAATAGACCCCGGAAATTCGGACCGGAGCCCAAAGTCGGCGCCGATCGGCTACGGTAAGAACTTACCGGAGAGCGTCATGAAGGCAATCGAGGACAAATTAGACCAGGAAGCCGCGGAAGGGGTGCTGACGGTTCTACCTAAGCATATGACAGCGGCTAATTATATGAGCTTTTTCGGTGTTTCTAAAAAAGGCCCAAATGGCGAAGCCAGCGTCGAACTCACAGCTTCCAACGTCAGAGTGGTCGGCGATTGCGCACGCAGCGGCATTAACGACAAGACCGATCACGTGGCGAGGCAGACCGATTCGATACAGAGGATCCTCCAGCTTGCGGCCCCATTTACGAAGAAAGGTTTTGTCGCACAGGTAGACATCGGGGCCATGTTTCACTGCTTCGAGATCGAAGAAGAGTTGTGAAAACACTTCGTCATTCTTCACCCCAAAGTCGGCGAGTTGGCGTACCGACGGCTACCGATGGGATGGGTGAGCAGTCCAGTGTTGGCGCGCGAGATGATCACTAGAATCATGTACGATCACTTGGAGTACACTTCGATCTACATGGACGATTTTTTAATAGTGGCGGATTCGTTTGACCAGTTGATTGAGAGGGTGCGAAAGGTCTTTAAGACACTCGCTTACCGTAATCTTCGACTCAAAGGGTCGAAATGCGTGATCGGTTCCAAGGACATTGTGCTTCTCGGGAGACGGGTAAAAGACGGCAAGATTTGCATGTCGAACCACATCCTAAAAAAGGCGTAAGCGGAAAATCCAAGCACAATTAAGACGGTGAAACAACTAAAACGCTATATCGGAATAATAAACTATCTATCGATCGGGCTCCCCGCCGGACAGAAATGATGTGGAAGCTGAACGAGGCAGCATCAGGGTCAAAGAAATTAAGCGATTACGTGGAGTGGACACCAGAGTTACGAGCCTGCTACGAGAAGCTGGCGGAGGCAATAAACTCGCAAATGGTGGACCTTTATCCAATTGAAAAGGATCTCGATACCTTCCTTGTGGTCGACAGCTCTAATCTGGGCTCCGGGGGCTACCTTTATCAAAAGAAAGGGGACCGAACGCAAATCGTGCGACTTTGGTCCAGAAAGAGAGGGGATTCCCAATTGAAAACGCAGTGGAGCTCCTGTTAGTTGGAACTGCACGGCATTTTAAGCGCGACATTATGTTTCTGCTGGGAGATCGACTTCGTGTCTAAACCGGTAGTGATCATTACCGACTCTTTGTCGGTGAAAAAATTATTCGATAGAGCCAGGCAGGGGAAAGAGCTCAGCCTGGACAAACGGATAAACGACCAAATAGTGAAGCTCCTGAGCTTCGACGTGGAGATTGTCTACGAGAAAGGGGAATCAACCAGGGTGAGAAATGGCGGGGGATATTCTTGGGATGTCGCGCGCGCGCCAAAAAAACCTCCCAGGGCGTGTGGGAGGTTCTCGGCTTCTCACAGAGCGCGAGGGAGCTCCAATCCAAACGAGCCACAGTGAAGGCGCACTACTGCTCTCGCGCTGCGCGGGATATTTGAAAAGAATAAGCGAGCGCTATTATCTCGGTGGGTGCACACTCTGACTAAATGAGATCAGATGCTTGAATTAATAAAGAATGATTTGTTTTTAATTTTTTATTGTAGAAAATATTAAAAAAGATTTTTACTCTAGAGTCTAGAGTCAAGACCTATCAATGATAATGATAACATTATGATAATGACGTCCTTAAATTTTTATCAATCAATAAAATCAATAATTCCGAAGTATATAATGAATTGAATTTACTTCTGGCAAAGTTAAATATGGGAGTCACTATGTTATCGTTATTAGAAAATTTGGAAAAAATCCCATGTGACCGATAGGGTCCCTAAGATCATCATCTTGAACAGATTATTAGTCATTTTATTTTAAGTTAGTTAAATTATTTTTTTCGAGTTGAACTAGTGGTGAGTCTTATTCGGTCAAGCGCCCGCCTGTTTTGAACTGCTCCCCCGGGCTCTGTGAGCTCACAGCGCGTGCGGGGATCTTGTTTTTGAGGCACCTCACAAAGTTTTCTGTGATAATGGCGCCACCTCCCACACGCCCTGGGAGGTTTTTTTTCCGCGCGCTGGAGATCCCGCGCGAACCACGCGCCATTTTTCACCCTGGAATCAACCCAAATTGATCTTGCGGACTTTATCTCGAGAACAGATTACCTGCTGAAAGAATGTGACGCCAAGTGCGCGGTCTGCAACGTAATTGATAAGTACGAGGCGGTGAACGAGATCCTGGGGCCAACCCTCGATTTGACGAGCGAGGAGACACTACCCTCGGTTAAGTTCGACAGATTCGAAGAGGTTTTCGCTTTCAAAGACGAGGCCGCCCTGAGAGCGACAATGCCGTCCCTGCGACACAGGCAAGTGTCGAGCTGGAAAAGCCGGAAAGACGCCGTCGAGGCGATCGTGACGAGAGGAGCCGCAAAGAGATCAGCTAGGAAACCGAAAGATGACTCGCTGAATCGTCTCGCCGAACGAATCCTGGAGCACCAGGGGAGCAGCTTTCTGAAAGATCGAGGATTAATCAAGGAAATTCAAGAGTGGGACGAAGTCACGAGGTGAGTGATCGAGTCAAAGCGCAAAAATGGTCGAATGCCAGGTCCCAAGGACCGCAAGGCGGAATCGTTACGAGGGTCCACGTACCTGTGTTCGAACGGCACGCCAGAGATTCTCCGGAAAAGAAAAATAATGATCGGAACGCGAATATGCGAACCAGTGGTAATCCCGGAAGCCCTGGGCGCATCTGTTGCGAAGGCGTTCCATCGAGGTAATTGCGGGACGATTTCGCGCCTAAAGAATCTGGTCAAGGTGGAAGTTTGGTTCGCAAAGCTAGACAACGTCGTATCTGAGGAGGTGAAAAATTGCCTCTCCTGCACTTACCAGCGCAACAGGGGAAAGATAGTAACCGGGTCTAACGAGTATGACGACCAGGACGCTTCTTTCGTCGGAGAAGTGCTGCTGGCAGACGTAGTCACGAGGAACAGCCACAAACAGTACGAAGAGTCGACCATGAAGTTTTACGTGGTCTCATGCGTCTTGTCGGGTTTCACAAGAATTTATCACGTCAAAAATTCGGAGAATAACGCAGCCAGGGGATCAGACATCTTGCTCAAAGCGATAGGGGATTTCGACCGAGGCCTACGCACGAATTCTAAAATAAAGGTGGTTATGGACGGGAGCTCGATAAATAAGGGAATTAAAAACGCGACTTCTGGAACGAAATAAACGTGGAATTCATCCTCCCAGAGTCGCCGAGCCCGTCGAAAAACTTCTTATCGCCCCTGGACAGCAGGATCGCAAAGTTGAGCCCGGTGATACTCGCAGAGATGTGGAATAAAACTGACCCGAGGCTGATGGAGCTCCTCGTGCCCGACAAGCTGAACAGGACGAAGGGCGCCCATGGATACTCCCCAATGGAAATCTGGACCGGCCGGTCCGCGGTCGACGGCAAAAGAATCGATATTGATATCGAAAAGATAAGAAAATTCGTTAGTGATAGCCGCGAACGCGCAAGAAATGCGGCGCTACGCCTGAACCGCGACGGAAGGTACAGATTACCACTAGTGATCAAGCCGTTTGAGGAAGGAGATAAGTACGGGGGAGAGATGGTTTCGCCAATAAAGAAAGGGGATTTCATCCTCATCGAGGGGAATTACGATAAGAATAAGATGCATCCGTGGTTTAAAGTTTGCGAAACGCCCGAAATACCGGGGGGGATTGACTGGCTCAACGGGCAGGTCGGCACCCAGAAAATGGGGCTTGAGAACAAGAAGTTCTACACGTGGAGCTTCAAGAGCATTAAAGCGATAGTGGACGGAGACAACATCAACAAAGACGACATGAACAACTTTACGAAAATGATGAGATGCTTCCTGCTCCAGGTCCCCGAGTTGTCGCTGCCCGAAGTAATGAAGCCAAGAAGCATCGTCACAAAAATTTTTGGAAAAAGAAAGACGGATTCGTTCATAATGAAATTATATTCTAAAGAAAAGGCGATGCAGTAGTTTTAGAGCAGGTTATTTGAATCGTTGCACTCGGCTAGGCACGGCGGCTGGTGGAGGAGGAAACTCGCCAGCAAGAGGTGGAGCAGGAGCAGGAGCAGTGACCAAGGAGGAAGTAGCGTCTTGAGCAACAGCAGTCTTAGCGGCGATGGACTAAAAGGCGAAATTAAAGCTGAAACGCTAGAGTTGAAATTACCGCAAGAGGAGTCGGGTTAAGCTTCTTCTTCTTGAAAGGGTTGAAGCGAGAAGCAGCCGATGAAGCGGGAGCGGACGTTACAATTTGCTCATCGAGAGCAGTAAGAGCGTGAGTGACAGCGGGCGAGGTATACGCAGCGGACGCCCCTTCTACTTGAGCTTTCTGCTGGGCTTCTTGCTGGGCGAGTCGCAAGACGGATAAATCGTGTTCAGCTCGCGCATCAGCCAATTTAGCCCGACGTTGAGCGTCTTGGCTTTTCAATTCCGCCTCCTGCTGCAGCTGCTGGAACTTTATTTGGTCGCGTTGAGCGCGACTCTGCTGCTGACGCATTCTCGCAGCGCTATTTTCACTTCCCTGAGGCATTAAGGCCGTAAAGCACTCCAAACATTGCTCGCATGTCGCTGTTATTCGACCAAGCATGCAGTTGGCCACAAACAGGACGGCGGCGGCCGACCAAAACCTAGAATTACTTTACCAATACGGAAATTTTAATCGATATTTACCAAGTAATTGGCCGGGCGCCGCCGCCCCGCCAGTGATCTTCGGTAGTCGTGCGAGAAGCTGCACCATGCGAGGAATGACAAGCGCCTGGAGTTCGGTCGCGGAGAGGCTGATGTCGCGTTGATTGCGCAGTAGATCGACACTGGTGTCGTCGTTGTAGTGATCGTCGGTGTACGCGGGAAGCTTGTCCTGATCGACCATGTAGTCGATAAAGCCGGAATCGTACATGGATCCACGCCGGGAGCGAGCAGGCACGAAAGCGGAGGTTGAATCGGAAGCGAAATCGTCAAGGTTGTCGACAAAGGAAGGTAATTTATCCTGGTCGACCATGTAATCGATGAAACCAGAGTCGTACATGGCCCCACGGCGGGAACGAGCAGGAACGAATTCGATCACCTCATCGTCGGTGGAGGAAGGAAGCTTGTCTTGATCGACCATGTAGTCGACAAATCCAGACTCGTACATCGACCCACGCTTCGATCGAGCCGGAACGGAACCGTCTTCAGTCGGAGAAGTGAGAGACCGAGGTGTGCGGGTAAAAGGCAAAGTGAGGTTGTAAGAGGCGGCCAGCGGAGCGGTGAAGTTGTAGAGCTGGTCGTAAACGCTAGAGCTAAGATGGGTTACGTCGTAGTCGAAGTCGCCGGAGACAATGTAGCGGTCCATGTCGAAAACGAGACCAGAAACCGATCTCCCAAAGTCGCGGAAGATCGATCGCAATACCTCTGCAGTTTCGGCGGAAAAATTTTAGCAACAAGATGATCGGCAGCGACTTCAACATGGCGGATTCTGAATTCTCCGGCGATCTCCATCAGAGCGGAACCGTTCATGTCCTGAAGCGCTTGAAGGTGCTCCTTGGGAATCGTAACGTTGAGTAGGCCGAGGTGCAAATCGTCGTCAGTGACCCAGCGGACTTCCGGCTCGACCAGCTCATCATCGGTAAATCGCTTGGCAAGCCAAGTCTAAAGCGAAAATTAATTTAACTCGTCGATCATTAATCTTTGACTAATTAAACCGTTAAAAACTTACGCAACCCTTGACGACCCAAAATACGAGCCGGCAGAACCACACGATGAGCCTCCAGAGGCCTGTCCAGTAAAGGATGTAGGCGACGAAGGAGAGGAAGATGGTGAAGAGGAGAGCGTAGATAGCGTATTGAACACAGACGATTTTGAGAGCGCTGGGGGCCGGACGACCTTCTGAACCGGCAGCCAAAACTCTTGACGACGGTAAGCCTTCGCCAGGCGCCGCTGAAGATGTCGACGCCTTCGGACATTGAAGAGGCGATGAAAACGGCGGGGTCCTGAATACTTGGGCATCTGGCCCCCATCGATGGCATCGGCTTGTTTCTCTAGGTCTGAAATGTATTTGCGGTCGTCGTCGGTAACAAATTTAGAGTACGCTGGTGGGGAATCCATTTTTGGATGTGATATAACGAAAGAATTAGCGTAATTATATAGCCAGAAAGGGAGGGCGCCCGCCCTCAAAGGTCAGCTGAAAGAAGGTTGAACAGAGGCGCTCAACAGCTGATGCGATAGAGTGATGTTGATTTTGGATAGCGGTGGCGCAGTAAGAGGCAATAAGGCGTTCGCACACAAGAAAACGTTGATGCGATTCAAGGTAAATAGTAAGAGCGGCGGCCAGCTGTTCGCCAAAGGATTCAAAAGAGCCGTCATCGCCGTCACGCACTTGACTCGTAACTCTAGGAGGAACGTCAAGGTTGAAATGAAGCTCGACAGGGAAATCCATCATCCGTATTGAGTCGGCAACAAAACTAAAAACGATTACGCGGAGCGAGCAAAATCTCTTACGCGAAAAAAGCTACAAAATCCTGATAAGGGCTCTCGGAGACCCAGGACAACAGCTGCGCGGGAGTGCGGTCCTCATAAACCTGCTTGCGAAGCTGATAAAGACGGTGTGGTACGTATAGGTCGTTATGAGGGCGAAAGGAACCAAGGAAAGCAACATCGAATTCAGGGAAAAGTGGATAAACTCGCTCCAGCTTTACGCTAAAATAAGTAACGATATACCGAACCCAAATAAGACCGACCCAAATGGAGAATCGCCGAACGTTCTAGCATCCTGCAGCCATCGATATCGCCTTATATCACCAGTGGAAACAGGCTGCGAAAATCCCCTCGTCCGAGATTCGAAGTAGGAGGAAGACGCGGTCGCTTCATAGCACTCATCGATGAACTCGAAAATCTTCTTTTCTTCAGAGGCAGCAGGAGAATCAGGAATGGGTTCGTAATCAGCGTCATCGTCGCTAGCAAGTCCGGCTTTGCAAGTGGATCCGGGGGGAGAAGCTTCCACCTTCGCCCTCTTGACATCAACAGGTTTGATGACGGTACCATCAAGGTCCGCCAATTTCCGCTTGTTTATCGTCGTTATTTGAGCCGCGCGTTTTGCAGCGACTAAGTAAATGTAAAAGCTAGTCGGCCAATAGAGGGATCAAGCAGCGCTATTTACATGCATTTGCGGACAGATCCCAGTTAAACAGCGGAGACTTACCCAAAGATCTGCGAGCTCGTTTACGAACAGGCAATTTCGCGTTTTGGGAGATCTCAATCCCAATTTGCGCCATTACGGTATCGTCAAGCCTCTAGAGGCGTCGGTTGCCGGGCTGTCTTCAGTTTTTCGTTTCTTCGTTCGCGAAACCAAATTCCTAGCGATAGCGTTATTTTATTATTTTCTAGAGAGACTTTACCTCGAGCTGACTAGCGGCTTGGGCGAACGCGAATTGCGCTTTGTGCATTTCCAGTCGGAGGTTTTCAACCTTGTTTGCCAGGGATTCGTTGAACTTGAGCTGAATGTTGAAGAGCGCGTTAATTGCTTCTTGGCGGGCTCTTTCGTCGTCGGACTCGCAGTCTATGGTTGCCAGGTCCTTCGTCGAGAAGTCTTGCTTGCAGCCGGGGCACTTGTTCCGATCCCAGCTCATGCTATCTTCGAAACAAAGTCGGCAAAGGCGGAAGCAGTTGACGTCCTTTCCCAGCCCGCAGAAGTGAGCTCGTTCTGGATGCATGTCGAGGAACGGTTTGTTGCACTCTTCGCAAAAGTCCTTTTCTCTCAGGAGATTGATCCACGGTTCATTCATCGCCTTCCTCGGCATTTTGTCTTTTCGGTTTCTCACGAGTTATTCTTTTAGACTGCCTCGCGTCCATTGGTCCTCGATAAATTTTCGATCCACGCTGCCTTCAAGCCAGATTCACAGCCGCGCTTCGATGTCGACTACCGCTCAAACTCGTAGCCGTTCGAAGCGAAAACGGCTTGACGATACCGTAATGGCGCAAATTGGGATTGAGATCTCCCAAAACGCGAAATTGCCTGTTCGTAAACGAGCTCGCAGATCTTTGGGTAAGTCTCCGCTGTTTAACTGGGATCTGTCCGCAAATGCATGTAAATAGCGCTGCTTGATCCCTCTATTGGCCGACTAGCTTTTACATTTACTTAGTCGCTGCAAAACGCGCGGCTCAAATAACGACGATAAACAAGCGGAAATTGGCGGACCTTGATGGTACCGTCATCAAACCTGTTGATGTCAAGAGGGCGAAGGTGGAAGCTTCTCCCCCCGGATCCACTTGCAAAGCCGGACTTGCTAGCGACGATGACGCTGATTACGAACCCATTCCTGATTCTCCTGCTGCCTCTGAAGAAAAGAAGATTTTCGAGTTCATCGATGAGTGCTATGAAGCGACCGCGTCTTCCTCCTACTTCGAATCTCGGACGAGGGGATTTTCGCAGCCTGTTTCCACTGGTGATATAAGGCGATATCGATGGCTGCAGGATGCTAGAACGTTCGGCGATTCTCCATTTGGGTCGGTCTTATTTGGGTTCGGTATATCGTTACTTATTTTAGCGTAAAGCTGGAGCGAGTTTATCCACTTTTCCCTGAATTCGATGTTGCTTTCCTTGGTTCCTTTCGCCCTCATAACGACCTATACGTACCACACCGTCTTTATCAGCTTCGCAAGCAGGTTTATGAGGACCGCACTCCCGCGCAGCTGTTGTCCTGGGTCTCCGAGAGCCCTTATCAGGATTTTGTAGCTTTTTTCGCGTAAGAGATTTTGCTCGCTCCGCGTAATCGTTTTTAGTTTTGTTGCCGACTCAATACGGATGATGGATTTCCCTGTCGAGCTTCATTTCAACCTTGACGTTCCTCCTAGAGTTACGAGTCAAGTGCGTGACGGCGATGACGGCTCTTTTGAATCCTTTGGCGAACAGCTGGCCGCCGCTCTTACTATTTACCTTGAATCGCATCAACGTTTTCTTGTGTGCGAACGCCTTATTGCCTCTTACTGCGCCACCGCTATCCAAAATCAACATCACTCTATCGCATCAGCTGTTGAGCGCCTCTGTTCAACCTTCTTTCAGCTGACCTTTGAGGGCGGGCGCCCTCCCTTTCTGGCTATATAATTACGCTAATTCTTTCGTTATATCACATCCAAAAATGGATTCCCCACCAGCGTACTCTAAATTTGTTACCGACGACGACCGCAAATACATTTCAGACCTAGAGAAACAAGCCGATGCCATCGATGGGGGCCAGATGCCCAAGTATTCAGGACCCCGCCGTTTTCATCGCCTCTTCAATGTCCGAAGGCGTCGACATCTTCAGCGGCGCCTGGCGAAGGCTTACCGTCGTCAAGAGTTTTGGCTGCCGGTTCAGAAGGTCGTCCGGCCCCCAGCGCTCTCAAAATCGTCTGTGTTCAATACGCTATCTACGCTCTCCTCTTCACCATCTTCCTCTCCTTCGTCGCCTACATCCTTTACTGGACAGGCCTCTGGAGGCTCATCGTGTGGTTCTGCCGGCTCGTATTTTGGGTCGTCAAGGGTTGCGTAAGTTTTTAACGGTTTAATTAGTCAAAGATTAATGATCGACGAGTTAAATTAATTTTCGCTTTAGACTTGGCTTGCCAAGCGATTTACCGATGATGAGCTGGTCGAGCCGGAAGTCCGCTGGGTCACTGACGACGATTTGCACCTCGGCCTACTCAACGTTACGATTCCCAAGGAGCACCTTCAAGCGCTTCAGGACATGAACGGTTCCGCTCTGATGGAGATCGCCGGAGAATTCAGAATCCGCCATGTTGAAGTCGCTGCCGATCATCTTGTTGCTAAAATTTTTTCCGCCGAAACTGCAGAGGTATTGCGATCGATCTTCCGCGACTTTGGGAGATCGGTTTCTGGTCTCGTTTTCGACATGGACCGCTACATTGTCTCCGGCGACTTCGACTACGACGTAACCCATCTTAGCTCTAGCGTTTACGACCAGCTCTACAACTTCACCGCTCCGCTGGCCGCCTCTTACAACCTCACTTTGCCTTTTACCCGCACACCTCGGTCTCTCACTTCTCCGACTGAAGACGGTTCCGTTCCGGCTCGATCGAAGCGTGGGTCGATGTACGAGTCTGGATTTGTCGACTACATGGTCGATCAAGACAAGCTTCCTTCCTCCACCGACGATGAGGTGATCGAATTCGTTCCTGCTCGTTCCCGCCGTGGGGCCATGTACGACTCTGGTTTCATCGATTACATGGTCGACCAGGATAAATTACCTTCCTTTGTCGACAACCTTGACGATTTCGCTTCCGATTCAACCTCCGCTTTCGTGCCTGCTCGCTCCCGGCGTGGATCCATGTACGATTCCGGCTTTATCGACTACATGGTCGATCAGGACAAGCTTCCCGCGTACACCGACGATCACTACAACGACGACACCAGTGTCGATCTACTGCGCAATCAACGCGACATCAGCCTCTCCGCGACCGAACTCCAGGCGCTTGTCATTCCTCGCATGGTGCAGCTTCTCGCACGACTACCGAAGATCACTGGCGGGGCGGCGGCGCCCGGCCAATTACTTGGTAAATATCGATTAAAATTTCCGTATTGGTAAAGTAATTCTAGGTTTTGGTCGGCCGCCGCCGTCCTGTTTGTGGCCAACTGCATGCTTGGTCGAATAACAGCGACATGCGAGCAATGTTTGGAGTGCTTTACGGCCTTAATGCCTCAGGGAAGTGAAAATAGCGCTGCGAGAATGCGTCAGCAGCAGAGTCGCGCTCAACGCGACCAAATAAAGTTCCAGCAGCTGCAGCAGGAGGCGGAATTGAAAAGCCAAGACGCTCAACGTAATTGGCTGATGCGCGAGCTGAACACGATTTATCCGTCTTGCGACTCGCCCAGCAAGAAGCCCAGCAGAAAGCTCAAGTAGAAGGGGCGTCCGCTGCGTATACCTCGCCCGCTGTCACTCACGCTCTTACTGCTCTCGATGAGCAAATTGTAACGTCCGCTCCCGCTTCATCGGCTGCTTCTCGCTTCAACCCTTTCAAGAAGAAGAAGCTTAACCCGACTCCTCTTGCGGTAATTTCAACTCTAGCGTTTCAGCTTTAATTTCGCCTTTTAGTCCATCGCCGCTAAGACTGCTGTTGCTCAAGACGCTACTTCCTCCTTGGTCACTGCTCCTGCTCCTGCTCCACCTCTTGCTGGCGAGTTTCCTCCTCCACCAGCCGCCGTGCCTAGCCGAGTGCAACGATTCAAATAACCTGCTCTAAAACTACTGCATCGCCTTTTCTTTAGAATATAATTTCATTATGAACGAATCCGTCTTTCTTTTTCCAAAAATTTTTGTGACGATGCTTCTTGGCTTCATTACTTCGGGCAGCGACAACTCGGGGACCTGGAGCAGGAAGCATCTCATCATTTTCGTAAAGTTGTTCATGTCGTCTTTGTTGATGTTGTCTCCGTCCACTATCGCTTTAATGCTCTTGAAGCTCCACGTGTAGAACTTCTTGTTCTCAAGCCCCATTTTCTGGGTGCCGACCTGCCCGTTGAGCCAGTCAATCCCCCCCGGTATTTCGGGCGTTTCGCAAACTTTAAACCACGGATGCATCTTATTCTTATCGTAATTCCCCTCGATGAGGATGAAATCCCCTTTCTTTATTGGCGAAACCATCTCTCCCCCGTACTTATCTCCTTCCTCAAACGGCTTGATCACTAGTGGTAATCTGTACCTTCCGTCGCGGTTCAGGCGTAGCGCCGCATTTCTTGCGCGTTCGCGGCTATCACTAACGAATTTTCTTATCTTTTCGATATCAATATCGATTCTTTTGCCGTCGACCGCGGACCGGCCGGTCCAGATTTCCATTGGGGAGTATCCATGGGCGCCCTTCGTCCTGTTCAGCTTGTCGGGCACGAGGAGCTCCATCAGCCTCGGGTCAGTTTTATTCCACATCTCTGCGAGTATCACCGGGCTCAACTTTGCGATCCTGCTGTCCAGGGGCGATAAGAAGTTTTTCGACGGGCTCGGCGACTCTGGGAGGATGAATTCCACGTTTATTTCGTTCCAGAAGTCGCGTTTTTTAATTCCCTTATTTATCGAGCTCCCGTCCATAACCACCTTTATTTTAGAATTCGTGCGTAGGCCTCGGTCGAAATCCCCTATCGCTTTGAGCAAGATGTCTGATCCCCTGGCTGCGTTATTCTCCGAATTTTTGACGTGATAAATTCTTGTGAAACCCGACAAGACGCATGAGACCACGTAAAACTTCATGGTCGACTCTTCGTACTGTTTGTGGCTGTTCCTCGTGACTACGTCTGCCAGCAGCACTTCTCCGACGAAAGAAGCGTCCTGGTCGTCATACTCGTTAGACCCGGTTACTATCTTTCCCCTGTTGCGCTGGTAAGTGCAGGAGAGGCAATTTTTCACCTCCTCAGATACGACGTTGTCTAGCTTTGCGAACCAAACTTCCACCTTGACCAGATTCTTTAGGCGCGAAATCGTCCCGCAATTACCTCGATGGAACGCCTTCGCAACAGATGCGCCCAGGGCTTCCGGGATTACCACTGGTTCGCATATTCGCGTTCCGATCATTATTTTTCTTTTCCGGAGAATCTCTGGCGTGCCGTTCGAACACAGGTACGTGGACCCTCGTAACGATTCCGCCTTGCGGTCCTTGGGACCTGGCATTCGACCATTTTTGCGCTTTGACTCGATCACTCACCTCGTGACTTCGTCCCACTCTTGAATTTCCTTGATTAATCCTCGATCTTTCAGAAAGCTGCTCCCCTGGTGCTCCAGGATTCGTTCGGCGAGACGATTCAGCGAGTCATCTTTCGGTTTCCTAGCTGATCTCTTTGCGGCTCCTCTCGTCACGATCGCCTCGACGGCGTCTTTCCGGCTTTTCCAGCTCGACACTTGCCTGTGTCGCAGGGACGGCATTGTCGCTCTCAGGGCGGCCTCGTCTTTGAAAGCGAAAACCTCTTCGAATCTGTCGAACTTAACCGAGGGTAGTGTCTCCTCGCTCGTCAAATCGAGGGTTGGCCCCAGGATCTCGTTCACCGCCTCGTACTTATCAATTACGTTGCAGACCGCGCACTTGGCGTCACATTCTTTCAGCAGGTAATCTGTTCTCGAGATAAAGTCCGCAAGATCAATTTGGGTTGATTCCCCTTTCTCGTAGACAATCTCCACGTCGAAGCTCAGGAGCTTCACTATTTGGTCGTTTATCCGTTTGTCCAGGCTGAGCTCTTTCCCCTGCCTGGCTCTATCGAATAATTTTTTCACCGACAAAGAGTCGGTAATGATCACTACCGGTTTAGACACGAAGTCGATCTCCCAGCAGAAACATAATGTCGCGCTTAAAATGCCGTGCAGTTCCAACTAACAGGAGCTCCACTGCGTTTTCAATTGGGAATCCCCTCTCTTTCTGGACCAAAGTCGCACGATTTGCGTTCGGTCCCCTTTCTTTTGATAAAGGTAGCCCCCGGAGCCCAGATTAGAGCTGTCGACCACAAGGAAGGTATCGAGATCCTTTTCAATTGGATAAAGGTCCACCATTTGCGAGTTTATTGCCTCCGCCAGCTTCTCGTAGCAGGCTCGTAACTCTGGTGTCCACTCCACGTAATCGCTTAATTTCTTTGACCCTGATGCTGCCTCGTTCAGCTTCCACATCATTTCTGTCCGGCGGGGGAGCCCGATCGATAGATAGTTTATTATTCCGATATAGCGTTTTAGTTGTTTCACCGTCTTAATTGTGCTTGGATTTTCCGCTTACGCCTTTTTTAGGATGTGGTTCGACATGCAAATCTTGCCGTCTTTTACCCGTCTCCCGAGAAGCACAATGTCCTTGGAACCGATCACGCATTTCGACCCTTTGAGTCGAAGATTACGGTAAGCGAGTGTCTTAAAGACCTTTCGCACCCTCTCAATCAACTGGTCAAACGAATCCGCCACTATTAAAAAATCGTCCATGTAGATCGAAGTGTACTCCAAGTGATCGTACATGATTCTAGTGATCATCTCGCGCGCCAACACTGGACTGCTCACCCATCCCATCGGTAGCCGTCGGTACGCCAACTCGCCGACTTTGGGGTGAAGAATGACGAAGTGTTTTCACAACTCTTCTTCGATCTCGAAGCAGTGAAACATGGCCCCGATGTCTACCTGTGCGACAAAACCTTTCTTCGTAAATGGGGCCGCAAGCTGGAGGATCCTCTGTATCGAATCGGTCTGCCTCGCCACGTGATCGGTCTTGTCGTTAATGCCGCTGCGTGCGCAATCGCCGACCACTCTGACGTTGGAAGCTGTGAGTTCGACGCTGGCTTCGCCATTTGGGCCTTTTTTAGAAACACCGAAAAAGCTCATATAATTAGCCGCTGTCATATGCTTAGGTAGAACCGTCAGCACCCCTTCCGCGGCTTCCTGGTCTAATTTGTCCTCGATTGCCTTCATGACGCTCTCCGGTAAGTTCTTACCGTAGCCGATCGGCGCCGACTTTGGGCTCCGGTCCGAATTTCCGGGGTCTATTCTAGCGTGCACCTCAAACTCCTTGTCGGCCACGTGGCCCACCGTGCCTTCGAAAATGGCCTCGAATTCGTCAAGAACCTTATTAACGATGTCCACCTGTTCTGACGACAACGTGTCGCCCAGCGGATCGACCTGCACCTTCGACCTCGAGTTCTTTTTCCGATTTTCAGCGTGTATTCTCTCCAGCTTCCGAGCCCATGTCCTCGTTCCATCAGGGTCGTAGGCCCTTGAAGGTCTTTCGTCTAAGAACTCGCTGTTCTCGTACAGATGATCATGCAAGGTAGGCGTTCTTTCTAGCTTCTCACCGGTCAACATGATTTCAGGGTCATTAATCGCTATATCCTCACAGTCTTCCCAAATCCTGCGTAAAGCCTTACCATTTACGCACACCTCCAACTTATCGTTTTCATCGAACTTGACCTCGATCCTGTTACGCTCAAAGCTGTCAGCCCCGAGGATGACTGTCTTCTGTGGTCCTGCGTAAACTTTACAATCCCTAAAGGTAAGTTTCAAGTCGCTATTAAACTCGATGTCAAAATTAGCGTCGGTGCCCTGATCAGAAATAGCCAAAACTAACGCAAGTCTGAGATCTAAAAAAACAACCGTTTAGAAATGAACTCTCGCGGTACAAAACGCCAAAGAGAACCGGATGACGGCGAGTACGCGTTCACGCTGCCAAAAAGGCTCAGACGGAACATCGACGCATCGACAGCGGTGGAATCAACGCTCGTTCAAGCGGTGCTATCCACATAACGCGAAAAGAACATCATCGCGATCGAAATGGCCTTAGAAAGAGCCATCGAGCTGGATGTAATTGCCACAACCGTGGAAGAACTAACGAAAGAGAACAGCGAAGGAAAGTTACGAGCCTTTTATTTATCTTTTCGGACAGATTAAAAAACAGTGCAGTAACTAAAAGTAGCGTTCAAAACTCTGATCGAGGCACGCAAGTCGAAGAGCCAGCTGGACTCGGATTTGGCAGCGGAGAAGCTGAAGTCGTTGCTCAAAAGTCAGGTGAGTCGGGGAAATCAGGACGGTAAGGATATCGCAAGTCCTCGGCACCGGTGTAGACGGGGCGACGAGCATTCTCTCCTTCGGCAAGTTCCTCCTCGATAGGGATGACGGCTAAGGCACCAACTTGGGGAAGACCATCCGGGTAGAGCTGCCGATAAATCTCGCCCAGCCAAAGTTCGCCTAAGCCTTCGGGGAGAAGGTTGACCATCCCTAGAATACGTATAAAAGAGTAAAATCCCGGGAAACTTACGATTACGCCGACGATCATGATGGACGTAAAAGCAATCCATCGGAGCGGCTTCCAAACGGCCACGCCACGGATCCGCAACTACCTGTCGGAAAGCCGGGGGGAAAACAGAAGCTCGGCTAATCATGTCAGCGAACAAGGGATAAAAACCGTACTTCAGGACCAGGCAACAGCGATGCAGATAAGAGAGCTGGTCTCGTCCTAAATGAAGCTGATGAGTCTCTCGAGCAACACGAGGAGTTTTGGCCACTAGCAGAAAGCACAGGTACTTACGGATCCCAAAAAGGATGAGGCTCGTCGGATAGATAGAGATACATCGCCAGAAAAAGCAACAAATCTAGATCGTAACCGGGCCAAACTTCCTCGGTGGCACGTAACTGCATCGCCACTAAGAATAGATTTTAGGCTCGATCATCATCCTGGATTCAACCGTAGGGTCGGCCAGCGAATTCCAAGTCGAGGAGACGAACAACTCGGCGGGGATCGGCGAAAATCTGGATAGCGCGGAGCAGACGTTGCAGAAAGGTAAAATCCTCGGAAAGCACGGCATGTGGCACAATCAACGTGTTGGCTTCCTCGCAATTGAAGTCAGGCTCCGTGAGTTTCTAAAGAAAAATTTTAGCCGAGCCTCGGGAAGAATAATCACCTGTACGAAACGAAAACACCATAGATATTGAAACGGCGAATCATCAAAGCCGTAAGTGCTCCAAGAACCGTCAATTGTTTGCGACTCGTGCTCGTAATGACCTGAAGTTCAGCTACAATTACGCCCGTATCACTACCCTCACCAGTCTGGTCCAAGAGCTCGACAGCCTCCTTTGTCGTCATCGTCAGGTATTTCAGACTTCGGTTGAGACAGGACCTATCAAAAAATTCAAGATCGACGCGAAGAAAACAATCTACCTTTTCGCGTGAACCAACATGTCCGAATTAGCATCGAATTCCTCAGCCGCAGCATCGACGGCCGCGCAGTAACTTCGGAACATATCGCGGAAGTCCACGCTGTTGTGACGAGAATATGGTGGCACGACAATTCTCACGAGCCCAGCCCGAGCCTTGCCAGTAGAGAAATCTACGGTCCCCAGTTAAACCTTCCCGTCACTTCGCAATTAGTTATCCCTACCGTCAAAATACGCATTAGCATAAAATTAACCCCTAAAGAGGTCGGAAGGCCGAATCTCCTTGTTCGCGAAAGCTTCCTGTAATAGATTAAAGTTTACGAATCTGGCATGTTGCCCCTGGAATCGCTGAGCTCGTCGCATGTGAGGAGACGAAAGCGAATACTCGAGGCGGCTGAAATCGAATCCATGTTCTCTAGCTCGAGCATTCTCGGACAGTTTTCGCATAGGCTCCGCATTGTCAATGCGACGGAAATCGCTCAGGTGTCTAAAAATATCGTTTCAGTATGGTAGAGGTGGAGAAAATCGGAGAAAAGCTGAAGAAAACGTCTCTACTTGAAGCGGCTGGCCGAGAGGAAAATGCGGACGAAGAGTCCTCCGTGCGAGCCAATCAGGGCTCAAGCTCGGGCGCTTCAAAGTTCCTCCCGTCTTTTCTCGAGATTGGTGAAGCTGAACCGGAAACTAAATTAGCCTCGAAAGAGCAACTGGCCGAAATCGAGCAACACGCCAGCGACTCCAAGGACGACGCGATCATGGCCGCGTTGAAAAATGGGGTGAGGCCCGGGACGTTCATGCGGACGTTCAAAGGTCTCTCGTTCGTCGCGAAAGTATCAAAGGACCCGGTCTGCACGAACTTCCTGACAGATTTGGGGAACTGGATGACAAAAATGTCGGAGATCGATAGAGGACTCTACGCCTTACCCGAAAATGTAAGTAAAACAAAATTATCTCTGACTTACTCCCGGATTAAAGCGAGTGCATCAGCCGCTGTCCCCGCCATTGGTGTGTATGACGGTCTGGGCGCAGAAAGAGCTGTACAAGCTATGCACGGAGGCGCCCAAACCACTAGCGGGCTTCATCCTCCATGTTTGGCACAAACACGGAACAGGATTGACGGGCGATAACGGCGCTCGAGTATCCCTTCAAGAGGTCGATTCAATGAAGGACGTGGAGCGTTTCGTCGAAGAGCAAACATCGGAGACGACTTGCGCAAATATCGCGGAAGGAGCGGTGGACGCGTTCAACCGCTTTTGCGCGGAATTCGACATCTCCAGCAAGACTCCAGAGTTCCCCGAGTGCGGATCGAACGAAGAAATAGTCGAGTGGGCCAGAACAGCGAAACGCATCTTCGACGAAAATAACGCTAAAATGAAAGGTTACAAAGAGTCGCTGATGACAATGTCCCGCTGGACACTGCAGGGAACGTACAACTACCTAACGCACGAGTCCGCGCTCAAGAAAATCGCAGCTGTCGCCAACTTCGACCACTTCCAAGGCAATACCCTAGTCACAGTCTTGGATAACGGCAAGCTGCGAGGCTTCACGATGAATAACGGGACAGTACAGAAAAGTAAGCCCCGGTTGATATAAATTTTTCACTCACGAAATGTTCAGCTCAGCGGCTACCAGGATTCATGCGCGGGTGGAAGGTACTCACAGGTGGACGATCGAACGTGGATTACCGGAAAGGAGGATTCGTGTCGGAATCAGGAAACGGATTCAAACGCCCGAATCCAAGCGAGAAGTACGACGAGCCCAGAGCGAAACGACGATGGGGAAATGGCTACGGCCAGCGCCGGTGGAATATGCGATCCCGGGCCCAGAGGACCAAGGATCGAGTCGAGGGAAGCCGAGAGCTTGCCCTCCGGAAAGGCCATTACCTGGCTGACCTTCGCTGCGCCCGAGCAACGCTCAGACGCCGCAGAGGTCCAGCGAGGTAGGGGAGAGAAATCAGCCCAACCTTTTCGAAAAATAAGAACGTGTCCCCAACCTAACCCATCTTCAGGTTCGTCTTGGTTCAAGCCTACGCCGGAGCAGCACGAATTTCATCTTCCCTGTCTTTCGGTATCTGTGCAAATAAAAGGACGCAAGTCCGGACCAAATACAAACGAGTGTTAGATTGTGGAACGCATAACGAACGTATTTTGTTTCGTATTAAGGGGGAGGTCGACGAGAATCGGGATTTCCGTGACCAAAAATGCGGAGAAACCCGATTAGATAGGAAAATTCTGACTTTTCGGATTGAAAGAAAAGGGTTTGAAAAATTAACCGGCGAAAAGCAGAAAAAAAATTTTTTTGAAAAATTTTTCAAAAATTAAGGTTGAAGTGGGGGTGTCTCGTGACCAAAAAATCTCGAAAATCGAGCTTTTTTTTCTTCATCCAATATAATTAATAAATAGTTTAGACCCTAAAAAATTAGCCGGCGATCAAAAAATTAAGGGTTACTTTCATAAAAAATTTTTTCTTATTGATTAAAAATATTCGATTTTTGTCAAAATCGACATTTTTACCCATTTTTTCATGGAAATTTCTGCTAAAATCACAAAGACAATAACTTATTCCCAAAAAATGGGCTCAACAGGGAAAGAACTAAAAAATCTACCTGATTTTCTTGAAAGGGAGAAGCAACATCCTCATTCTCCGGCGCTTCCGACCTGAGCAAATCTGTATCAATTCCTGATTTGTCGATCTTTCCAAAAACGACTGCCCGATCGTAACAGAAGTTTCCTTGTTGTTGCCCGAACAATTGAGGAAAATCAACTTGAATATAAATTTTTAGTTCATAGATAAAATATGCAAGAACTTATTTCTTTCTTTGTATGCCCAATAACACTAGAATCTTTGCCACATTCTTTGGAAGGTACTGATTTATATATTCTCTTTGTTAACTTCACCGCAAAAACTCACAAACAAGCCGTCGATAGAGCAAGTTTTGAAAGAGCTGCTTCGCTCTATTATGCAGGTGGTTTTCTGAGAGTTTGTTGCTCTTGGAATTCTTTTGGCGACCTAATAATATTTTTATTTGAAAAACTGATCAAAAAAAATTTTTTCAATTTCTAGAAGTAATTTTTAAATGTTGTGGAAACGGTAAAAATGGTCAGTTACAAAGCCAGTCCTCAAATGAGCCACGTTGTTCAAATCCACGACCCTGTTCATGTTCCTGACAAAGAATTTCACGATTTAGAAGATCTCAAAGCCCTTTTCAGGTCTTATTGGTTTCATAATTAAATAAAAACCTCATTATGTGATCTATTTCCAAAGTAAGTAACCAAATCAAGATCACCGAAGAACGCCGATTTAAATTTACGAAAAGCGATTCTCCGTCAATATATAAAAATCTTGACCAGTAAAAGAATACTTGTGAGGACGTTAGTAGATAGTAAAAGTGCTCATAGTGCTACTAAAACAGTCATGATGCCTCCCAGGATCAGAGTTCGAAATTTTTGGGACTAACTCTCATTGGCTCCCACTTTTTTGGAATAAGTGGTTGTCCCTTCGAACAGTTCGGGATCCCGAACCATTCGGGATTCTCCTAATGATTCGGGAGTGTAAGGAACTTTCATCTAACAGAACGGTCGAATTTTCGCATTATTAAATGAGATCAAAGGCCTACTGTAGAGAATGAAATCTTTCGAATTAACAGAAATTGACAGAGATTCAAATTCCGATGATTTTTAGAGTCAACAAGCGTGAATGCGCTTCGCGCCTGTCTTGTAGGAAATTTTACGGGTGATTCATTCATTTGGCATAAAAATATATTTTTCGAAAAACCTGAAAATGGCAACAGTGGCAACAAGGGCAACAAGAGCATCTGAAAAAACAGCTTCTTGTCTCCAAAACCTGAAAATGGCAACAAGGGCAACAACGGCAATTCCTTCTTCTAGAGATGGAGGCGCAAAAGTAGAGAAAGTTGGCCTCCTGCAAAAATGAGTTCTCTACCAGATTTTGCGCGCAAGGGTCGCAGGCCCGCAGCGTGCTCATAAGCGTTGATAATTTCTTTTGGATTTTCTTGTTCTAGCTAATATGTTTATTTTTTAAGGAGTATGAAAAACTCATTTAGAACAGAATTGGAGTATATTTTTGCGATGAAAAGACATGAAGCAGACGAAATGGCTAATTATTTAATTAGAAATTTATAAATTTTTATCAATTATCTAGTTCCATTTTACTAACAGCGTTCTGAACTCGTATTTGCTGTTAGTTATTTGCTTGCATTTTCCTGACTGAGCAAAAAATAAACGCAAGAAAATTAATTGAAATCAAATCAAGAGACGCGCTCCTAAAACAACAACTGACAATTCAAAATCGGCCCAAGTCCTCAAAACCTGAAAATGGCAACAAGGGCTTGTTGCCTTTGTTGCCCTTATTGCCATTTTCAGGTTTTACCATATTTTTGGCTCTCGAGCATCGATTGACGTCGGAACAGATCACTACTAAGTCGTTCTATTTTTTTTTACTTTACTTAACGGACAACAAACATCGAAAAAACTCCGAATCGTTCGAAGACAAAAACCTCCATTTTCTCTTCCAATGATTCGGGAAATCCCGAATCATGCGGGATCCCGAACTGTTCGAAGTTTCAACCGGAATAAGTGGGCAGACTTAGAAGTCTTGGGGAGCGAAATTGGGAGCTGCGACTTTTTGAAAATTCCGAACTCTGCTCAGGATTCCGCTGACCAAAGCTAATTTCGCTCGAGGTGGTCCCGAATTTATTCATTTTTTCATCACTGAGGTGCTTCCAGGTGGTCACTATTTCAAAATAAAATAATTTTTATTATCATTCCAGGTGAACCAAAAAACACCACCGCTATTCTGCCATGCACAAGAAAATCATTCGATGACCGCTTGTATCAGTTTCCAACTACTCCAAATCAATGTGGTGTGAAATCCGGCTGGAATGCGGAGATGCGCTCACTTTCAGAAGAAGATATTATGCTTATCCAATGCGTAGGTTATTATGTACGAATTTTAAATTACGGTTTTTTTAAGACTGGATGGAATCATAATGATCTTTATCAAGCAATGATTTGGGTAGAAGTACAAGGTACGCTTTTTTTAATAGGACATTATTAAAAAAACTATCATTATCAAAAAATTATATTTTTCTGAGAGATAAAATTATCTGTTCATTATTAATATTACTAAGAGTTTTAACCCTAACTTAAGACTTACCATAATGGACCACTACATATGGTTTTTTTAGTGAATAGAAATTACTCGGACCAAAAATGTAAATCAATCTGCTGGTACATTGTTCTATTCTTTTTGCTCGGCGGCATCTTCGGCACCATTATGGAAGAATTGAGTGCGTAAAGTAACAAGGACAAAATATTCTCATTTTGAATTTTTTTCGCTCAAGCTCATAATATATCAATAAACTTTGTTAATCATCATTCTTTCCAAATATTTCGAAAATTTATTGAAAATATAAAACAGTGGATTCTCTTTGGTGATTTCAGGCATCACCGCCAGTAGGTGTTTTATTTGCAAGATCATCGAAAAGAATGCAGTTTGGATCACGCTCGAGATAAACTTTCAAACAAGACGTTGTCCAGCCGAAGGAACTGATTCCCTCGAGAAAGTAGAACGCGTCTTTGGTCAAAAAAGTAGTTGCACAAGCGATTCGATAAGGAAGGTTCGGAAGCGGTTGAAAACGATTCGCAGACTCGCGGAGGTTGCTTGTTTCGATTTGATCTGATGGCTTTCCTTCTGAAAAGGGATCAGAGTAAATAATACCGGGTTGATATACCGTTGTTGATTCCGCCCCTTTTCGATGAAAAACCTCTCTAGAATATACCGCGGTTGGCATTTCTGACTGACTAATTTTATTTTTCTAGATAGGTTACAAGGGCCTAGTTAGCACAAACGCCCTATGTTTTAGCGTTGCGAAATGTGCTAATGAAATGTGCTTTAGTCAGTCAGAATTGCCAACCGCGGTAGTTTTGTTTACAAAAACGCCCTTTTTGTGCGAGGAAAACAAATTTCTTCGAGAAAATTCGAGAAAAATGATAGTTGTTATGGGCTGAAAAAATTAAATTTGTTCTAGAGACCTTCATAACTGGCCATTAAACTTAAGAAACAAGTAGAAGAATATGAGTCCTAGTGGTTGGTGCTGCACTTGCTGTCGCTTCTTCGGGTACTGCTGGTTTCTGCTGGATAAAAAAGAGTCAAGTTGTTTTTTTCGGTTTTATCCCATTGAATGAACCAACAGCAAAGTGCACGCTTTCTATACAGTTGACTCGCACAATTTGGACCCGCACCATTTGGCCCTTTTTTTCGAATTTGGCGAGAATTAATGAAATTCGCTCAATAAGCCATTTTTGTGAATTTCTGTTAAAATTGAGCCCCTATACAGCCCCACACGCAAGACAAGTAAAAAGTAGATAGGGGTCAAAGTTGGGAAAATTTGGGGGATCCCTTAAAAATGATTATAAGAACACACCAGATATAGTTTGACTTGAAACATTTGAATTACTATTCATTTTTCTGGTAGTTTATGGTAGTTAACTGTTTACTACGTTCTACGTGCTTCATTTTCTTGTTGTAATGGTAGAAGATGATCGCATTTCGAACTCTGATGGCCACCGCAACAGCCAAGCGACTGATTTCGTGACTATTTATAAAATTTATCAATAAGAAAACTCCAACTAAATTCAAAACAGTTCTTTTGACAAGTTAAAGATGAGGATAAGAAGAGTGAAACTGCAACTGCATGTTTTTAAACATGAGCGCACAGTTTCCGTTTCTTCAAGGAGGTATTTTTTAAAATCAGAGTCGAGACAATTAGCGACAAATAACAATTTTATTTAATTATTTTTACAATATTAAATTTAAAAAAAAAAACGCGCGATCATTGGTGATTTTCCATTTTCGCCCACTTTGCTGGCTCATTATTTCTCAACCCTTCTATAGATTTTTTTGGAAAAAGGGTCAAAATGCTTGTTTTTGATAATATTTACGCATATCTGATTTTGAGAATTATACGAGCACTGTTTCGGGCCAGAGTTGGAAATCTATGGGAGTAAAACTGGGAGCTCCCTTTTTTGAGAGCACGGAGGGAGCAGGAGCACAGGTTTTCAGGGCTGGAAGTAAATTGGGAGCTCCCAATTCGCTCTCAATTTCAAGAATTTTTAGAAAATAAACAATTTCAGTCTCGAATCTAATCTGTGCACCGTAAAATGAGAAACGCTAACTCTATAGAATTTTCTTAGAAGAGACGTTTTTTGACTGGATATATTTAATAACGTCTCTTTTAAAATTTCATATAAATATATAGCCAAAATAACATCTAGTTTTACTTAACGCCGGAACGCATAAAATTTTTTCAAGGTTGAACGCAGATCGTACCAATTAATTGGTACGCCCCTTTTACCCCTTTTTAACAATGAAACTGATAAGTCTACTGAATAAATGATACAGATAAATGATTCTCAGACGCTTAGCTTCAATTTCATCCCCATATTATATTCATATCATAACATAAATATGAATAAATATGCGTATTTCCAAATGTGTCGAATGACGACGTAATGGCGATTTATTGTTGAAAGAACATATAAATATCCGAGTTCAAAATTTCGTTCAATAGCTAAAATCAAAAATTTTCAAAAAAAATTTTTCTTGACACCGGAATCGAATTCCTCGATAAAAAGTAGCTCCATAAATGGGGGTTAATTTTTTTCTACCATAAAGTAAAAGTTGAGTTATGGGGCATTAAAGGGCCCTGTACCAATTAATTGGTCGCCCTGCGTTTCGGCAATAAATAATTACAACAAAATGTATTTTTCTTAGATTATTAGCATAATTATTAATAAGGATACCGTGTTTGCTCAGATTTTTATTAGAAGAGACGTTTTTTGATTCGATTTTTTTTGAAATGTCTCTCATGAAATTTTAAATAAATAATTAAGAACCATATTATCATATAGGCTGGAATCAAGCTCAACTTTGGGATGGAATGAAAAGAGTTCAAGACCAATGTAAGTTCAGATGACACGATTCAAAAGAAAAATGAGTATTTTCGCAAACAGACGTTTCTATTGCGAACTCTCCTGCAAAAGCGTCGGCTGTGGTATGATCACATTTCTTCTCATAATGATGATTTTAATGCCTGACGGTATACTCCATCCTGTTATCTTTGGCTGACTTCAGAAACAATTAAAATTTTATGTATATTCAATCAGAGTTCGAAATCTGGTAGTAAATCCGTGCTTCCGCTCGCTCCCTGCTCCCTCACCCTGAAAAAAGGGAGCTCCCTCGTAAAAAACCCGTGCTCCCGCTCCCTCCCTGCTCCCAAAAAAGGGAGCTCCCAAAGCCCCCTTTTTTCAAATTTCAAAAATTTTCGAAAGTTTTTCATTTTATTAAGTAAACTCTTAGTAGCAACACCATCGTTGTATGATTATTATATAGTGATGATTAAGAAAGTATAAGTAGGCATAATGGAAAATAGGCAAATTTCGTGAATGACTTCAACGTTTTCTTATCATAATATAGCCGAATCTAGGTCAATTTTAGGCTATTTATTTTAATAAAATTTCAGGAGAGACATTTCAAAAAAAATCGAATCAAAAAACGTCTCTTCTAATAAAAATCTGAGCAAAAACGGTATCCTTTTTAATAATTATGCTAATAATCTAAGAAAAATACATTTTGTTGTAATTATTAAAGTCAAACTAAATGTTATTTTGGCTATATATTTATATGATATTTTAGAAGAGACATTTATAAATCTATAATGTCATAAAAAAAGTCTCTTCTAAGAAAAATACTATAAAGTCAGCGTTTCTCATTTTACGGTGCACAGATTTGATTCGAGACTGAAATTCCTGAAATTGGGAGCTCCCAATTTACTACCAGCCCTGAAAACCTGTGCTCCTGCTCCCTCATATAATTTTGATTCTAGAGAAATTGAATCTGAAACAACCGGATCTGTTTCCGATTGTATAATATATACGAAGTCCCTTAGCTGTAGCCCACGCTCGTAGGGTCCGCACGTAAAAAAGGGTCGCATCAATATTATCAAAAAACGACAACGATAAGATGATAGAGTATCTGAAGCTTAAAATTTTTCATGTTGTTTTTTATATACGGTGAATCAAATACTGGCCCAATAGATTTTATCAAATGCTGGCAGCCAGCAGCGAGCCCAAGCGCGAGTGAAACATTTTGAATTCGACCAGGTGTTCGATGTTTTCTTCTAAGCCCTGCTCTTTCATTATCGTTCTTCCTTCGCGAAGTTCAAAAAGCTACAAGTTTCCTTCGGTTTTGGTGTTTTTCGGGGCTAAAATCAATAAATCGCAATTTTGGAAAAGAACATTCACTCGTTTGGCGGGTGCCAAGGCTAACAATCCGTTGGTTTACAATTTTGTGAACCTGCTTCACAGTTAAGGTCAAAAAGTGACTCATCTTCACTGAAGGCGCGGTTGTATTTTGATGAAATCACGTGCGGAGCGCATAAAGTTCCCTGATATCAGAGTTGGAAATGCAGTAGGGTAGTAACGTAGTTATGTAGAAAATAACTACATTTAACTTTATCGGACGGTAGTTATGGTATTATGTAGCAGCGATTTGAATAATTGTTTATTATGAAGCATTAATGATTGTACTGTCAAACTGACTCCTAAAAAGGCCCTGATTGTTATATCAATTATTCCTTTTCTGAAAAATTAATATTTACAGATATTTAATGGCATTTATGGTGCTCATTTCAGAATTTTATCTTCAAATGATTAAACAGCTCTAGAGATTTTCCTGTGAATTATTCAATTGTTGGGAATAACTAGGGGTCTTTTCCCGAATTTTGTCCATCATAAAATGCTTAATAAAGCAGTTTTTTTCGAGGAACCTGTAATAATCAACCAGCGCAACATACGCAACAAACAAAGTTAAAAATTAACTCATAAGGCTGATAACCTGAATTTGTCAACTTATGCAGAATTTATTTTAATTCTGGAGACATGCCTGAGTGTTACCAGAGTTGGAAATGTAGTAGGGTAGTAACGTAGTAATGTATTAAATAACTACATTTTACTACATCATGTGATAGTAATGGTAGTATGTAGTAGCATTCTCAGAAGTATGTAGTAATACTACATAACTACATGCAGTTCTAGAGATAAATTTATTTTTGGAAAATAAGCCATTTTTCGCTTTATTCTATCCAAAAGAGACGAATTTTTTTTCACGTTATCTATGTCTCTTTTCTTTATTTAAAAGTGTTTCTTAATATACAACTAATCTAGTTTGACTTTCAAAAATTTTCAATTTAAGTTATTTTATTGGTAGTAAATGGTAGCAAACTCGTTACTACATACTACCATTACTACAAAAAATTGTAGTAAGTAGTATGTAGTAGCCGTTTTTGGAAACCGAGGCAGTAATTCAGTAATGTAGTAGAGATATTATTGAGCGCTGTATTCTGGTGGTAGTAATGGTAGTATGTAGTAGCAACATGTTACTACATTTCCAACTCTGAGTGTTACATCTCCTCCATTGAGTTTCCTACCAATTAACCCGCGGAGCGGGCAATAACCTTGAGCTAATCAATGAAAGACGTAAAGAAAAAGCGCTTTATTTGTAAAAGATAATTGATTATTTTTAGTTTGTGATCTTTGTCGTCTTTTTTGACCACTGAATATTTCGCCGGCTACTCGGAATTCAGTAATCCCCATATCATTGAGGCCAAATGATATGGCCCATATGTGACTACGAGTTTTTGATCAAAGAGGAATTGCAAAAGAAAATTGGTGTATAAATAGGCAAAGTGTACGGAGCTATATTTTCGAATGTCCATATACAATATAATACATCATGAAAACTTGTCCGGGGCAATTTTCGGACAATAAAAATCAAAATTTTTCTAAAATTGGAGTTTTTGCTCAATCTTCGGCAAAAAAAACCAATTTCAAACGCGATTTTTAGGGTGTTAAAGTCGAGAGAGACCCCGGAAAAATAAAGCCTCAAAATCGTTTTTTTCCTTGTTGAGTCAATTTTTGGGATCATTATTATGAAAAGCCGATTTTTCATTTTTCGAAAATTATTTACGGGGGAGTCCATAAAAATTTAAATTACGATAATAAAAGTTCCTGATTTGGGCTAAAATTGCGAATTTTAAAGAGATGGGTTGGTGCTTTGCTCTCTTAATGATGATTTGACGATAAAAATTTTTGTAGAAAAATGTTGCATGTAAATTTTGCCTATCTGTAGCCGAAGAAAGAATTTGAAAATCTAAGCGTGCTTGGCTTCGAGCGCCGGTCTAGATTCGGGTTTTTTCGGAAAACCTAATTCTACCTCGTTAACAAATTCTTTAATAAATCAATTATATTTCATGAGAATACTAATTTGAGTATTCTAAGCCGAATTTCAATTCTCCAGATAAGATTTATTTTTCAATAAAACTACTAGAGCAATCCCAAAGTTTCTTACAAGACAGGCACTCAGCGAAAAGCTGCATCGAATTTAGGCTTTTTGAGAAAATTTGGTACAGTCATTTCTCAAATTTGTTAGCAGAGATAAAGCGCCCCTTGTTAAGAAACATGGGTCTCTTTGATAAGAGTTCGAAATCTGAGAAGAAATGGCGACTGCCACTGCCAATTGACCGCCAATAACTGCCGATTTTATCAGAAAAATGTTTAGCTTTAACTAAGTTATAAACACTTTTTGACAAGTATGCTATATAGAAGAAACATTATCCGAGATATAAACGTCTCTTTTGATAAGAAAAATAGAATAAAAGGTCTCGCGAGCAGGATTTGATCATAAGCAGGATAGACTGAAAAACATCTCGGAATGTTGCTCAGTTTTCCGGAAAACTTCTTGGAACATGGCAGACTTGACCATCGTTCTATTGGAATTTGCGATGGGAATCTCGAGTGTATTGTTGATGAGGCTGGACATCTAAAGTGAGTGAAACAGGGATAAGTTTAAAAACCGAGTCAACGATGATCTAATTTTTTTTTTCCTCTTTGAGACACTTTTACAGGAGGATCTTCAATTTTGTGGATATTTTTTCTGTAGAGAAAATTTTCGAGACGATTTATTCTGACTCTTGATATTTTTAACGAAAGAAAAAAATTACTTAATTATAGATATTTTACTAAACTATGTTTTAGATGGCCAAAATTGCCAGCCAACAATCTCGTCTACACCATTTCCCGATTCTGATGGCCACACTTTTGAATTTGAATATTTCGACACTGGTCCCAACGAAGGTGATATGCGGTCAATAGGAGATTTATCTCCCAGTTCGTATTTTGGCGAAATAGGCGATTAATGATTAAGTCCATCAAGAAACTTCTGTCGCATTCGACTCTTCACAGTTACTGCTCGCTAAAATCGCTTCTTCTTCAAATTTTACCGGAACGCTAAGCTCAAAAAGAAGAGGGAAGAATATTTAGTGGTTTTACAATTATCCGTTTTATGAAAAGAACACAAAACTCCGCCAAAGGCATGTGTGCGTCTGACGCCCGCTCGAGCTAGTTCATCTTCAACTTTAACAACTCGTGGCGAACTGATACAACTCGTTGTGAACTGCTACGACTCGCTGTGAACCTCTTCTTCTCAATCCGAACTGTTCTAACTGACCATCATCTGTTCCAGCTGAATACGAAGCTAAAGTTAACCCTATATAAACCCTCTCGTTTCCCCTTCTTCACCATAACCATTCTCACTTTGCTCGCTCAGAGAATTATTCAATAAAAGCTCAAAAACTTTACTTTTCCATATACAGCCAACTTTGCTCAGTTGTCTGTATATTTCTCTTGTGTTCACTTATTTGAATCGGTTGCAAAACCATAAAAGATACGAAAACAACAAGACAAGTCAAAGCGATCTCTCGTTTTGTCGAGAAAATACCAAATCCATACTGCTGAAGAATAAAAAAAAAATAAATTTTATTGATCAATAAAAATTCAGTAAAACAACTCACAAAGGTAGTCACCCTATTTCGTTGCTCCACTGGCGTACGTGAAACCGAGTTGTTGATTGCAAGCGGCGCAATAATGGGTTGTATCCTTAAGGGGGAGGTCGTCGAGAAAATTTTTTTCGCCTTTTCAAAATTTTGATTATATTTTTGGATTCCTCGATAAAAAAGGAGTATTTTTGGTCTCTAGCATTTTCTCAATTTGTTAACTTTTTAATGTAAAATTTTCGATTTTAAGTCTCGAACTTGAAATTTCTTGAAAATTATTAGTTGGTGATTTCGTCCAAAAACTATCTGAAACTTATTTTTATGCACAAGGCATTGTTTTAAAATGATTTCTGACTAATTATTTTTAAATAAATCCTAGTCTTTGTAATTTTTGTAAAAATTTCCATGAAAAATGGCTAAAAATGTCGATTTTGACGAAAATCGAATATTTTTAATCAATAAGAAAAAAATTTTTATGAAAGTTACCCTTAATTTTTTGATCACCGGTTAATTTTTAAGGGTCTAAACTATTTATAAATTATAATTGATGAAGAAAAAAAAACTCGGTTTTCGAGATTTTTTGGTCACGAGACACCCCCACTTCAACCCTAATTTTTAAAAAATTTTTCAAAAAATTTTTTTTTCTGCTTTTCGCCGGTTAATTTTTCAAACCCTTTTCTTTTAATCCGAAAAGTCAGAATTTTCACTAATCGGGTTTATCCGCATTTTTGGTCACGGAAATCCCGATTCTCGTCGACCTCCCCCTTAAATTTCTAAAAAAAAGTGAATTTGAATATATTTGAACCTTGAGCGATGGGGCGCAAAACGCAATCCAGGAGATTGGCCAGACAAAAACAAGAAGGATAATGAAAATAAGGAAAGTGTATCCTCCAATTGATTTTTCGATCGAAGACATTCCCTTTGAAAAAAATAACACACAATTGCGAAGTTTTTTTACCTGGTAACCGCAAATCGGACATTTGCAGAAAACACTATCGTGGCCAAGTTCAGGCTGTTTTTCGGGAATAGGAGATCGAGCTGGAGCAGACTGCATTTGCGGAGCATTTTGCTGGACATTAATGATCACGGGCTGCAGAGTTGGTGATGGCGCAGGTTGTGGAGGCAACGGTGATGGGGGAGCTGGAGGTGGCATGATTGACGATGGTGCTGCTTGCGAATGAAGATACGGATTCTCCTGGGGAGCTAGAGAATACGCTGGAGGAGGTTCAGAATAACCAGGAGGCATCGCATAACCAGGCAGATCCTGTCCATATCCTTTTTGAATGAACAATTGCCGAATGATTTATGTCAAGTCTAAATACCTGTACCGGAAGGGGTAGGAATCTCGGCCTCTTCTTTTTCGCCAGAATCGGCAGGCGCCACTTTGCCCATTTTTATGATCTAATTGTTTGAAAGAAAATATTATAAAGACAACATTTGTTCTAGAAGTAAACAATCCTTTATTCAAAATAAAATAAGTTTTTTCAGCGCAATTCAACGCAATGATCACAACAAAGACTCTCTTCCATGATTCTTTATCAATCTTTTTTATAGAGAAAATATAAAATACCTACTGCCGATCCGAAAATAATACGAACAGGAAATCAAAAACATTTCAGGTAGAAGACAGTCTCATAATTGTTGGGACTCGCAATTTTGTAAACATCGAATTATTTCACGAAAAAGACAAGCAAAAACAAGACTGTCTCCGCTGGATAACAATTATAGAAATTTCTGGAGAAAATTCGAGAAATCTGCTGAAGGACTCGAAAAACGTCGGATTTTTAATTCCATCGGTAAGTTTTTCCTTTTTCCCATCCGAAACATCTTCAGGGACGATTTTGCCGGCGAATGCTCTCCCTTTCATAACAGTCTTGGGATGAAACAAAGCTGGAGTTGTGGCGCTTATTTGCTTGTCAGTTGGACTTTGCAGCTTTGTTTTCTCGGGTAATAACACGCCGAATCATGCAGATTTGTCGCCGAGGTTTTCTGGCGCGACTTTTGGGATAACCAATACTTTGGGGACTATTCCAGGGACGAGTTAATAAGGCAATCTTTCAATTTTCCCCAATTTGAGGATCGACGACCTAGCTCAAACTGTGATCCTTATACAGTCACGGACATCATGTGCAGAACGACAATTCTTGATGGAACTGGTGATATTGCCCTGGAGTACAGGTTAGTTTCTTATATTCATTAATTCTAAGCTTTCGGCTGATTGATTCTTATAAATTAAGAGGCTTCATATAAGAGAACGGATACCCTCGGTTCACCGGTATCTGGGGTGAGGGTGAGGGAGTTGAACCACAATACACGAAGATTTTTAAAATAAATAGATTATCATACTACCGTTGAATATATTTATGTAGAAAAAATGAATATGTGATTATTATGAATAAAGCGCTCCTAAAATGATCGATCTGATGAACCGTGACTACGTCAATACGCGAAGCAATCTTGAACTTTTGAAGAGTGCTCGTGATGACAGGCAAAAAAAGCCTGAATCTTTCATCCAATAATTTTTGTCTTTGCTGCGAATTTACAAACTGTTTATATTTTTTGTATTTTAATTATTTAATGAACCCACCTTTTTTCATTTTTTTAATTATTTTATTTAATAAGGCAATAGGAATGATATTCTTTCTTTTTAATCGACATAAGACTAATAAGCGAAAAACTTAGCGAAATAATTCTTGCTTTATTTACTTGTCTTCATAAAATATTGAAAATTTAAAATCTTTTTAACAAAAATCTTCTTTTGATAAGCAATCAATGCAAGTTGAAAATTTGAGAATCTCTAGAATTCGTATTGTGAAGATGTTGTGAAAACGGTAAAAGTAATCAGTTACAAGTTATGAGTTATTTTGACGACTACCAGTTCGGCGATGGAAAGAATGATCAGTGGGAATCAGCATTTGATTCTGGCTACAGTTACGGGCAGACCCCTCAGGACACAGCTGTTAGAATGCCGAACTTCGGCAGCCGAAGGCAGTAGAGACGTTACAGTGGGCTCCTATCTCTGATAACACAAGCTCTTCATTCAACAACAATTCTTACTTTTCACCAAACCAATCAGCTCCGCTCCAAGCTGCTCCGGTACAAGCTTTGCCCATCGTTGCCACCCAAGAATCCGTAGAAATTTATCGAGCACCGATTTTACGAATTCATCCAGAAATTGTCATCGATGCTGAAATAAAACATTTGACCACGATCAAGTCAAAATTCAGGAAATCGAGTTCGAATTTCTTACAAAATTGCTTTTAAAATCGCATTTTCTAATTTAAAATTAGAGTCGAGGAAGGCGGAGATATCCAATTGCGAAAAGAAAGACTTTATCAATTTTTACAGATTATTCAAAGCCGAGAAATTGTAGTCGGTGAACATGGGCATCCTCCCCGTTTTCCTCTAACTGCAGCGAGTTTTCAAGAAGCAAGCCCAAGTCTTATCTGCTACGTTATTGCTTTCATTCTACCAGGTTAAATATCTTTCTCATGACGGATTTCGGAACTTGCAATTTTATGCCAGCAAGCCAGATTTTCTCCCCTGCTCGGACCCTGCTGATGATCGTCTCTACCGATTTCCCGTTGAGAAAACTTTTTGTGGGACCAAGCCCAATTGGGACGAAACAGTACCTCCTTCGGAAGAAGACATGATGATCATGGAAGTCGTGAGTAAAATCAACTTTTTGAATTATTTGAAACAAAAATTTTTCAGACCGGCTGGAGCAAAGAACAACTTTATGCAGGGATGAAGAAGGTCCAAGCTGAATGTAAGAGAAGAATTTTTTTAGTCAATTAAGAATTTTTAGTGACAGATCGATATACTGTCATGATTACCATGAGAATTGTTGGGCCCGTCGTCTTTTTCCTCATAGTCATAAGTAAGCTGAATGAACGCTAACTGAAGAAAATAAGTTCACTGCACTAATGATTAAATAAATAACCAAAAAGATAAGTATTACTGTAAAATCTGAATGTTATGATGAAATAATGATAGAGAGATTGCGAACGCGAAAAAATTTAAAAATCTATAGATGACGATTCGGCGTTTTCTCGAATTTCACTAGCGCTCCGGTGTCATAGCCAAACAAGAATAATGAACAGCAAAGAACGACGACGAGAAGCAAGTACAATCGTACTAAGGCTTGTTTACTTTGATAAACCGCTAGTAGTCAAGCAAATAGATCCGTGTATTGTCGCCAAGGCTCAAGAATAAAACCAAGGAAAGAAATTTTAGGATTACAACAAGTGTCTTTGCTACACTGTTCATTTATAGAAGCGGAGACGAAAAAATCGCTGTGTGGATATTTATTAAATGCACGTATAAAATATATTAAGGCTCTTTTTTCATTGATTTTTGAACATGACCATATTAAACACAATTGTGTAAGGGTCAAAATTGGAATCGAACAGCGGGTCAATATTTGCATGAAATTTTAAAAAGATATCTTCTCCATCGTATGAGATGCTGATTCTTTCATTTTGACAGAAACTTATACCTAAAAAAAGCTTAGTTTTTTTATGACGAACGAGCTTGAAATTAAGATGCTTGCAAAATTTTAAAAAGTCTAATTCATGAATAATATAGCTTTGGTCGGCATTCAACACCGTTGTCTTCATATTGATGTTAATGTAACTGAGTCATGCGTTCACGAATTTATATTTTGCGTGTGATCCCTAAGTTTAGTAAAGCTTGAAATTAAGTTAAGCTTAAATACAAAGCTCGTACTATCAACAAAATTGCAAGCCCTCGCTGCATTTGAACATAATTTCTTACCATTGACTTCGACGTAAACTTCATTGCAATCTAGAAAAGTATTTGATGAACGCTTGTTTAGAGGTACACAGTTATGACAGGCTAGATCTAGGTACCCGCTGAAGTCAAAAGGGCAGTTTTCAACCCCTTTTATATGTAGGCATAACGCACAAAAAAATCAACTTTTTTCCTGTAATAGATACAAGTCTGAAACTTTGGGAGCTAAGAAAACACCAAAGATGACTTTTCAAAATTTTTTGGAAAAAAATTTTTGGTACAGTTTAGTACTTTTTCTCAGCCCTTTTCTGACTAATTTTCGAGCAATCCAAGGTACGAGGTTCTAAGCATGCTCATTCGAAAGAGCGCAAAAAACTGAGTCGGATTCATCAAAAAAAGGGGTTCCTGGGTGGGTTCCCTGGATTCTAGGGATGAAAAACCCCTTAAGGGTGTCCCCAACGATTTTTTTAAAACAGGCTATACTTTGAGCTATTTTTTATAGGACTTCCTGAAGGCTTTTCGGCTAAAAGAAATATACTCATTATTATTTAAACCCTTTTCTATGCCATAAATTTGGCAGAATTTTGAAATTGTAATCTTTTAAAAGAGTTCTGATTTTTCTATTCTGACCAATCTTTGAGATCGTTTTTCTCGAGTTCTACAAATTCAATTTTTAAATTTCGACTAGATCCTGATTCTTTGAACGCTCCTCTATGCCATAAATTTGACGGATTTTTAAAATTTATCTATATGCATCAGATACGATGCATTCTTTGAAGTAACGATTTTGCTGAAGTTTGAGCTCGATTCTAGCGCTTTTCCTGAAATTCAATTTTTCTCATTTTTACAGGGATAATAGTTTGATCTATTTTCAATCTCACGGTACGCTCAGATTTTGCGTTGATAAGACCCTTAATCCCTTTTTCCGGCGCCAAAGTGCAGGTGTTTGCGACTTTTGGCGCACTGTTTGAAAGTGAAAAATTTGTGCTATTGTATTGATATAGGTATCATTGAATAGAGAATTTTTCAAGCTCTCAGAAAATATACAGGTCGATATATATAATCGAAAGTTTGAAAATGACACTTTTTACAGTGCATTTCTATCGAGCCGTAATGCATTAGCGCTCTCATAGAAACAGTAATATCTCGAGAATCAGATGAGATATTTCAGATCTGAAAAAAGCTCTAGAATCAGCTTCCTTTAATTAACTCAAATTAATTTGGTCATCAGACTAAGATTAGTCGAATCCGATCGTTGGGGACACCCTTAAAATCAGCCAAATTTGGGGTTTCATTCGACTTATCGTGTGATGACGTCATTTCCGGTCAAAAAACAACTTTTGATATTTCTTGCTAAAACAATGGGAATACAGTAAATTAGTACCCCAGAGTTCGTATCTGAAGTCAAAAGTTCATAAAAAGTTCATTTTTGGGGTCAAATCGGGTCATTTTTGAGTGATGACTCATCACTTTTGTGATTTTCAACCCCTCGAATCTGGGGAACCCCCCTAGGAACCCCTTTTTTCGATGTATCTGACTCAGTTTTTTGTGCTCTTTCGAATGAGCATATTTACAACCCCGTAGCTTGGATTGCTCGAAAAATCAATTTTTTGGCAACTTTGGGGTACTTAAAAAGTACTAAATTTGAAAATTTTGAAATTTTTTTCATTTGAAATGTTATCAGATCATAAAAATCTATATTATATGTGAAAATCAGCTTCCTACGACTTTCAGATAAAAAGTCGATTTTTTGTGCGTTATGCCTATTTATATGGCACTTCCAGTGTGCCCATATGGCGTATGATAGTCGGAACCTATCATAAGGAACCCTTCGGGCCGTCAAGCCCATTTTTAATTGAAAGCCAGGGACGGGGCTTTTTCGACTTTTGATGACCTCGAATGACCCCAAGATAAACTTTTTTCGAGTTTCTGACCTCGGAATAAAATTTTTGAGGGTTGAAATAGTATTTTCACATGGTTTAAAACCGAAAATATTGCTATTAGAAAACCCCACTTTTTCGAATTTTGATGACCTCTGGTGACCCCAAGATGAACTTTTTTCGAACTTTTGACCTTGGAATCGAACTTCTGGGTACTAATTTACTATTGTCCCAAAGTTTCATCCAAAAAGGGATACGTAATCGACCACTTATTTTTTTCAGCCGGTACCTAGGCTAGATCAAAAGCGCCTTCAACTTTTATGTGATTCGATAAATTGATTTTTAGTTGTTATTGTCGTTTTAATCATTCTTTTAACATATGTAATTACAAAAACTCTTTTTGAATCCATTCCGTAAACAACAGAACCATCGTTACTAGCTGACATCGTGCAATTCGTTTGACCCTCAAATTCTTGGCCGTAAGTCGTAATGTCGACTCGAAAGATTTTTCCAGTGGCTCCATCCGGAATTTGTATTTGTCCAATATCACGAGGAAGATGTTCAACAAGTTCGTCAGTGTTGAAACTCACAGCAGAGTCGGAAACGACAAAATTTGATAATGCAACTATTTTAATGGTATTTTAAATCCTCCGAATTTTCAAAGAAAAAAAAAATAAAATGTGAAATTTACCAAATATTCGAATGATTAAAATTGAGAGATCATCAGAAGGAAAACTGTTGCAGTTTCGATCTAAAGGTCTGAAAGTTCAAATTTGAGAACAACCTGAGATAGTTTATAAAAAAAATTGTTCTAAGGTGCCCTATTTCACAATTCTTGATATTGAAGCAAAAATGGAAACGTTTTTGAAATAATAATTGCATTTCAAACTCTGCTGATGTGGTTTGGAGCGTTAGAATAAATCTGGTTGCCGCACCAGTTTTGCGGTTCCGCCATCTGATTCTCTTGAATAGCCCACAAAATGGCGCCAATGAACGCAAAGAAGACGCAACAAATCATAATTACGAAAAAGGCTTCTGAAAATTGGTATCAAACTACTGAAATAATAAAAAGATCGGATAAACACAGCAGTATGTGATCATAGCTTCGTTCTTTTGTGTATGCGCACGCGAAATTTTTGAAGACATGCTCAGCTGTAGAATTTTCCGCAAATATATAAAAACCGAGATAAAAAATATTGCGATATTTCTGAAAAAAAAGTCTTTTTATAAATAATTTTTCGACTGATTAACATTTAAAGAGGCTTTGCTCCTTAAGTTCGTTGGCCAAAAACTCTCAAAAAGGGAACGGTCGTAGCTAAGGGCCTTAACTTTATCCTGAAAAAAATTAAGGGTATACGGTATACCGTATACCCCAATTAAAAACCCGAAAAAAACCTTCACTAAGCAAACTAACCTTTAACGCCCTGTATAACCTTAAGTTTGATATCGAGATATCACCATAAGGGGAACGGTTGCAGGCGAGGGTTCGTTCTAAAGCTTGGAATTGAAATTAAGTGTTTACCTTAGATAGTTTTCGAGAAAATCGTTCACTAAAGAGACCTTTTTTCGCGATTCTTGATGGGGGGGTCCTTAACTAATGATTAAGTGCATTCAATCAAAATAAAAAAAAATATATTCTAGAAGAATAATGGTTCTCCTGGTACAGTCATACTCCGAAATAAGGAGCTTTTTTGCTAGAAAAATTACAAAAAATACAGTGGCACATCCTTAACTGGGCAGGTCGCTTTATCCTGCCGCGGCGCACTTTTGGATGTGGTGACTCATGCCATTCTCCTTTGTTCTCTTGTTTAGGAAGCGTTAGCGAAATCAGAGTTCGAAATTTGTTGCCAGTACTGCCACGAATGCCACTAGCAGCTGCCGATTTCGGCAATCACTTAGCAGTGCAGTTACATTTTTCAAGGCCAAGCAACTTTATTTCTTTGTGCTCCTGCGCGCTTGGAAAAATCGTAAAAGAACGAAAATTAGCGATTTTGCGATTTTTTCGAAAATTCTCAATTTTTAAATAGAATTTGCTTTTCAAGCACTTTTTATTGCAATGGTTTTTTTCGCTATTTATCTGAAGCGAATTTCAGAAAAGAGTCTCTTTAAGAGTTATTTAAAAATATATCGAATCAAAAAACGTCTCTTCTAATAAAAATCTTCGCAGACACGGTATCCCAATTGATAATTATGCTCATTGTCTGAGAAAAGCAAATTTTTTTGAAATTATTCAAGTCAAACTTATTGTTATTTGACTATTCATTTACTTGAAATTTAAAAAGGGACGTTTATAAATAAATCTAATCAAAAAAACGACTCTTCTAAGAAAAATACCACTAACAAAAGCAATAGCAATAAAAGAGATTTCAACAACTTCAAACATGGAAACAACGATGACAACCACATCAAGAAAATTGATAGCAACGACGACAGAAGAAAACAAAAAGGAATAGTCAATGAATTTTCGAAGATACAATGCGTCAAATTTCGATCAATGAAGGCAATTTTTTCGGATTCGACTTTGCTTCCAGTAGAGGCAACTTGACACAATTTTATGATTCTCGATTCTTATATTCTCATGCAGACTTGATAGAATAATTCAGGAGCGGGAGAAATGCCAAAATCATGAGCCTGAGTTTACTTTTTGAATTTTTTCTTCATGTGTTATGGTTTTAAATCTCTAGAAGAGACTCCTTTTCAAAAAAACCGAATAGAACCCATTTGTTTCATAAAATGAGATAATTAATTAAATAAGATTTTATAAGTCCGTTATTCAATAAAATTCATTTATTTCCTACTGTACAGGCGTGGCAAAACGTCTTCTTAGCGCATTGTCCATCGTATTTTTCTTGTCGATCTTGAAGCTATCCGAGTTCTCCTGGAACTTGTGAATGATCGCTGGGACAGGCAAAGCAAAGCATAACACGCCAGTTAGCGCACAGAAACAGCTAGAAATGGTTTTGCGAAATCAGCGGCCGCAGCGACAAATGGATTAACTCACCCAATTACGCGACCGCCAGGGGTTGTCGGGTAAATGTCCCCGTAGCCGATTGTAGACATTGTTACGATCGCCCACCAAATTCCGTCTAAAAAGCAGTTTTCCTCCTTGATTTCAATTTTCGACATTTTTGAAGAATCTATTTGGTACCTGGAATTGAAGAAAATTTATCATTCGTCGCATTTTCGAGCTAAAAAACAAACATTTTTGAAGACCATTAGTCGAAGAATGCTCAAAACGCATACCTGGTAAATTACGGAGCCGTAAAATATGCCGGAAATGGAGAGAAGAATGAGCAGAAATGAGATCTAAAAGTCTTCAAAGAGCACTTTATAAGGTCGATTTGAGCTTACTTCTCTGGTACTATCAGCCATCGTTTTTAGCATTTGGCAAAGAGACTCATTTTTCTTGCTTGTTTTTCTTTTCCACCATCATCTATCCTTGGAGATTGCTGTTGTTTCGACGCCATTCCGATTTTAAATGAAAAGAGATGTGATAGAAAACAATTCCTGAGCTTGATGACTCTGAAAATTCTGAAAAGCCGAACGATCCGCAAAACCGACAAATTAACTTCAACCTTTTCTTCTGACGACTTCCAATAGTAAAACCTTCAAGTTTGATTCCCAAAAAAATGAATGAAAATTTCGTTTACGGAAATCAAGAATTTCTTCCCCGTAAATAGAAGTGATCTGAAGCCGGGGTGGAAAAAGAGCGCGACGGTCACGTTAAAAATCGATTTGAAATGAAACTAACTGGAACGTAACACTAATCACCCCCGTCCCGATTCAACCAGGAATGGCGCAACAGCAAGCATGTCCAAAATCACACTTGGGGAGCTAAAAATTATCAGAAATATTGCATTTTTGGGAGTTAAAAATCTGAACAAAAATGGCGACTGCCACTGCATAATTTTTTACAGCTTTAACCTATAAAAGAAACGTTGACATTGTCGATGACGTCTCTTTTGAAGAAAAACTAAGGTTTTTGGCGTATAAAATAATTTTAGAAAATGCGGGAAAACCACGAATTACAAGACAGATGCGAAATAATGATGTTTGTGTCACTTGACAACTTGTCATCGCGGCAAAAAATAATAAGAGAAACTTCGTTTTTTACGAAGTTTGTTGAATAAACCAAACCTGATCTTTCTATGTCGATTTTTTGCGATGTAGACGAGAAAAGCGATTTCCGCCATAAAGAAGAAATTGGTGATGATTTCGATGATAAAAAACATGAAAGCGGTTGAGTTTTTTGAGATGACATATCCAGTCGCTTCGTAGAAAGAAATATTTATATCCTTATGAGGAATTTTCCAATATATTCATGAAAAAGCTGGTTATATATCAGCATTTTTGTTTTCACTGACTTCATTGAAAACCCAGTCCTCGTGCATGGCTGGCAAGGTATCGAAACAAAGCGTCAAAATGGACAGCGAAGTCATGAATAATGAAATCTTACTAATTTTTTCATAAATTTTGGATTCGGTCGGGTTCGCCATCTAAAACACAATTAGCGCTAATTGGAATTGTTAAGCCTTACATAATGGCGGGCGCGGCAGCGGAAGTCGCTCATGTCTTTGATTTCGTCGTCTTCGTAAACTTCAGGCGCAGGGGTAAGATATGGCAAATAGGTAGGAGGAGATACCTTTATTTCCAAGAACGGCTTTTTCCAGCCCATAAAACTTGATCTCCTCAACAAATTGCGAAAGAGAAATGTTGCTGGGCCGCTCAATCACGCCGTCCTGATAGAAGACAAAGATCGACTGCGGAAAACAATTTTTAGTAAAGAGGATAAAATCAACCTCAGCTAAAAACCTCGAAAAACTCCGGATTGCGGTCGACTACATGCACCTCAGCTTGCTCATCCCAGAGCTCCGCGCGGCGGGTTTTATCGCCCTAAACACTCAAAAACGGTCTGTCTCTCCTTCTCTCTTTACCAATAAGCTTTCAGGCGCGCGTTGTAGATTTTTCTCTTGAGTTCTGAAAAGAACCCCTCCGATCTCGAAATCGATCATAATTGGAACTTTGTTTTTTATTTTACGAATGCTCATCTTTTTATTTTTTCGAAAATGGAATTTTTTTTTGCAGAAGGAAGGTTTGAATTTTTCATTTTTGGCGGACAATGGGCTCAAAAAGGCTGCTCTAGAATTTTTGATCAAGCGGCAATTATCATTTGCTTGAATTTTATGCCAAAACTTCCTTCTTTGCATTTCGCCGAAAACACTGATAAGAAACGTTTTCGGCAAAAGCGGAAAGTGTCAACTTCCGCGAAAGGCGCCGTTCAATTTTCTAGTGCCTTTTCGAGCCCATTAAGCTGCTGCAGCAGATGCATGGAACTACGTGTTTGACGACTTTGAAAAAGGGATTTCGGCCGCTGCTTTGAGTCGCGCTGGACCGCGGGGCGTCGCCTGATCCGCTTTCGTTGATCTTCGCATTGCTCGACAGTTTGCGCTCCATCTTGTTAGACAGGGCTTATCCTTCTGCTTCTTACGTAAAATTTAATTTGATTGGAAAATGTATCAACTCAGCTTTAGAAATAAAAATTTTTCTTTTTTGAGCGATTCTGACTTTGAAAACTTTTAATAAAAACGTAACACGCGAAGCCTCTTGAATTTCATGTTGCAAAACTCGTCACAACTCATAAGCCGTTCCTGGACAGACCTTCTTCGTATCAGCCGGTATTCCTAGCGAGAAACACTCATTAGAGAGAAATCATTATGTTGTCCCAAAAAAAAACGAGAATCAAATCGTTCGTGTCAGGAACCGACAAAAAATTTTGACAAATTTCGCGCAAAAACTTTCATCCAATCAGAAGCCCAGATTCGGCCTACAGTTAGCTTACCGGCCAATAAGCAGCCGAGGAGCCGCCCACGCAAAATTTGTCGAAATTATTTGTCGGTTTCTGTCGCCAACCCCAAAAATCATCCCCCATCAACCCCAACCCCTCCCCCACAAAGAAAAGTTTTTAAAATTTTCTATCAAAAATAAACTGTACCTCTTCAGAAAATCCATTTGTCATTTTTTTCAATATTTAATCTTTTCTCTTCAATTGTTTTCTTTTCTGCTCCCTTTTTTGAATGAATGAAGACAAGAAAAATAGATAAATCCCTGCTTTGAGGTCAATTGAGCAAAACTGTCAGAGCGAAAAGCAAATCGTTCTCCTTCTGTACACGGCTTCTATCCTCTTTTCAAAATTAATACAATATGTTCAGGAAGCTGCCAGTAAGCTTCTTTAGCGCATTTGCGAGTAAAACAGAAGGCGCCACTTTGCGTTTAGAACAGTCCTTTTTTAATTATTCAAGAAAAAGAGCGGAACACAAGCTCAGCGCGTCAAAATCATCGTTTCCGATTTCGATTCCGAGGATTTACAATTCAAAATTGATTTTTATTTTGAATTTTCTCATTTTGCAAGGTCATAAATTTTCGATTTTAAAATCAAACTAAGTTAAACATACTGTTTTAAACAACTTAAACCCATGAAAGAGACCTAATTATAAATCAAAATGTCTCTTTTGAATAAAAATTCGGGTAAAATTCGTATTAACAGCAGCATGATAATAATTTTCGTGCTTTTCTTTGTTATTCTAGAAAGAAAAATGAATATTCTTTGAAGTGGCAGTACTCTGTTTTTGCATCAAAAAAAGCACTGAAAAAGCCGTAATGGCGAAAAGCTTCTACTAAATAAATGGAATGTAATTTTTTATTTGAGAGCGAATTCTTGTTTTAAAAATAAGCGCTAATCCGTTCATGACGTTGGAAAATAATAAACACGTAAAACAATATTCAATTTTTATGATCTCCTCGTTACTCATAATTCAGCCAACCACGTTGCTCATCAGTCGTAATTATGAAAGTTTATCATCTTATTATCGTTAAAGCTCTTTTGTTTCAAAATATTTTTTTGCTGTTTCGAGACAAAAAAGACTGAAACTTGAAACGGAGCTGGCGAATTTTTCGAGTCGGAAAAATTGAGTTGGTGACGTTAAATTGACGGGCCGGAGTAACATCTTCAAAAATATACAACAGGTTAACTCCAAATCATCCCGTTAGCTTCCCGAGCCGGCGAAATTCGCGAATACTTTCGCAGGGAAGAAGAGATTTCCATTCAACAGAGAACAAAATGAAGTGAAAGTAGAAAAAGAAAAAAATGAAGATTTTGAGAAGGTAAGATAAAAAAGCAAAGAAAAAATTCTTTTGGTATCATTGAAACGACTTTTTGAAGACATTTATTGGTTATTTTTGGGGTAGCGGATCGATCGACAAAAAATTTCGACAGAATTTTTTTTTAGAATTTTATGTCGACTCCATTCTCATGAAAATCACCCATTTTTTGTTTTTTTTTCAAAAAATGAGAAAAGAAAACTGTTTCTTTTTAAATTTAATTTCGCTTTCTAAGCTTGGAATGACAAAATATTGGTTCGAATATACCCACCCGAAATTCTGATTTGGGAGAAAAATAAAGCTTAAGGACATAAAGAAAATTGTTGAAGTTCCGGGCGGATAATTGAAAAGAAATCGAAAGAGCGCGTGCTAGCGCCCTCGGAGGGATCATCTTAGGCCGAAGAGAGATTCTCGAAGGCGTAAATTTGCAAGTTTTGTTTTCGTAAATTCAATTTTTTTCCGATAAAATCTGAGATCAATTCAATTCAAGAGAATTAACGAAAAAGCATGACGAAGAAAGAGCAGAATAATCTTATTCTGTAAGTTTATTCATTTTCCTGATTTTATAATAAGAGAACATTTTATCGAAAATAGGGAGTTTTCTTTGGAATCTTGCCAATAAATTGAGACAAAAGAGACTTTTCAGGCTAGCTTTTATTACTTACGATCAGGGTTCTAAATTTGAGGCAAGATCTAAAAGTCTAGTCTGTCCGTGTCCGTGTCCTCCGCGAAAATCCCAAGTCTAGTCTATCCGTGTCCGGATCGAAAAAACGGATTTTTGTCCGGTCTAGTCCCGGACATGTCCGTTTTGTCCGTTTTTGTCCGTAAAATCCGGACACATTTTTTTAAAGAAAAAGTCTGGTCTAAAAAGTCTTGTCCGTGAATATCCGTAAAATTCCATGGGTAAAAAACTAATTTTTATCGAAATAAACCCGACAAGACCAAAAAAAATCTTTTAGAAATAAATTCGGCAGACAATACATCGAAATATCGAGTACTTTTGAAGCCAATTTAAGAAAATCAAGGGACTTGTCTGGGACAAGAGTCGCAAGTTTATTGCGAAACTGGGCTGAGCTTGCGTTTTCTCAATGTCAGCTGGTGTTGTCCAAGCTGACCTTAGCTGGCTTTATGAAGAAAATCATTGGTCTGAGCTGAGTTCTCTCAAAATGATCGAGCTGATTGACTGTCATTGGAGCGGGCTAGCCCGACCGTTGACCTCTCAACACGTTGAGCTGGCTTTTTCCGAAAATTGCTGTGCTGAAAGTCCCGAATTAGGACTCGCAATGAATAAGCGGAATAATGAAGGACCTAATATAATATTAGGAATTTCTTAATTTAACCAATTTTCTTGAAAGTTCCGGCCTCTCACCATCAAAAAGACATATCAATTATAAGTTATCATCGATATTTTCCGGCAAAAAACCAAAAATATTGATATTTTTAAATTTTAAACTGAAAACCTGGCTTATTTTATCAAACAATGACGTTGGTTCAGGCTTTTTTGAAACGAATTCGAACTCAAATCGTGCTTTTTTAGAGATTTTTTCGGATTCTGCCCGGATTTTACAGACACGGACAAAAGTCTGGGGTTGTCCGGATTTCACGGACAAAAACGGACAAAGACGGATTTTGTCCGGATCGTGACAAAAGTCCGGTCTAGGCTGTCCGTTTTTTCCTCAACCAAAAGACTAAAAGTCTAGTCTGTCCGTACGGACAAGACCGGACAGACACGGATAAAATCCGTACACGGACATGTCCGTTTAGAACCCTGCTTACGATGACTTTTTCCTGATTTTTCATGAATTATTGACACAGTAAGATCCTTCTGTTTTATAAATCAGAAGATTTTTTAATTTTTTAATGATTCGAACAAGGTTGGGTTAATCTGACCCGAGCCTTCGTGTTTCACAGGTTAGGGTAAGGGTGGTAAGGTTTACGGGGACGTGTCTGGACCCGACAAAAAATTTCGACAAATTTTGCGTGGAAATTTTCAACCAATCAGAAGCCTGGATTTAGCTCACCGGCCAAACAGCAGCCGAGTAGCCGCCCACGCGAAATTTGTCGAAATTTTTTTGTCGGTTCCAAAAGCCATCCCAGGTTAACCTGTATCGACGCTATGAATCATATCATCTTTCAAGAATACTATTCGTAAATTTTTCTGAAATCCCTATTCTCCCCCGAATAAAAACACCAAATGTGTCATAAAAAAAATCTTTAAAGGATTACGCAATTGGAATTGCCTTTCAAAAAATGGCCTCTATCATTTTCCGTGCTGATAATTGCGGCTAGTCGTCAATTCCTTGTCGGGCTAAAAATTCCTCGCACGTCAAGTCCGACCGCATTTTGAGTCTCTCGTCCATCGCTTTTGGTGGTTTCGTTTTCATAACATACGAGTCCCAAAAATTATAATTTTCAAACTCGAAGCATCTCCACTCGCATTTCGATGTTTTTCTAAAGAAGAGAGAAGATGTTTTCAAAACCAGGAGGATCAGCGCAAAATTGACGGTTGAGGGAAATTTTCAAAGTTTTTTTTATCTAAAAAAGCTGCATTTTGCAAAAATTTGGAGAGAAAAAATGAAAAGAAGAAAAAATTAAAATGAAGAAATTAAGGTACTCCACCCCTTAATTTTTTTCTAGCCGCGTGCGGTTCAATTTTGTGAAAAAAAGCCGCAGAATAATTTATTTTAATTCTTAGTTCGGATGATATTCGAGAAAAAGCACTAGAAGAGAACTCGTACGGTAGTTCTGGGGCAGAAAATTTTCTAGGGCCAGATTATCTCTAAACAAAGTGGTGTCCGCTTGAAAAGGTCAAAACACGTGTGCCCCTAATGAGCTCAAGAAAAGGGACGGGAAGTGGAAAAAGAGACACTTTTTTGAGCATTTATTGACAAGATAGAAACAAAAAATGAAATAAAATTTGATGGAGCTGATCAAGTAAATAGAATAATCGAAAAAATAATTGTTTATTCAAATTTTTTACAAATCAAGCAAAGTCTTAAAAATCAGCTGTTTTTTATTTGAGAAGAATCGATGAAAGTTCAAACCACTCATATATGATCCTTATCATTCGAAAAAAACGTTGATAAGTATGCAAAGTTTGTTGCCGTCTGATTATCTTTTCTGGGTAAAATCAGCTTTCGCGGCTAATCCATTTTGGAATACAAACGCGCTCAAACAAAGAACGGTCCACTAAAAACGGTCACGTCTAGATCAGCGGGGGTTGACGTGTTATCATTGGAAATATTTTGACCATCAACAGTGGAGCATCCCGCATGTGGCCTGCTCCACAGAGTGTTACTACCCGCTACGTGCAAAGCCACTAGAAACACTTTATTCTTTAAAATTAAAGCGATGACGCATTTTTTATAGAAAAAATTGAGTTGAATAAGAGAAAATGATTATTCAGAGACAATTGGTCATTGTCAGAAAATATCTGCCTTTCAGAAGGTTTGTTTTCGACGATTTTTCATCCAGATTATCTTTGTGACGCCCTTATTTATAAAAAAAAATATAATGAGGTTTTTTATGCATAAATTAAGGGTGTCAAAATATCATTTTTTGGCGAAAATGACTCGAAAATCGATTTTTGAATCAAAATTTTGATTTTTATTTTGACATAAAATACGATTATTTATTTTTTTTTCAAAAATTGTTTGTTTCAAAATTTCATAATTTTTCAGTTCGAAAAAAAATTCTGAAAAGCTTGCAAATCGGTTTAGCGCGTAAATTGTGACAGTGAAACTTGCCCGCGGCAGCGGCAGTTCTAAATGCTCCCTTTTCGGCTTCTCCGACGATCGTTTTGTTTATGCAAGATGTCCTTAATTTTGAGATAGCGTCGGAAACCAAAGCAAAAACTAAAACAAGCGCTGCTGTTCTTGAATCTTGAGCTTGAGAGGCAAACTTTGTAATGGCGCTGAAGAGGGCCATCCGCGCGGCGATCAGGCAACTTATCAAAATAAACGATTTTTAACAGAAAGAACCCAGTTTTTTTCATCGAGAGTTTTTAGTAAAATAAATTGTATTTAGATGTTTCCTATCGAATTTTCTCTTGTCCAGTCCCTATTTTCTTTCGATAAAAAATTTCTTCATTGATAATTTAATCTTCGAAAATAAGTCTTAGCTAAAAAGAGACGCCTGAAATATTGACTTATCATTCAAGAGCTCAAGAGTCTCTTTTATGATAATGCTTTTTGTCGAGTTAACAGAAAATATTTTTGACATTTTGCAAACGAGTCAATTTTCAGAAATTGATCTTATTAACCTTGATCACGTAATTTTCTCAAAATAACCGATCGATTCAATTCCCCGAGATCAAGTCAATTTCACCCAATTTCCAATTTTCTCGCAATATGACAGATGTTTGGTACGTTAGAACACGTCCCGTCACGTGCCAGATTTTATAAATCCTTGAAACACGAAAATTGCATGTTCCGCGAGGATTTTTTAAATGCCGGAGAAAAGCCACGAAGAAAGCTTTGTTACAAGAATTAATCCGAGAAGGATTATCATTAAAATTTTCGCCGAGGACATGTTCCAACTCGTAAGCGTCTCTTTTCGTAAATTATGAGAAAATTTTGATTAAAAATTGGTTCGAATTCTAGACCAATCATAGTTCTTCATTCGGGGACTTGACCAATCAGATTTCAGGAAAAAAAAATCGAAAAAAAATTTTAGTGAGATTCTTTCAAAAAATCCTCGCTAAAAAGGTCGAATCCCTCCTTATTAAAGTCTTACTGTAACTCAAACTTTATTTTAGGTTACTAGCGCGGCGGCGAGTAATACTGATGCTGCTCTTCCTCGGTGCCATCGTCCTAACCTACACAGATTCCGTCCGCCTTCTGCGAGAACAAGAAGAATCGAATCGCGCGAAAAGAGACCTAGAAAAGCACCCTTTATCGAAAGCTGCCAGTCCTCAGAGCAATGTCCTTTCGATGGATCACAAAGTGCCTCTTACGGAATGCGCTTACAATTCGCCAAAACTCATTGGCCCGCTGAAAACAGATCCGAAGTACATTCCGGAATGGGATGAAATTGAAGTTGGCGAGACAAAGAATGGAGGTTGTTGGCAACCGAGCGATTGCGCGCAGAGACAGAATGTGGCGATTATCATTCCGTATAAAAATAGAGAGGAGCATCTGCGCGCCCTGCTGAATACATTGCATCCAATTCTTCAAAGACAAAACACCGCATACTGCATTTATGTGGGCGAGCAGCATGACGATGGCAGATTTAATAAAGGTTTGTTTATTTTTATCATAGCAATCGGTATTTTGGTAGAGATTAACGAGCGAAAAGGAACATCCAGTAGCTCTTCAGTCCCTTGAATCCTTCGTGAAATGTGGTTGTTGTTGTTCCTGACGAATTTGAAGTCGTTGTCTTAGTCGTTGTTGTTGTTGAACGTGTAGTGGTTTTTTTAGTGGTTGTTGTCGATGTCAATGATAATGTGGATGTTGTTGTTTTTGTTGTTTGCGTAGACATTGTTGTTGATGATTTTGAGGGTGCTGGCGTATTGGAAATAGAACTTGTCATCTGATAAGTCGACAGATTTGTCATGTCAGTCGTCAGGGATGATTCTGCCGTTGTTAGATTGTCAACACTCGGATCGAGATCTTCATTTTTTCCAAGGCAAAGAGGAATCGTGATTCCAAGAATTGTTACTATCACTGCAGAAACTTCATTTCACACCGAAATTGTTATTCAAATATAATTCTTAAATACCTAGCGCGAATCCAACAATAATCCTTTTTCGTTTTCTCCAACCTCTTTTGTAAATGTTTGCAATATTATATTCTTCGAGAAAGAATATTTATAAGTTTAATTAATGCTGAGTGAATATTCGTCTATAAACATTTTCTTGACACACTCACAAAAAATCCGTTTTCCTCGTCTTTTGTCATGGTATCGAAACTGATGCGAAAAATTTTTGTCTTCGAATTTTATAGTTATTTTTAAGCCATCTGTCAAGATCTGCGTTATTTTTCACACGAGCGTTGAGATAAATTTATGATGACATTCGAATTGCACTCGACACATTTTTAATCCCATCTTCGGCCATAAAACTGCCAAAAAGCCGCAATTTTTCGCCTACCATGGATGAGTCTAGGAATTTTTTCAATTCTGATCGACATTTTTAGGAGCTGTGATGAACTCTGCCTTCAAAGAAGTTCTCAAAGAACATGCCTACGATTGCGTTATCTTCCACGACGTCGACATGCTCCCCGAAGACGACCGAAACATTTACCAGTGCGAATCGAATCCCGTCCATCTTTCTCCCCTCATCGACAAGTTCGATTACAAACCTTATGGAACCGATTTCGGAGGAATCACCATGTTGCGGCCGGAGCATTTTATCGCGGCAAATGGAATGAGCAATCTTTTCTGGGGCTGGGGACGAGAAGACGATGACATGCAATTTCGAGTTGGCAGATCTCCCTTCAATGGTAAATTTTTTCAATGCCAATGTTTTTCTCATTATTTTTCTAGTGACAAAACCGGTTAATTACGAGCAGGCCCGTTACAAAATGATCCCTCATCAGCACGCCTGGATCTTCAGAAATTTCAAAATCCGCGACTCAACAACAGATGTCCGCTTTTTGCCTCCAGAGTACTTAGGACCGGATTGACGAGACTAATCAATACTTCTATCAACTTGTGGAATATTGAATTCTTGAATCAAAAATAGAATAAAAAAATCAATCCTCAAAAGTCAAATACAAAGAGCGCTCAACAGTAGAAGGCCTTACCAGTGTCAACTACAAAAACCTCGGAACCGACCGAAAATCGCTCTTTACTCATCTCGACCTTGAATTGCGAGAACTCGTTGTTGATTCCCTCAAAACCGAATTCATCAGCTCTGGATCAAGCCAAACTCTGATCGACACGACGAAAAAGGAGTGCAGCTATATAAAGATGGAAAACACTAGAGTCTGCGAGGAGTATGGACATACGATGGTGCTGAAGTACTTGAGAAAATTGCTGCTGAGTTATGATGACGCGGTGAAAAAGTGTGATGAACTAGGGTAGGAACTTTAACAATAACTTGAAAGATTGATCTCTGTTTTAGCTACATGTGCACTGGATTCGCAGAAGACTCTCTCGGAAAATACCGTCTTAGGGAGGTCACACAGCTTTTGTCAAGCGATAATACTCCTCAGGTAAGTGACTTTTCTAGCAACGAATAATTACTCGAAACTTCAGGATTGCAACACGAAGGGAAAGCACATCTTCCACAAATCCTGCCCAGGAGACCAATCATTTATCCAGGTTTCTCAAGATTTGACGATTCCAATTTCTGATCAGCTGACACCGCCAAATTATGCTTTCACACATCGACTACAAGAATGAGTTTCACAAATCCTAATTCTAGACCAAAAACATTCATTCTATAACTCTTGAAAAGTCACCCCAAAAGTCGCTTCCGACCACGATGTGATTTTCCGCCAAGCTCTTCTTTTCGAAGGCTCTCAAATCGGCCCGATTTTCACCGAAAATTTGGGGAAGATTTCGAAAGCAGATTTCGAAGTTAAAATCAATTTTTCGCTGCCCATGCCTCTTCCTGGTTATTACACAAGTGTTGCCAAATTGACAAACAAATTGGGGGAGCCGCTTTATGAGTGGAAATGGGCCGTCAGAATGACAACTGGTAAGGATTTTTCTTTTTTCTAAAATTCTCATTTTTCTTCAAGGAAACAACGAGCAAGACATTTATCTGCGAAAAACACCCATTGAAAAGGTGTTTCCCACTCTTGGCTGGGAAATTCCAACCTACCAAGAGTTTGTTCAGAATTTCAAAGACCTAAAATCTTCAAAGTAAAAGCCCAAATATCGAATGTACAAATATCACTTCTGTATCTTGCACTTCTGTACAAATTTCCGACAGTTTCAATGAAAAATAAAAAGTTCATTGGAGAAATAAATAAAAACCAAAATATATGGATAAACTCTTAAAAACAATGAGAATGAAAAATCTTAGGCTTAAGAAAACGTCTTGTCGATTTATCAAAATTAATTAAATCTTATCAGAGTTTGTAAAAAATGTAAGAGACCTTCTCAGTCAGAGACAGGAACGTTTTGCTGCTGTGTATGACCTTTTCAACTTTGATTTTTTAAATTTCATTTGAGTTCTATTCTTTTGTACTTCTCAAATGATGCGTTGAGGGGTAAGAGCTTCGAGTTCTTCTTCTGATCGCATTATTTGATTTCGCCATTCGCAAGATGGCCTTTCCAAACGAAACCACCCGCTACCCTATCTATGTGAATTTAACATCTGTCGCTGATTTTTCATATGCAATTTATAGCATTTGCTACCCATTTTTTTAATGAATTTCTCGAATTCGAACAGTCTTTTTTCAACAGATTTTTTAATGCACCCTTTGAGGCTCAATGAGACCTGCACGGATTTAGAACTTGGCGAGATTTGCACAAGCCATTGCGCGGATGAGATTTCCAAATGTATGGCAGAATGTCCCCCGGGCGATGTTTCTTGCGAAAATATTTGCATAAGAGATGGGTTTACGTGCGTTGATGGGTGTCCTTGCAATATTGATTGTCCCACAGGATGTCAGGATTGCCCTGCTTTTGTTTGCTCAGCTTGTTTTTCACCTGAAAACAATGAAGATCATGTCAACTGTATCGAATTTTTCGGAAACGAGCTGAGTAAATGTACAAAAAATTGCGAAAACGAGCTTTTTCGTTCTCTTTGTCAGGACCAATGTGATCAAGAGTATTTTATCAATATTGAAACCTGCCCTTGCGAGCCCGGTTGCCCAGACGGATGCCCATGTCCAAATTACGAATGTGAAGAATCGAGCCTTGAGAAACACGGAGCTGTTTTGGTCCTTAAGAGATTCAGAATTCCAAGAAAACCTGTTCTTGTGAATTTCGAAAGCTTTACAACAGATTTATCTGTAATATTTAATTTATTGATTTTGGGTAAAAAGGAATTTTAAGGTATCTTGGTACAACAACGGTCCAGAAAATCACCAATACTACCCTTTAGATGGATGCTCAGTTTTATACAAGGATAAGAATTATCTGTTTGGAGGCTACACTGCTAATATAAATGGCACCTTGATAAGTTACGGGCCACATATTCTTGATGGCTGTGATATTGTAAAGGCTGAAGGTGTTTCTTTTTATCACGATTGTGATTTAGGCAGGGATGAGAGAATGAACGTGTCAGGCGATTCCGTTTGAAATCGTTTTTTTTTCTCTTCTAAGAGCTGCGCTCGAAATTCTTTCAATTCATATATTTATATTTACCTCACAAAATTTCGAATTTTTAATCTTAGAAATACATTTAAGATAATGAAGTCGATTGCCTTTTGATAAGGAGATTTTTAAAAAATTAAGAATAGGAAATCTTTCATTGTCAATAAGTCTTCGACCATTTTATTGGTACGGCTTTATTTTCATATTTACTTCGGGCGAAAAATGAAACAAAATACTTGGTGCTTTAGCTACCATTTAAATAGATAAAAAAGGCATTTTTTTCTTCTTTATAGCGGATGAAGCGAAAGACAATCAAAATAACGATTTTCAAATTATATCTTGACAGCTCTCATTTGGGTTGCTGATATAAAAGGACATAAAAAATTATCTCAGAAAAATAACCGATTGCATGATTGAAGAAATGCTATTCTCTTACCCCTTGTTAGGCTCAGTGGGATATCTACCAACAGTTGATGATAAAGAGGCTTATATAATGCTCTATGACGGTGAAATGAACAATGTCCAAGCGTAATACTTCTAAAAATTTATCAAAATTAAAATATTAAGATATGATGGACACGCAATTCTTGAGGCTGAATTTTGGGCGCCAAACAAATATCATTCGAATACAGGAGGTCATATCCCTATTTACAAAGAGAAACCTATACTTATTGGGGGAATGTCGGAAAATTCTGTCGAGACTTTCAGGTGAATTTATTATCGGCACATCTGTAATGTTCCCGATTTTTTTTTTTTAATTTTCCATATTAATTTAGTTTCAGCAACTAACTTTAACAAATTTAAAAAGTTTTCTACCACAAATCGGATTTCAAAAAGACAATCTTAACAAACAAGCGGACATAACAAACAAAACGGACGAAAGAAATACGGAAAATTTCAGTAATTTAGAGCATTTAATGAATATTTACATAAAATCACGTGCGGAGCGTATGTTGAGTGGCGGGCGGCTTCGTTTTCAAAGGCCATTTTGTAAACGGCGTTCACAAATTACGAGCGGCGTTCGCAAAATCGAAAGTTTTTTGGCCGAAAATCGTTCACAATTTTTTTTCAAAATGTGTCCCAGCGGTAGAAAAAACTACTCCTGCCACGCCAATGAGTTCCCTACAAGAAAATGCGCAAAGCGCACACTCACGGCAAGATGATTTTTCATTGCGAACGGCGTTCGCAAAATTACGAATTATGTCGCAAATTGCGAACATAGCCGCCCTACACCCCGTATGTTTTCTTATTGATTTTTGTGGTTCGCGCCTGATTTGATAGATAAAATAATTTTCAAAAGAAAATTTCGGGTTTTGGAAGAATTTTCCGCCGTTTGAAATGTGCATTAATTTGTAATGTACGCTTGTCTGTAATGTCCGTCTATTTGATATGTCAATTTTTGCATAAATTGCGCGGAGGGCTTCCTAATTTTTTATTTTATATCAAAAGCAGTAACGTTCTAGGAACAGAAAAATTGTCCTGACTAATCACTGACTAGTAGTCAGTCAGACGAGTTTGACGAATTAAGGTGCAACCATTTTTTAAGCTTGAAAAATGAATGGACTGAACACGAAGATCTAGTATTTCCCGATGGAGATATTGAATCGTACACCACAGTCTGGGGAGACTTTGGTGTGGTCGTTTTTCCTGGAAAATCAAGGTAAGAATACGATATCTATTGAACCCTGTTTTTTTTAGATCTAACGAAAAAATATGGCGACTTTTTGATGATAAATGGACGAATATTGGAATAGTTGCTGGTGAAAAAACAAGAAGAGCTGCTAGATCAGTTCTTTTTCCAAATAATGAGGTTGAGAAATATTCGTTTATTTTATAAAATTGCGTAGGTTATGATGATCGGCGGTTACGATAACCAACAATTCATCAAATATGCCTTCAACGATGATTTTACTTCTATAAAAGGAGAAATTTTAGAAGACCTTCCTTTTCTTGCAGAATACGATTTCCCTTATGCGATCTACGTTGAAAATAATTTCTGCACAATCTGAGGCAAACATAATAAATATTGTTAGTTTATCATCAAAAGTGTGATGATAGTTTAGCAGCTGCTCATTTAATTTTTTATATTTTTCGAAAGAAAAAAAAATTAAATTAGGTTTTTCGTTCATAAAATTTCGAAGCTGACAATGTGAATCATATTGTTCACACAGTGCAGGGAGTTTTATTTATTTCGTCAAGGGAATGCCAAAAAAAATTTAATCTGATTTATTGACATATTTACAAATCGAAGTACATTTTTGGTGGAGAAGTATTTAAAAGTTTTTCACAGTGATATGGTTTCATTGCAGCGGTAATTCAAATTGCTCCAAATCACATTTTCTTGGCTAAAATCAAGCACGCCCAATCGCCCGCCTTGAAGAGTCTTGTCGATCACGTGACCGGAGTCGATGATTTTATTTTCTCCTTGGAAAATTTGCACTTGAATGAGCCCAACACTCGGGCGATGACGCAGCACCCAGCGATAAGCGGTGAAATCAGTCCAGCCGATCTTGTTCTCATCTTCCCAGAGAACTTTCACTTGCCCGGGAGTGTCTGATCCGTGCCAGAGAGCATTACGAAGCAAAGGACCGGGACCAGTTGCGGAATCGATGAGCTTGATCTGAAGACCAGTTGGAGCCACAGAGCGAAAGGGAGAAGGCCACCAGTAGGTTTGCTCGACCTGTTTCCACATCACACTGTAGAAACGGGAAGAGCTTTGGAAGCTGAAAACAAAGCCGACGAAATCATCATCGGTGTCAGTGTTGATGTAGACGGTGCCACTGTAGTCAACGCCTGTAAAAATTTACGATAAAAAATCTTTTATTTTTTTTTTATAAAATCATACCTTGAACATTATGATTTCCAATCGCTAAACCAGGATCAGCATTGACCGACTGTATCAACTCTCTTCCTTCATTCAGCACAATCCAGTACGGATCAAGTTGGCTGGAACCTTCTGGGTCGAGTAAGATAGTTTCGTAGCCGGTAAATGAAGGAGAAGAAATGAGCGCATCCATTGGACAAATATCAAATTCATCAGGAGTTCCGTCGCCGTCAGAATCTGGTCCGCAGCCGAGTTGTTCAGGATTGTAGACTCTCGGGCAGTCGTCGACGTCGTCAGGGATTCCATCATCATCATCGTCGTCGTCGCAGATGTCGCCTACGCCGTCGAGGTCGAAATCAGATTGGTCAGCATTCGCCGCTTCCGGGCAGTTGTCTCTTTCATCTGGAATTCCATCGCCGTCTGTGTCGACAACGACGCAGGAGTCATCTTGAGAGGGATTGTAGATCGTCGGGCAATTGTCGCAGTCATCTCCAACTCCATCATCATCGTCATCAAGCTGGTTTGGATTCGGAAGTCGGGGGCAGTTGTCGATGACATTGGTGATTCCGTCGTTGTCGATGTCATCATCGCAGGCGTCGCCAATTCCGTCGCCGTCGCTGTCTTCTTGGCCGGAGTTTGGAATGGTCGGACAGTTGTCTGCGCGACAGGTTGTGTCTCGGCAATTCAAGACTAAAATATAGAATGAGCGTTTGAAGAATTTTTCAATTTCTTACCTTCATCAGGGAATCCATCCAAATCAGAGTCTTTTCCACAATTTTCTTTGCCATTTCCAGCGAAGCCAGTTGCGCAGACACAGTTGTGCGACCACGTGTCCTCGGCGAACTCGCAAATTGCATTCTTCGCACATCCATTACAGTAACTAAAGCAGCCCACTGTCTGATTTCCAGTAAAACCGAGCATGCATTCGCCACATTTAAAACCGCCAGCGTAATTGAGACACTCCGAGTTTTCTACGCATCTGCCTTTTTTATGGTCTTTTTGAGAAATAAAAGAAGTAAAAGCTCTAGAATTTGGACCATTCCTTGTTCGCATTCGTCAACGTCGAAGCAGTCGATTCCATCGCCTTCGAATCCTTCAGGACATTCATCACAAGTTCCATTTGTGCAGCCGCTCCAGCAGATATCACATTGATCCTAGACTCATTCCAATTTTATCTTTCTTCCATTTTTACCTCTAAGTACTCGTATTCGTATGACTCATCCTCATCGTAGTAATAATCATCATAATCTACCTCATCTTCTGTACAATTGTGTCCATCGCCAAAGTAACCAGTCGGGCAGTTGCCACAAAAAGCTCCAGAAACCAGATCAGTACAGCTGACTCCCGGAAAGCATGGCAGAGAAATGGGTTAGAAAATTATCAAAAACATTTCTTTAAAAGTAAGACCCGTTTCTCATCGCTGCAGTAGATTCTAGAGTCGATGCAGTTCAGACCATCGCCTTGGAAATATTCAGGACAGAGAACGCATCGGGCCCCGCTTTTTCGGTTTCAGAAAATAGTTCTTTGAAATCAAGGAAGAAAATATTCGATTCAAAAACCGATCCTTTCGTCCTCCTCGCAAGCATCATGGCAAAATAACTCCGCACAGGTGGCCTTCATCATCTCTTTCTCTTCAATCTCTTGACACGTGACTCCATCACCAGTAAATCCTTCAGGACAAGGCGCGCACTTTCCACCATCAAGACTTTCAACACATTCGCCAAAACACTCCAATTGGGCGCAAGCGAGTCTAATTTTTCGTTATTTCAAATTTCCAACATCTTATTCTGTACCCTGTTACGTAATGTGTGAATGACCCTTTGGGAGATATTTTCGTTATTTGAAATAAAATCCTGTTGCGAGTAACTGTGCAATTGAATCCGTCGCCTTCGAAGCCTTCTGGGCAGGGATCGCACTCGCCACCGGTCTCCGTATCGTTGCAGCTTGAGAAACAGTCTTTGTCTCGGTCAATTAAGGAAATAAAAATGAATTGTTATTGTTCATTCCCTCCGTAAAAAAAAATAAAATAGAGCACTCTTGTATTTTCATCTTTTTGACCAATTCCTAAATCTTCGCAAAAGACCCTGGTATCCTCACAATCGACCCCATCGCCAACGAAAAACTCCGGGCACTGATCGCAAACACCCCCACTGGGCGTTTCTTCACAATCCCCAAAGCAGTCCATTTCCTCGCAATGAATTCGCTCATCTTCGCAAATCGTTCCATTCCCAGCGAAAAATTGAGGGCACGGCTCACAAACGCCTCCAGCAGGAGTTTCCGAGCAATCGCCAAAACAAGTCAAATCAGGGCAATGAGTTCGGATATCTGTACAAATTGTTCCATCGCCAATGTAATAATCAGGACAGGGAGCGCATTTGCCGCCATATTCACTATCAACGCAGTCAGAAAAACAGCTCATTTCCGAACAAAAAACTCTCGAATCCAAGCAGTCGAAACCATCCCCAACGAAGAATTTTGGACAAGGCGCGCAAGAAAGACCATCTTCGGTTTCAACACAAGTCGAGTTGAAACAGCCCAAATCTTCGCATTCTGGCTCTTCAAGGTGAACGGCGCAGTAGGTTCCATTTCCATCCATTCCTTCAGGACAAGGATCACATTCGCCGCCGAATTCGCTTTCTGTACAAGTCGAGTAGCATTCGAGCTGATCGCAGTGAACTCTAGAATGAGGGTCTCTATTAAAAAATGGCTGATTCTAGAAAAAAATTGTAAAGGAATAAAATTTTCACAAAAAAAATGCAAAATATGTTGAAAATCTTGGAGACCCAAACTGTAATCGATGCAATAAGTTCCATTGCCTTCAAAATAAACAGGACAAGGATCGCAAACGCCGCCATGTTCCATTTCCGTGCAGCCGCCAAAGCAAATCAATTCATCGCAATGAGTTCTACTATCTTCACACGTCGTTCCGTTTCCGCTGAAGTATTTGGGGCACGGATCGCATTGGCCGCCAGTTATGAAATCGGTGCAAGTGTCGTAGCAGTCCATTTCGGCGCAGAAAACCCGCGTATCTGTGCAATTGATCCCGTCGCCTTGGAAGAATCGAGGGCATTTTCCGCAGCGAGGGCCGCGCGGAGTATCGCGACATACTACTGAGTCGAAACAGGTGGAATCGGTGCATTTTATCGTTGTGCAGTCAAATCCATCGCCTTACATTTGAATTTATTAAAACCAAAATTTTTAAATAAAAATGATGTTTTTGATAAAATTAAAAAAATATTGTGAAAAGGAGATTTACCTTCAAAACCATCAGGACATGAGCCACACTCGATCGCTCCATCAGGTCCGAGATCCGTGCACTTGACTCCCGGCCAGCACGGATTCGGCTCGCAACCAATTCGACTACAGTCAATCCCATCGCCAGTGAAACCTTCAGGACAATCTCCGCACATGTAGCCAGATTTGACTTCAAGAAGTTTCAAGTCATAACCCGCATATTCTTCGTATTGCCCGAAGTCTTCGAAAATCCTCATTGCACGAGTAAGATTGGCTGAAATATCGAAGCATTCGACATCTGGAAAACAGGGTCTATCCTCGCACGTGATAAATCGGCAATTGACTCCATCTCCAGTCATGAATTCCGGACAATCTCCACAAACTACTTCTCCTTCCTTTCCATAAAGACAGTCCACTCCTGGATAGCAAGGATCATCGTCGCAGAGAATCATTTCACAGCTCCTTCCATCTCCTTTGTACCCTTCTGGGCAAGGTCCACAATTGATTTTTTTCTCATCAATTTGTGAGCATTCAACCAAGTGGTGGCAAAGTCCCATTTCACAAGTCTCAATTATTTCTTGGCAGTCTTGGCCGTTCCCAACGAACCCTTTTGGGCAATCTCCGCATCGAACGCCAAGCGGATCGTTTTCCAAACACTCCACTCCGGCAAAACATCGTAAATCCTCGCAAGTAACCGGGCGGCAGTCGAGTCCATCACCAATCATTTCTACAGGGCACACTCCGCAAGTTACAGTGCTTCCTTCTTCTGAGCATTTCACGCCAGGGTAGCATGGATTTTCAGCGCAGACTAGGGGCTCGCAGACTTTTCCATCCCCTTTGAACGCTTTTGGACAGTCGCCACAGGAGTACCCATCTCTAGAATCGTGACAAACTACGCCTGGAAAGCACGGCTGATCAGAGCAAGTGATGGGCAGGCAGGTCTTTCCGTCTCCTTTCATATTTATCGGACAATCGCCGCAGACTGGCCCCTTTTTCGAATTTTCGCACGTGACTCCCTGATAACAGGTCTTTTTCGAGCACAGTTCTTCTTCCATTTCGTCGGTGTAGTCTTCCAACACAACCGTTCTCATCTCGCTAAATCGCTCTCGATTTCTAGAAGCTCTGCTTGAAATAAATTCTGGGTCCTTTTCGCAACGAGTTCCATCTTCGTCATCGATGCAGATTTCGCTCTTTTTGCACGGATTTTCTTCTTCGCAAGTATCCGGAGTGCACCTGCCTCCTTTGTTCTTCTTTCCGAATCTACATGGAACAACGATGTCTTCTTCGATCATTATTTCGTCGCATTTTTCGCCGCAACCGTAATCGTCCGAGGCGTATTCTTCCTTGATACACGTGATTCCATTTCCAACGTATCCATAAGGACAGGCGCCGCACTCGAACCCAGGATCGCGATAGGAGTTGATGCAGGAACTTCCTTGAAAACAAGGCGATGTTGAGCAACTGGTGTGGTGGACAGTTATTTGGCTCTGTTGCAGCGTTGCCATTGGCCCGTTGAAATTCTGCTGGGTCTGATCGAAGTTTTGGTTATTGTAGCCATATTGGATATTTGGCGGATTGGTGGGCGTCTGCGCGGGGAAATTCTGCGGCGGAATTGGATTATTCCAAGTCATTTGAGCAGGAGGGTTTCGGCCAGCAGGGGCGAGGCGCAAATTCCTTGGATTTTGAAAAACTCCTGGCTTGATTTCTGGCTGCTGGAGGCTGGTGCTGCTCGCGCCTATGACAGGAGACTGGTAGTTTCCCGTGGGAAAGAGATTGTGAGACGTTGGAGGCCGGAGTTTGGACTCAGGAAAGTCGACGAAATCGGGCTCTTCGAAAGCTTTTTCTTGCCCGCCGTTTCCTTCTCTCGTGAAAGGAGGTGGAGTTATTGCGCGCTGAGTTGGTTCAACTGGTGGATCTGGGAGAAATTCAGAACCGTAGGTTTCAGGTTCAGTTTCGTACTCGTACTCTTCGTAATCGTACTCATCTTCATCGTAGTACTCGTACTCGGGCGTTGTCGTGGTCGTTGTTGATTTTGTTGTTGGAGGGCGAGTGGTTGTTTTTCGACGTCGTTTTTGTTTACGAGTTGTTGGATTCGGGACGGTTGTTGGGATCTGGGTCGTTGTTCTTGTGGTCGTGGTTGATGTTGTTTGAGCCGGTGGTGCATCAAGATGGTCGATGTTCGGAACGGTGAAGTTGAAGTTTTCAACTCCTGTTTCAGGATTCGACAGGTCGCAGTTCCATTTTGAATCTGGCCTACAAGTGCATCTCAAAACCGATCCATCGTCAGCAGTAACAACAGAACTCTCTCCTGGTCGATAATTGAACGATTCTTTTGAACAAAGCGAGTAGCAGTTCACTTCTCCGCGATCATCGCATCTGCACTGCTGATTATTCCCGACATTTACGGTATCTTGGTGCCGGACGATTTTTCCCTTGATGATGCAGCCAGCGTTCTTCTTCATTTTACAGTCGACGCTTGTTTGGCCATTCGAGTCTAGTAGACAGATACAGTCTTTTTTGTTGGCAGTCCATGTTTCGCCAACTTCTTTGATTTTTTCGGATTTTCGGTCGATGCAAAATGGTCGCCGCTCTTTTGACTTGTTTCTGATGAAGCACTCGGTCCGGAGCTTTCCGTTGAGATTTTTGCACGCGCATTGGTAGTCCTTGTTTTCCCGCTAGAATAATTGTTAGAATGAATTTGAAAAAATACTTGTTTACCTTGGATTGCCAAGTTTCACTGGGCAAAAACGGAACTCCCGGCATGGTACCATCATAACAAGTCCTAATCTTCCCCTTCGGCGATTGAAATCCCGCTTCGCTCGGTGTCCTCGCTCCTGCTGGGCGCTGATTATGACTATCACACCTCCAAGTCGCCTCATTTCGCACCAGAACGCACTGGCACTTGAGCATGTTTCCATTTCCCATGTTTCTGACAGCAACTTGGCCGGGTTGATAAACGACTCCATTTTCGACGCAACCGGATGGCGGAGGCTGCTGGCAGGTCATCTGATTTGCTGCTGGGCAATTGCAGTTTGAAGTTCCGGGATTTTGGGGGAAATACGCGCCTTGGGGTGGTCGCTGAGCCATTTGGGGGTTTCCGCAAGGCGAATTCGAGAAGCCTCCGTTTGGAGAATAAGCAGGTTGAGGAGGGGCGTAATTCTGCTGACAAGGAATTTGTTGAGAGCAGCCGACGCAAGTGAAACATGTGTACATTCTGCCATTTGTTTGCCACTGTCGCTGGACTACTCGAGGGTCGAAGGCGGAAGGAACTTGCGGAGGTATCGGCTGTTGAAGATTTTGAGTCGGCTGATCGTTTTGGTAAGGAAATTGATTTTGGGTGGAAGGGAAATTTTGATATTGCGTGTTTTGCTGAGTGTATGCGGCGGAGTTCTTGTTTTGGATAGAATTTTGGATACGAAAATTGAGTCAAAAGAGACCTGAAATGGAAAAATTAATCAGCTGAATAAAATTTTTATCGAAAAATTCCAATACTTTTTTATCTTTCATGATTTAAGTCTATCCGTGCCTTATTTTTTTTCTTGTTCGATCCGCCCATATTCAGAGAAAAATCAACCTGATGCGCCATCGTCGGAAAAACCGATCTTTCCCTCTTTTGCTTGGCCAATTTTCTCTCCAGCTTTATCGCTTTTCTTATCGCTCGGTCGTATCTTATCGTGAGTTTTTGCTGAAGTCTCATATTTTTTTCGTGTAGTTCTTTATTCGTCAATTTCGAATTCGCCAGCGACAGTATTAAAAACTGCCTCAAAATCATTTTATCTATTTTTTCTTGTTTTCAACCCTCTTCGTCTTGGGCTGAGAATATGAATATCCCGCTGCGAGGAGAATTAAAGGCGGATTTTTTTGGTTCTGTTGACTTAGGAAATTACAGGCGGTGGCGCTGAGTGGAGGCGATAAGGGGTTATGGGGGCATATTAACAGGTATGCGCGGAAAGAACAAGGATGGAAAATGTGTGAGACGGGGAAAGATGAAGGGAGTGGTAAATTCATCTTTTGGGGCGGGAGCTTGTTTGACCCCTTGTTTTGAGGGCATCTTGGGCTCATTATTTATCATGAATTTAAAAGTTTGAATTTAAAAAAAGTTAAAATCTTTCCAATACGTATTCTACGGAAATCTTCATATTTGCACTTGCTCGCCACGCTGCCCTTTACTCTTTTATACGTACCAACTTTGACAAATTTGGTTTTCAACAAATATAAAATGGAACTATCGCGGAGTTTTCACTTTCGGCATTCACTCGAGACGTCTGCACCGTCTTTTGAGGAATTAAGAGATGAAACTTTCGCCGGCGATTTTCGCAGCGCTCGAAGTCGCAAGTGCTCAGCGGGATCCTTGGAGGCTTCCAACGTAAGAGATTACATAAGAGATGTATTTCTAGAGCTAAATTTTCGGCTGACTGTTAGGAAAATATTAAATTTTAGAAAAAAATCTTTTGGTTTTTTTGCCTAAAAATCTCTAGAACCCTTGACCCGCTGCACTACAACATCCGAATCAAAGCCTACCTCGACCCAGAAGACCAAGGAGAAGACAATGACACGATCAACTTTCCAGCCAATACCCAGCAGCATTTCGACGCTTCTGCCAGGATCAAGATGAACTGCACCGAGCCAACTAGCGAAATTATTCTCAATAGCTTGTATCTCGATTTTGACGCGGGTCAAACTTCGCTCAAACGAGGAAATGCTGACGTCAAAATTAATTCCGTCGTTTTTGATAATGATCTCGAGCAAGTGACGATTTCGCTTGATGAGGAAATCAAGGAAGAGTACCAGAATCAGAATAATTTCAAAAAATTAAAAATTAAAAAAAAACTATAATTTCCACTAAATTCTATTTTGAGCTCTAAAAGATCAACGAAGAAATCGACCTATCAATCGATTACCGAGGATATCTCCAGCCCAACAACTTCGGTTTCTACATCAGCTACTACGAAAACGAAGGAGTCCGCAACTACGTCGCTTCTTCTCAAATGCAAGGCCCATACGCTCGTCGAGTTTTTCCCGGCTTCGACGAGCCCGGTTTCAAAGCTGAATACTCAGTAACGATGGAATACCAGCAGAAAATGCCCTGGTCGAATCTGGACTACTATCCTCTTTCGAATATGCCATACAAAGGGCAGGCAGCGTGCAACGGAAATTGGTGTACTCAGGAGTTCGAGAAAACAGTGAAAATGTCAAGTTATCTGACTGCGTTTGCGATTGTTGACTTTGGCTCGGTGAATACGGAAACCTCTGTCGAAAAGACTCCAGGCGCCGGGTGAAATTTCACAATGTTTGACCTTTTTTGGCTATAAAAAGCAATCTTCCTACAAAAAATTTTGACATGATCTTTTGACAACGTCATTTTGAATTTTACCCAAAAATAGCAAATCTATATGCTCGCCAACAGCTTATCGGCGAAAAAGACCAGCTGATGTCCGCCACTGGAACTGACAACCCAATGTGGTTCCCAGCAATTTCCACCGAACGCGTTACTGACCAATTCGGCAGCGTCCTCCGAAGCTACAAAGACATGGGCGTCGAAAAAGCTGATCAAATCGCCCTGCCCGATTTCAACGCCGGCGCCATGGAAAACTGGGGATTGGTGACTTACAGAGAGCAAAGCTTGCTCTACGACATGAATCGAGATCGATTCGACAGAAAGTTCTACGTCGCGAATGTTGTTAGCCACGAGATGGCGCACATGTGGTTTGGCGATTTTGTCACTTGCCAGTTTTGGGACGAGCTCTGGCTGAATGAGGCTTTTGCTACTTTCATTTCTTATGTCGGGCTTGAGGAGAATAGGGATTCAAACAACTCAGTGAGGGAGAGCCTGAAATGGAATGATGATTCTAGCGTGGGAACATGGGATTTGAGGTGATTTTGAATATCTGGGTGAAAATAAAGGACGAGTTTTTTCTTCGTTATTTTCGTTTTTAGGGTCTTCGAAAAAAACTGCATATAAAAATTTTCCCCTTCATTATGGTTTTTTCAGCCGAAGTTTTATCGCAAATCGCTATCCAGCTGCCCTCCAGCACGATCAAACCACTTCTTCGAACCCAATCGTCAACATCGAAAACAACAACGGCAAGGTCGAAGGTCATCCCCAAGCCGGTTCCTCCAACATCATTTATTCCAAAGGAGGAATTATTCTGAAGAACATTCGCTGCTTCCTCGGCGATGAAGTTTTCTTCGGCGGCCTTCAGGATTATCTCGAAAAGTTCAAATACAGCAATCCTGATTCTTACGATTTGACTCAGGCCTGGGAAGACAAGCGAAAATCTGTCGGAAAAGACACCGAGTCGGAAAAGTATGACGAGTCGATTTGCGATGGAATCGGATTCAATCAGAAATCAGGCGTTTTGATGAGCGGCAAAACGGTCGGAGAGCATTGGGATCCTTGGCTGCGGCAAATGGGCTACCCGTTCCTGACCGTGAGCTATTCTGATGACTCATCAAAAGCAGGAATCAACGTCGAGCAAAAGCGATTCCTCAACAACCCTGACGATGACGCTTCCAATCCGCCATCGAAGCTTAACTACAAATGGCCGATTCCTCTCCAAACTGCGTTCAAAACGAACGGAGCGATAAAATACATGGCTACTTGGATCGAAAACGGCTCGATCGACTTTGCTGAAACCAGCGACATCGATTTTGCGATCGTCAACGCCGACTACGTCTCGTTTTTTAGAACAAAATATGATGGGCAAATCCTCGAAGATCTGCTCAATGTTCTCTCCGTTGATCATACCGAGGTCCCATCTTTCTCCCGCGCTAATTTTGTCGCTGACTATTTCGCCTTCGCCGAGAATAAGCCACTCACCGGAGTTGACATTACTGACACTTTTGAGTACACAAGCTTCATGGCAGAAGAAACTGACTTTGTAGTCTGGAAGATGTTTGATCGAGCAATGTCGAGTGTCAGAGGCATTTTGAAATATACTGATAGCAAGGAAGAGTTTCCTCGATTGAATTTGAAAATTTGAAAAAATGATCAATTTGGTAAGAAAGAGGTTAAAACTCAAACAAGGACGTTCTGGATGGCTACCTTAGCTCATTGGTTCAAAAATACTACGACAACTTTGGCTACAGCGTTGACTTGTCGAAGATTGTTGACATGGATCGGGAGGCGATGAATTTGGCTCTGCTCATGTCCTGCCAATATGGGTAGAATCTGCTTTTCTGATCAAAAAATATTTTTTCAGGAACGCTGATTGCTTGGCCAACTCAAAGTCGTTGATTGAAAAATACGACGGAAGTCTTCAAAATGAGCCTGATCGAGATCAAAAGCTCACTGCTTATTGCTATGGAATCCAAGGTTAAATCTCTTCTCATCTTCTTATTGTAACTGAATTTCTAGAATCCGGCCAGGGAGAATGGGACAAGCTCTGGGCAAGCTACGCAACCGAGCAGAATGCGAATGAGCTGTACTCAATTCGATACGGTCTTGCCTGCTCCAAGGACCCCGCTACGATCAAAAACTGGCTGCAGCTTATCAAAGGCGATGATATCCGAACTCAAGACAAGCATACTGCCATCAATCAAGTTTCAGGAACAGAAGTCGGAAGAGACCTCGTCTGGGAGTTTATTGAAGAAGAATGGCAATGGATCAAGGTAGGCTCTATCAACCTTCTTTTCTTATCGCTTCTTTCAGGACAAAACTCTCCAAGAATCCTGGACTCGCGCTTCTTCCATCATTTCTACTTGCACGAGCACTTTTTCCACCGCCGAGCTGAAACAAAAAGTCGCTGCTTTTCGAAGCGCAAAATCAGCTGACATCAAACAAATGGGGCTTGAAGGCACATTCGATAATGTCATGACTACAATCGACAAGAACATCAAGTGGCGAGAAGAGAACGAGCAGAACATTGTCAACTGGATCAACGAGAATGGAAATGCTGGTGGAGATAGCGGAGATGCGGCTGCTATGGCTGCTTCTGTCTTTTTTGTTCTCGCTTCGATTTTGCTTTAGAGAAATAAAAATTGAGAAGCATATATTTTTATCCTCGTGATAATTTTAGCTCATCAGATTCTCCTTCAAATTTCGCATGATTGTGTGTTCTTATTTTTGGGCAGATCAATTTATTTGCATTTCTATTTGTTTGGTCGCTGCGTTCTACAAATGTAGCTTTTTTACTCTTGCCGGCCAGAAGGAGAGAAAAAGTAAAGATAAAAATAATGAAGCTTCTTTTTTTGTTCGTCGGGCTGAGCATGGCCGGAACAAAATGCTCCGGAGACATGTGCTGGGCTCAAGAGATGAGAGGACCAAGGTAAAACCTGTCAAAGTTTTTATTAAAAAATACATAATATAAGACCCCGACGAACTGAGAAAAGCGACGAATGCTCAATTGATGCGCACAAAACCAATCCCGAAAGCTGGAACATGAACTGCCCTGACAGCTGCGAAATCATGCAATTTCTCGAAGTCGTCGAGCGAAAAATCAACGAGGAGTGGGCTCAAGTCAAGAGCAAGTAAGGAAATTTCAAGAGAAAATGAATCTTAATTTTTCAGCTTTGAGGTCAATTACGGAAAAGCTGGAATGGACGGAAGCAGACGAGAAATTCTCGAAATTCTCTTGATCAAGCTCAACAAGATTAAGAACTCCTCAATGTTACGGATTTTCAGAAATATTCATAAAAAAACTTTGAGCTTTTTCTTTAAAAAAGAATTTAATTGAGCAAAATTGAGACAATTTATGACAGAAAATATTTGAATTTAAAATCCGCTGAAAGTCCGAAGCTGAAAAATTCAAGGCCTACATGAAGCTCTACAACGATGCCAACGTTCCGCGAATCATTCTCGAGCAGGAGAAAATCACTGCGAATCTTGAAGAGCGACGAGCAAATCTTCACTCTGAGCTTATCTGTAGGCTCCTTTTTTTATCTTTACGTTTGAATCATTTTTAGCTCTGAAAATCGAATTGAACAACAACATCGCCTTCTGCCTGCTCAACTTCAAGGAATATGGAGAGCACATTTGCGACGTCAGATCTTACCAATACGGACAAGGAGAAATCTAGAGATGTTTTCTGAAAGAATAAACTTTGATTGTCGATTCGAATAAATTTAATGAAAATAACCCATATAATTGGAGAAAATAGATTTTTAAGAAATTTAACTGTCAAAAGAAAGAAAGTAAAAAAATCTGGGATCTTTATAAAGCGGGTTTTCAGCATAAAGTCAATGAAGAATCTTCGTTTGAGATTACAGAGACTTACCAATAGTCCAGCAAGGCGGACAAAAGCACACTCCGCCGCGGCAAGTATGCGAGCATCCACCGTTATTGCCATCGTAACAGCTTGCTAAGACGGCACTTACTTGAAGAAGGAGTCTTTTAGTGTTGAAATTCTTGTTTTTTTTTACAAATGTTGTACGCTAATCGATGCTAAAACCTCAGCATCCGTGTTTTCTACCTTTTAAGATAAATCGGCACCCGAGAATTTTCCAAATTTATTTTATCGTTAAAAATTTGTATTTTCAACTTTTTCTAAAAAAACTCTTCATGAATCACTACTGAATTCTTTTTTTCTCATGACCTTCTAGGGCAAAATCTGCTGCGTCAGCATTAAAAAAGTGAAGAGGTTGTGGTGCAGCTAGGGACGATATGAAAGTACCATCACGAAAAAGCCTCAGGTCAGAATTTAACTAATTTTGTCAGGTTCTGTTAAACACGCTTATAGAATTGTAACAAAAACTTTTTGTGAAAATTTACCGAAACTTTATTCTGAAGAATTTGAGGTTTCTTGCGCACGCTCTGCTTTAAGCTTTTTATCTTTTCCTAAATTCTATGTTTTGGTCACAGCCGGAAGATAAGACTCTAGTAAGTAGAGTCTAGTTTCTATGTTTCGGGCGGTTTCGTAAAAAGAAGGTGCATGGGATAAGCCTGTCTACCGAAAACTCGTCTTGGTGAAAACCAAGTCCTGTTTCTCGTGAAATTTAGCTGAACCAAAAAGACAGGATCTACGCTCCAAGAAAAAATTGGCTAAAGAAAGTGGAGAGAGACGGTCGAAGATTTAAAGATTTCCAGGAGTGTACGGTTGCTAAATCCAGTACTTAGAAGCTGTTGGTTTCAATGTTTCATCGTGAAAGATGTTCATTTTATTTCTGAGGAGTTGATTCACAAAAAAGCGCATATTAAAGATAAACGAATGGTTTATAAAAAATATACACAATATATAATGAATTATTGAAAATTATATAAAAAATTTGTAAAAAAAGGAGACGAATATAAAATTCTTTTTAAATTCTAAAAAAAATATGAAAAAAATTGTCTTACGAGTTTTGTCATCTGTAAAATATGCCGTGATAAGGTGACCCTTGTACGATTTCTCGCGAAAAAAAAAGAAATGCAGCTCTAGCGCCGCGAGCGCCGTCTGTTCTCCATATAAGCTTCAGCCTGCCAAGTCTGGCTAGCATTTTCAGAATGAAATTGTCTGCTGCTCTTGTTTCCGCCGTGAGTAAAAGAAGAAAGAGATAAAAATGTGATAAATTATATACAAATTAAGGTAGCCGCGAGAAAATGGAATCCCTTTGGCAACAAGCAAAAGCTCTTGTCTGTCCCAAAATCTGCTCAGGCTCATCGTGATGCTCATGGTGACCAGGGCGAATATGGCGATCTTGTCGTTCAGCCATGGCAAGTGGACATCCTTGTCAAGCACGGCTACGATGCGGACAAGCTCAACGTCGACGAAACTGCGGGAAACGACCCTCCGAACGGGCGAGGACTAGTCACGTGGGCGAGAAAATGGAACGTCGTGGATTCGGATGGAAAATTCGTCGTCCCCTACGCAATCCAAAATACTGTTCCTTCCGAGCACTGGCAAACGATTCATGATGAGCTTGCGGACTTCACCCTCGCAATGGGCTGCCTCAAATTCGTCTTTGATCCAGATTTCACCTATGATAATGGTGTTCACATTGCCGGCGAGTCATCGAACGGCAGCGGCTGCTGGTCTTTTGTCGGTCAATGCACCGGTTGCTCAAATGGTGTGAGTGGAATTCACTCCGGCTGGCAAGCTCTTCGACTTCCAAACTGGTGCATTGGGGCTGGAGGCATTCATCACGAGTTTTTGCACGCGATTGGATATCTCCACGAACAGGATCGACCAGACTGGGCTGACTATATCACCGGCGGCGATGTCGGAGATATCTCCAACGACGTCTGGTTCGAGACTGGGCATCCCTTCGAGCCATCTTCAAACGTCATGTATAGTGGATTCACGCTCGTCAACGGCCGCAGCTACAATCCTCACCCCCTTCTCACCACAACCGATGCCGAGCAAGGATATCTCCTCTACTGCGAGGGAAAAGAACAAACCCACCCGCTGGAGCCAAGATCGATGTGTCTCGAACCAGATGTCGTTGACGTTTTAAGACCTGTCTTCCAGCACAAATTCTGCGACGGCTTCAAAGACTGCCTCAACGGAGAAGACGAAGACGGCCGTCTTGCGACTTGCGCTGAGGGTGAAAAAACCGCGCTTGGTTGCTGCAAAAATCTTAACATGGACTTCTTCGGACTTGGCACTTGTGTTGCCGGTGGCTCAATCGTCAACGGGAAAGACGTCTACACTTGTGACCATCCATATATAATAAAATGGCAATGGAGCTCGTCAGGTGGATGTAGGGTCCGGCACGATTAGGACAGAAAAATTATTTTTCAGAAATCTTCAACTGTGGCTAAAATGAGGTTTCGGAACTCATTTCCGGCCTTTGATTCTCCCCAAAACTCCTCTTTTCATCCCTTTTTAGGCTTTCAAAAATTTCTTTACTTGAGAGGCTGCTGCGCTCTGATTGGTTCGCACAAGTCAGAATTTCTTCTAGACTCGAGATTCTTCTTTTTCAAAATAAATGTGCGGACTTCAGCCAATCAGCGCGCGTTAAACATTTTAATTCTAATCGTTATAAACTTTAAAAGTAATTCACAAGAAAAGTCCAGTGAGTTAGAATAAGTTTCAAAAGCAAATATTATTATTTTTTATTTCTCTATCTAAAATGACTAGGCCTGGAATTGTGAGCGACCTAGAACGCAAAATAACCGAGAGAAATCGGCGATTTTGATTTTCAGTCGGGATTCTGATTGCACCATTTTATTTGGCGTATTCAAAAACCCTAGAAACATTTCGATTTTTAGGGGGCTCATACTTTTTTGGCCTTTCAAAAACTTGGGTCCTCCGATCGTGTCGGACCCTAGGTGGATGGACTGGTTGCGCAAACGACTCGTGCAGCAGCAGATATACGAGGACTGGAAACGGAATAGCGGATGTGCCATGCTTTGGCGACGCTGGAGAATTTTCCTCTGATTTTCAATGGGACGGCAACGCTGTCAGTAGTCTCGGTTGTCAGTCTGGCGATGGACCTGCTACTCCTACTCCCTGCGCTGATCACAATTGCGATGATAATCAACGATGCGTCAACAACGATGATCTTTCTGGATACACCTGTGAGTGCCGAGATCCAGTTAACAAACCCTGTGCGACAACAACCACCACTTCTACCACCACAACGACCACAACAACTACGACTACAACAACAACGACTTCCACAACAACGACGACGACGACAACAACAACTGAACCACCAACTTGTCCTCCGACAACTGGATGTGATCCAGCCTGCGAAACTGGTTAGATAATGTCTTATATAAAAAATACTAATCTTCATGAGACAGAAATTAAATCTCATTGTAGGATTCACTTGTTTAAATGGAGAATGCATCGATGAAGATGAGTGTTCCACTGGCAATCATAACTGCCACTCCTATGAAAACTGCGCAAATCTACCGAACGGAAGAGGGTACAAATGCGAGCCAGGGAATCAAGAGTGCCAAATGCATCACAAATTTGCTGAGTGGAAAGGAGTAAGTCATATTCTTATATTTTCTCTTTACTAACTGTTTCTTTTCTCAGCGCCAAAACGTCAAATACATCTACAAGGGAGAAGACTCCGTCATGCTCCAAGTCAAATTTCGATCTAAAAACAGATTCGTCAATCCCCGATCCGAGCTCTACAAGGGTTTCGTTTTTTGGACCAAAGACGTTTGCGGAATGGACTTCATGAAAAAACTTCGAAGCGGCGAAGTTCGAATCGACCTTGTCGACACAACCGATGTTTATCGACTCGGTGATGTCTACTTCCGAGATGCTGCGAAGTACACTCACGCTGGCTTTGAGTTCGAGTTGACTCAACTGGTCGATAAGGACACCCCTTGGGCTTTCAAGGGCGGCGTTGCTACTAAAAATATGGGATCTGACGATGTCCAGGTTATTCTCACCGGTAAGGACGAAAAAAGCGAAGCAAATATTGAATATTTATTTTCAAGGGCTCAAGGATGTCCAGTGGATCGACGCTAAGGGCCGAGACTGGTGCCTATTGACAGCTGCTAATGCGATCGTTCCTCTTGAAAACAGCGATTTCCCAGACTACCATATCATGTGTCTTGCTGAAGCAAAGACTTTCTGGAAGTCTCCTTCGGATCCGAATGCATAAAACAGACCTCGTTAATCGAATAAAACAGTTTTAAGAAACTCCAACTCATTTTTGATGGTTTGTCAATTCTAAGTCATTTTATATTTCCAAAATAGTTTTGAGAAAAACGGTTCTCTTCGTTGTCTTCAGTCGTCGAAGGGGTTTGCATATCTGTTCATGCTCGTACTGTCATCGCTTGTGACGTCAGAGATTGAGAAAGAGACGTTCTTTTCGCTGACTTTTCTCCTAAAATATTCTTGTTAGGACTTTTTTATTCGGAAACTATGAATTTCGTCATTTTTTTCCTACTGCGCTTTCCGCAATAAAAATGATACTAGCTACTCAGGGTGGGAAGATATCGCCGCTTGAGAAATGTCAAATTTCAAAGATCAGATTTAAGAGTACCTGTTCTGGAAAATGTACATTCCGATAGTGATGGCTAGCCAAACAAAGATTGAGGCTCCGATGAGTCCTCCTCCTAGAGCTGGGGAAATTCCATCGTCTGGGCACTCAGCGCCAAGCACTTTTTCAGTTCAAAATATTTCAAAAAATTACAGCGGAAATTATGGACTAATTGATTGAATTCAAATTTTGTTGGCTCTTTATCAATTTGCTTTTTGAAATGTTTGTTCAAAAGACTCGACTCGGAACTGCCGAAAAAACGCAAACACTTCACATTTTATCGGGCGCTAGCACCAGTTTCCTGTTTGTTAGGGATTAGATTTGAGACAATATCAACTTCCTGAGAAAACCAAACATTTGTTCGATGAAATTTGCATTTACGAAAAACGCTCATTTTGAACTGTTCCTGTGAAGAAAACGAGCACCATGACGAGTTCGAAGATAATGATGCTGGAAGTGATGATGATCGTTTTCGAAAGAGTCCAGTATTTGAAAATGAAAACGCAGGCGGCAATGATGTAAAACGCACTAGAAAATGTTTTCTGTCTTTTGGAATTCTTTTTAACCTGAGGACAGAAACAACGGTGATTGTGACAATTCCAGTCGTAGATTCGACGAATGAATTGACACATTTTTTCGAAGCAGTTGTTGTTACAGAGACTGTAGGAGCTACTGTGTTCTTCTCGTCAATAACAGTCACTTCTTCCAATTTGAGTTTGTCCTTGATGTCAGAAGGAATACTCGGGTCTTTTTGAGCTGCTTCAAAATTTTGGTTAAGAACTTCTTCAACTTCTCTTTCGGTCTCCTTTTCAGTTCTGACTTGAATCTGGATAAGATCGTCCTGATTTTTACGGCTACCACAGTTGCTCTCTGAATAATCGCAAGGAAAGGTGACATGACAGTCAATAAAGTTTATGCAGGCTGTCTTTTCGAATTGATCTTGAAGACGAATGTTGAAGTCGATGTCCGTAGAGTCATACACTTATTATTGAATTCGTATAAATTTTATCTCAATTTTTGAAATACAAGGTTAAATTATGAGTCTAATCAATACTTGAAATCCATTCCTAAATCTTTCGATGTTATCAGATATGAATTTAAATCACTCGGTTTTAGAGTTGGTGCGATAGTTTCTTCTTCTTGCGAAGAAGTTGTCGGTTTGTTCGACGGCGACACAGTGGATTCGACAGTCGATGACGTCATTGTAACAGTGGTTGTTTTCGTTGTAGCTGAAGTCGTTTTCCAGATGCATAGAGTTCCTGTAGTGCAAGTTCCACTTTGAGTTCAAAATCTTCATCATCAGTCAATAAAATACCATTATCTTCTAAATCTCTTTGTCCAACTGAAAGTTTTAGCAAAATTGTGAAAATAAAAAATCGACAGCTGAAGAATTTCATACTTGCGAAAATGAAATTCACTTGGGAAATTTGTGCGCGCGTAAGATAAACACTGACATCTTAACAACTTCTGCTCAAATAAAGATAGGGTTCCGCATGTTCTACAATCCATTTCCTTTTCAATGAAGATTTTTACAAGGCAGCGAAAACGAATATGAAATGTCAACGATCTTTGCAGGGAAACTGTAGGAAGACCCTTTTTATCGAGATTCTCTTCTATGATTTCAATAAATTTTTTACTCAAAACTGCGAAAATAAAATTTGACGAAATTAAAGATAAAATCTCTCATTTGATAATTTTTCAACGTGGCGCAAGAACAAGAAAAATACCACGCCCTGGAAATTGCGACTTCCAAAATGAGGCTTACCAAAAATATTTTGAGTTACGCAACTGCGCTCAGAATATAATCGGGGTTCTAATAAGCTTCTCATCAGATAATCCGCCTTTTTGACAGCTACGGGGATCAGTTCTCCCGAGCAAATATTGCACCTGCTCGAGGTTTTCTCTTAGATTTTTAAAAGAAAAACTCTTTTCACTCCTGAATCTGACTCTTTTCAAATCGAAGAGACTAAAATTAATTGATTAAAAAATTTTTGGGATTTTTTTTAATTTTGGAAAATTCAAAAAATTAAAAACTTTCAACTAAAAATGAAAAGAATGATCATAGAGTCGATTTTTCAAAAAACAGCGTCTCAATATTTTAGCTGGAGATCTTCTGTTACAGCGATCAACACACGCATCTGAATATTTAGAACGAAACATGCGGCGCGGTCAACGCGTTTTCGCCAAACATGTTCCCACGTTTTTGCCATTTCCGGCTTTCGAAAAAAGATTTTTTCCTTTTTTTTTATCGTTTTTCAAAGTTTACTTACCAAGTTCATTTTTTGGCTTGATTGTTCTAAAGGCAGCTGCAAAGTGAAAGTAAATAACGCTATTTGTTCGCTGGACAGAAGTCGGTTTTAAAGGGATCAGCGAAGAGAGCTCGAATTGATTTTTAGTGAGATTAGCGGGACGGCAAGACGCACGAACTGACATGATGACCTAATCGAATTTCCAGCGATAAATGAATAGTTTGAAAATAAAGGAAGTAAAACTAAGCTGGTCGTGTCGGTTTTTTTTCTGCCAAAAATAAGGGTATTTCCCTACTGAAATTCAAAGTTAACAAAAAAGGGATAGCATGCATTTATTCTCTTCAAATTCTAGCGATTACAGATGGCTCGACACAAGCATTCACAAATTCTTTCGCAGATTCTTTCGCAAATTTTGTCCAAAATGGCTTCTGCGCATTTTGTCACGCAGACCAAGCAGCAGCAGTTGCTTAAAAAAATGATACGTGCTATATTCTCAATTCACTAACCAGCAAATACAGCACTTATTCGCCGGTGTTTCTTGTCTAAATTCTTCAATTTCTTGTGCAGTTTTTTGAATGTCATTTTCCACAGCTGTTATTTCGCTTTCAATTGCCCTCACTCCTGGCAAGACCGGGACATGAGGCTCTGGAGTCGGGCTGTAAAGGACGTACAAATTTGAGGTGTCGATTTGGACCGGCTCTGCTGTCCAAGATTCGGGCGGTTGGGTTATCACCACAGCTTCTGTATTCTCTTGATGAGCAACGGGCTCAATTTTGTTCGGCATAACTTTTGATAATTAGGAGGAGTGAGAGTAGATAAGAGCATGAAACAGCATTTACTCAGTAATAAAATCGAATTCGATTTTCCTTGTTACCGTAGTGACAATTTGAGTTTATGGAAATTCGCAAAACCGAATAAAATTGTAGGAAAAATAAAGTTTCTACTGATCAAACAAAATTTCGGCTCAAATTTATATCTTATTTTGGGCTGAGGAGTTTGAGATAAACAAGCGGACAGTTGATCGTCTCTTTTGATATTTGTACTCCTCAAAAGAGACGATTATTTGTGAGATGACGTCTCTTTTGAGAATGTTAATTTATCTTGCATGTTAATTCCCAATTTTGCGTCTTATTATTTTTTCCTAAGCGAACTTATTCGTCCCCTTGTTTCCAATAAAAGGTCTAAATCTATGCAGATCGGATGATATTTACCAATCAGCGTAACCCCCTCGGCCCGTGGCTTTTATTGACAAAAACAGCGAGATCAGTCTTGAAATACGTTTACAAAACGACTTTGGCGACTGAAACAAGGTGTACAATGAGCAAGCAAACGGAAGTATCTTTAACTGCATCTTTCCATAAGCGGGGGTCGATTTTTCCCGCTAAAGACGGCGAGTCAGAGCGACATGTGTAAAAAAAATGTTAGAAGTTTGGCGGCGAAGTAACGAAAGATCGAAAGATCTAAGTGAATTTGCTCATCCCCAGATATCACCGGCGAAATGTCAGCAGAAACATTTTGGGCACACGTTTTTACCTGTTTTTTTCCTTCCTTGCAAATGTTTTCACGTCACAGCGAAAAGTAAAAAGATGCAAAAAATGACTCTTCTTATTAAAAAAATCTTCTTGTTTTTTGGATGAACAGTAATTGAGCCACGTATTGAGCATTTTAAAATTTGTCGTAATTATCAAAAGGTTTTTGAGTTATCTTATCGAAGCTATTTTCAAATCATGGGAACATATGCTTTTTGATAGCTCAAGCGAAAAAATTTTATCTGGATTTAGAATGCTTTTCTTCTCGTAAACCGATTTCTGACGCAATTTCTTCTCAGTCTTTTACTGTAGATTCGCGACAGCGTTGAAAGTTAATACACCAGGAAGATTGTCGATTCTTAAGAAGTTCCGATCGCATTAATTCCGGATTCTCAGATTTTCAGAAAGATTCTTGTTATTTTTTCGAAAAAAATGGGGTGCAGCATCAAAAACCGACAAAAAAAATGGTCGACAAATTTTGCGTGGGCGGCTTCTTGACCGCTGATTGGCCGGTAAGAAAACTCTTTAGTAAGATTTCAAGACGCCTGCCCTTTTTCTTTGCCTAAAATGACCTCGAATTTAGTCTTTGAACCAATGTTATAAAAAAGCTAGAAAGACAGAGAAAGAGAGCCGGTCTTAAAATGTTTAGAGAAGTGGCTTAAACCCGGAGTATCACGTTGAACATTCTACACCGGTAGAGATAACTTTGAGAAATGATTTGAACACACGAACACCTTGAAACTACTCCGGTTTCAGCTGTGAGCTAATTTCCGTTTTTTCTCACGCCACTTTTTTCAAGATCTAAAAAACAAAAATTAAAAAGCTGTTTTTCGAGCGCTTGAGATAATCAAGTCCCTGTTCCAGCGACTTTCAAATCAAGCTGAAATTGAACGAAAAAAAACGAAAAAAGAGCCTTTGTCCGAAAAATAAAGATCAAAAAGAAAATCCTCGCTGGACCGGAGAAAATCCAGTTCTCCGTTAATTTCGCTACGAAAAAGCCTCGAAAATCGCCTTCGCGCATAATCATTTGTTATCTCAGATCTGTCTCTTGAAAAGAAGGTCAACACGTGACAGGAAACAGGGAAAGGCTACGTGATGTAATAGTTTTGACTTTTTCGGACTTTTTGATAAAGATCTTTTTTTAAGGCCCCCCGTCAGTTTTTTCCTTCGAAAAATGGAAATTTTCAAAAACACCATATTTTTGGTTGTAAATGCGTCCTCAGGTTAAACTTGCTTTAAAAACATGGTACGAGGAATTTTTGACCGAGAAAAATAAATATTTTTGCCAAAATTAGCGCAAATTCGTCAATTTTCGGCGAAAAGTCCAATTTTCTAATTCGATTTTGGGGTCGTTAGAATCGAGATAGACCCCCAAAAAATGGAGCCTCAAAATCGTTTTTTGACCCGTAGAATCCATTTCCGGGGTCAAATTTTATAATTCCGAAATTTTATTTTTTGAAAAAAGCTCACGGGGGGTCCTTAAATAACCGCCAAAAACAACTTCTTTCAGAAAGCTTGACCGAAAAATCTTCCGTCAAAATTCTTCAAAATCACAATGACATCACTTTCTCGCCACCTTCTCGGCGGAGAAAAAATCCGGTCACGTGGTCAGCGCCTGGCCGGAGATTGAATACCGCGGTAGGCCGAGGAAGGCGAGTTTCTAACTGGCTTTTGCGCATTTTTTGTCCATAAGTTATGGACCATAACAAAAAGACTCGAAAATGTGAAAAGGGCCCGGTAAAAAGTGGATTTGCGTCTTGATCCCTTCTTTGGACAAGTGCGAAGCCCAAAATAACACCTGCGAGCTCTGTAATGCCAAACAAGTACAAGCGTCTTAGTTCGCGTAATTTCTTCACAAGCGAATTCGCCATCACTTTGCCACAATAAATCGTTACATAATCGCGATAAATCGCAGCTGCCCGAAATCGAAGAAAAAATAAACCGGTTGGTCAGAAACTCAAACGGGCTCAAAAACAAGCTGCATGTTCAAAGAAACATTTTCCCGGTCTCTATCTTATCGCATAAGCCGCAGAGATGAGCTCGCCAATATAAATTTGCATATTTTCTGATATAAGCAAAAACCCGTTTTCTCTTGGGAAAAGGATACTTTCCCACAAGTCCATTCCTCGATTTTTGAAACATTCCTATGTAAATTGAAATCTCTATGAAAATATCTTTTTTGGCCAGCAGGCTTGAAACATTTCTGGAAACGTTTGTTTAATTTTGAGCTGATTTTTTAAGGGGACTACCACAAGAACTTTATTTTCAAATCAAGGCTTTTGGATTATTTGAGCATTTTTTTGGAATTTGCGAGGGGGGGGGGTGTCTGGAACCGACAAAAAAAATTCGACAAATTTTGCGTGGAAATTTTCAACCAATCAGAAGCCTGGAGTCGGCTGAGCGGCCAATCAGCAGCCGAGTAGACGCCTACGCAAAATTTGTCGAATATTTTTTGTCGGTTCCAGACACCATCCCGAATTTTCGATACTATAAATGTAAATTTTAAAATCAAACTAAGTTAAAATAAATCTTTTGGACAAATTAAAGATATAGAAGAAACGTTTTTCTGAATATGAATGTCTCTTTTGATAATATGATGGAATAAAATGGGTCTTCAAAGCAAAATTTGATTATAAATGTTTATGATATTTCATCCAGTATTCGCTATCAAGTCTCAAAAATATCTTGTTCACTAGAAGGTCAGCGATAAAATTCTCAAAAAGTTTCCTTATCAGTAAAAGAAAGCTATTTTTAGAAAGACTCCACTTGTCTCCAATCGCGAACAAGAATGTCTCAATTAAGACAATTTCGTTGAACCTAATAAATCACCTGTATTTAGTCACAATAAATGCTCCAATTTATAATCAAAAGCTCCATTTTCTTGATTTCTCAGTGCGCGAGCTCGCTTGCGCCACCTTTTTCGCGCGCGCGCTCGCGATATTTTTGCAGAGACTCCGAGTTTTGCTCTGAAATTGAAGAAAATAACTTGCTTTGTAAAATAAATTTAAAAAAAAAACGGAAAATAAAAAAACTTCAAAATAATAAATTATAAAGCGAAATAAAATAACAGACTTCAAAGAAGAAAAAGAGAGAGCAAGCAGAAAGAAGAAGGTACGAAAATAATCTTGAGAGAAATATTTTCAGAGACAAAGAAGGCCGAAGAAGAATTGAACAAGAAAAAAACTGTGAGCATGAATACACAGGTAATCTTTATTTACGATTTTTCAGAAATTTTCATAATTTTGAGACAAAATCGATTTTCTCACAGTTTTTTTCAAATTCGACCATTTGTAGCGAAAATTAAAAATTTTAAAATATAAATTGAAATTTTCTGATTTTCTGATTTCTCGAAAATCCAGTTCTGCATCGTTGAGAGTGCGCCATTTATTAATAAGAAAGTAGGCTTGTAGTCCAGTTAATCAATTATTAATTCATGTCAACTGTCGTAAGCAAAAATAAACTTCATCTCTGTATATGTCCAAATTTTCGAGCCTATTTTTACAAACCTCAACCATGAAATTACCTAAAACCCCGGCTTAAAATCAGCTTCTCAAGATCGCCCTTCGAGCAAAAGGGATTATTTTTTGGAGAAAGCTGGATCATAAATTAATTCAAATTATACACATAGCGGCTTTGGCGCGGTCATCTCCCTTTTCGCGCTTCGAAAATTCGCGGATTGAACTATCGTGGCCTTTTTGATCCGCGAAAAATCGCCATCTCCGAGTTTCGAAGTGAAAGTTTTTGAATTTGAAATATTTGGGCTCAGAAGCGAGAAATTCGTAAACATCAAAAGTGCACTTTAAAATTTTAGAGTTGCGCTTGCAATTTTCTTCATTTTATTTTAAATTTTTATTTGAGAAAAATTGAGGAAAATATTGGAATTTGAAAGACAGATAGAGCGCCCGTTCTTAGAAGGAAAAGATTTATCAATTGTTTTGGATGAGAATAAACATTTTGGATTTTTGATTTTTCAGCGGCGCCAATTTTCGAGGTTTTTGGCGATTTAAGGGGGTAGAACTAGGTTTTCCGAAAATAAGTGATTTTTGAGAGCCCCTTTAAATAAGAAAAACCTATTTTTACAAAGGTTAACGAAATTTCCTTTGAGATGTTGCTAGAAAAAGCATTCAACTATCAAAAAATGAAATTTTAAAAATCGGCTAATCACGTGACTCGAGAAATTTGAGGACGCAAATAGGCTAAAATGGCGATTTTCGATGAGATAGTTTGGTGTTTCGCTCTCTACCGCCAAAATTTGTTGACGAAAAATTTTTTTAAGAAAAATGTTGTTAGATCTAAGTTTGCTCTATCTTCAGCTGAAGAGATAATTTGAATATCTTAGCTTGCCTGGCTTTGAGCGCCGGTCTAGAATTGGCTATTTTCGAAAATCCTAGTTCTACCCCCTTAAGTCGAAAGTCTTCGGCCAAATTTTATTCTTTCAAAATTACTTGTCAATATAGTCCCTGAAATTCTTTACAGAAAAGTATCAATTTTTTCTCAGAAAAAAAAAATTCCAGATTGAAAAAAATGAGAGTTATTTATGGTGCCCATTTTTTACAAAAAAAAGCTATTTTGCTCTCTCAGACGTGATTTTCAAGCCGCAAAATGGCCGCTTAGTCCCCACGGCAGCGGAACATCCCTTTTGTATTTTTACCTAAGAATTCATAGAATTTCCATTTTTCCCTCTTTTGTTGGAATAATTCGGCAGAATCAAAAATAGAGAATGATCAGGGTTTTGATTGGCCGGTAGGCTAAACACAGCAATCTTATTGGTTATCCATAAATGTCCGAATTATGGGAAGACGAATCAGCTTGCTCTATTTTGCCTACCGGCCAATGGAAACCCAGATCCATAAAATCACATTCTTTTCTCAATTCTGCCCTTATTTATTACTTCTTACATTGAGTCGGAAAGAAAGAAGGGCCGGATTCTTTCGTTCACGTTTGAAGGAATAAATTTCCGCCGTGGAGCATAAATATACAGAAGCCATTTCCTTCCAGTATTCTATTACGATCCCTTTTAAATCCCTCTGTAATATTTTGAGTCAAAGCGGGCAATGAATATTTTCAAAGCGGTCGCACTCTGTTTCTAATAGAAAGAAAACTTGTTCCATTGACATTTATAGGCGCCTTATTGGATTCCCCTTCAATTTGTTTTTTAGATAAGAAGATCGCGCTGGAAAATGCAGCTTTTTACAGGAAAGGGTTCGAAATTATCAAGAAATTTTCAAGGTTAGGGTTAGAATTAGGGTTAGGGTTAGAGTAACCCAGAATTTTTCTTGGTTTATGCATCTTTTATGAGGACTTAACCAAAAAGTGGAAGTGTTTTTAAAGTTGACCAATAAGATTGCTGTATTTGGCCTACCGGCCAATTAGAGTCCTGATCCAGAAAATCACTTCCATTTTTTGGTTCTGCCCAGAATAAGGGCATCTTGAGGAAAACTGTCCAATATTATGAGGCTCCAAACTAGAGGGGTGTCACGAATCGACATAAAAATCTCGAAAAATCTTGTGTAAGTGGCTAATCGGCTGCTGATTGGCCGGTTCGCCGAATCCAGGCTGCCGATTGGCTAGAAATTTCAACGTAAAATTTGTCGAAATTTTTTTCAGTTCCTGACAAACCCCCCCCCCAACTTGGCCACTGATTGGCCTTACCTCAAAATGACGAAAACTGATTGGTTAAAATTTTCATAAATTAAAAAAATCAGCTGAAGAACCCAAAAAGTCCTGACAGCCGTCTCCGCCAGCACATTAGGTAAGTGGACACCCCTAATCTTCCGCTCCCCATTTTGTTATCAATCCCACTTGTCAAACTTTTCCATTTCCACCACGTTCGTAAAAAACGTTACATCACCATCTGCGAGAAGAAACTGCGAGAAGGCTTTTTAGAAACATCTCTTTTCAGAATTGGAGTGTTTGGAGGAAGCGCGATTCTGCGCCCGCGTCCAAGATTCCAGAGATTTGATCCTTCCGGATTGCATGAGCCGAGAAGGCGATACAATCTGCATCAAAGAGGGAGAGCACAATAATTGTGGAAGTCTGCTCAAAACGGTAGGATAAAAAAATTTTAAAATAAGAAAAAAAAAAAAAATGGAAAAAAAAAGAAAAAAAAAATTGAAAAAAAAAATCAAAAAAATTAAAAAAAAAACGTTGAAAAAGATTTAAAAAAAAATCTTTTATGGAATTTTTTTTCAAAATAATATTTTCATTCAAAATTCTAGGACGACGCAAATCATCTTTATCAAAACGAATTATCAGATCTGGAAGGAAACAGCGTCACGTGGAAATGTGCCTATTTCACCCCGCCTACGTAAGTCCATTTTTTTTCCTTACAAATGAAATTCTTTCCCGAAGCGTGGTCAATTACAATGCGCCAGTTGGAAATGGGAATTTCCTGATGGCCTTCCAGCTCTTTTCCGATGCCGAGTACAAAAGGCCACTTAGACAGAGGTCGCCGCATTTGCCCATGGATGGCCTTATCAGGAAAGTGGGCTCACGTGATAACATCAAGCAAATAATTAGTTTTTTCTTCCAATTCGATCTCTAAAAAAATCTTTATTGTTTTTCTAATCCCTTCGCTAAGCAATTATTCACCCGCTGAGCCCGTTATTCTAGAGCCCGAGTGTCCCTGTTAGATCACCAAAATCTCGGCCGCGCCACCGTCCAGCTCCTCCAATGCATGGCCACGCCGACCCCAGATCCTTCCGGCCCGGTTGGACTCATGCTCATCGATGACTTGTTTGTTCACAAACTATTTTTCTTCCCTAAATCAGTTTTTCTAGCTGTCCATTGGAAAGTGGCGCACAAGTGAATTTGATCCATTCTGGAGTTGCGCCCTTTGGAACTTTTGAGGCAAATGTGTTTAAATTTGCTGAATCATCTGAAGCTAGAGTTTTTCAAGAAAAAAAACGATTTTCGATCAAAAAGCCGTTCGCGGCTTTTTTATTAATGGACACGAGGAAGCCGCATACAGCTTTTGAGCCGAAAATATAAAAGCCGCATGCGGCTTTTTGAGCTGAGAATTATTTGATTTTTAATGAGTCATTAATAATGATGAGTCATTATGAGTCATTTTTAATTCATCATCATATATAAGTCATAAATTCTGGATCATAATTAATTACAAAAAAACAATGAGTCAGAAACAATGAATCACAAATTATGATAATTTATGAGTCATTATATAGGTTTTTTATTTTTGGCTCGTAAGCCGCAAGCGGCTCTCTCGACTCTCTATTAAGAAAAACGCAAGCGGCTTTGTTCATTATTTTTTTTTATTTATTACAAAATAAAACTCTCAAAAGTGTTCCTCCACTGCCGCGTCCGAATCTGTTTCAACCCAGCAACCGGCGAAAATAGCTGTTCAATCAACCCGGCAGATTGCCCTTTTGAAAAAAGCAGAACTCGTCGCGAAGGCGTTTTGGATGAACCAACAACGATGATCAGCATTGGGCCAATTGACGTGTCGGATGCGCTCTTGATTGATGGCACCGTCGAGGAGATAATTCACGAAATTGAGGGCGAAATTGGGGAGCAAGACGAAAGGATTAAAATCCATCGTAAGATTTATTCAATTTTTCAATCGTTTAACTTTTCAGCTACTGTTCTGTGGAGCCTTGTTTCTGCCCTGATCGTTATCTTCATCGCCATCATCGCTCTCTTCTTCGCCGTTCTCCGCTGGATGCGACAAAATCCCACGGACAAGTACTCGATCAATGGAAGCTCTGTGATGCTACAGAACTCTCCTCGTGGATCAATGACTTCTGTGGAAACAGTGAGCGCCTGAAACTTGCAGCGGGAAAATATCTTCTTCAAATTCTTGTAAATAATTAACTGTACATAAGAAAACACTGCTAGTAGCTTGTTCAATGTAGAAAAAATAACTCTTAAAGGTCCGATCTCAAATTGCCCTTAAAACTTTAAAAAATTGATCGAAATGGAAGAAATTCGAGTCGACAAAAAATTCGATCTTTGACACTAAATTTTTGGTTTAAATTTTGACCAATCAATATAAAGAATTCAGCCTAGACGCCAATCAGGTTTCAGAAACACTTTGAATATCATGATCTTTGTTCTGATTGGCCTAGAGCACGAAATCGACTATCTTCGATCTAGTTTTTGATTTTTTATCGATAATCTTGGATATTTTCTCGACAAACTCGGAAAAAAACTTCGATCAAAAATAAGGGGTGGTGTCTTGAACCGACAAAAAAAAAATCGACAAATTTTGCGTGGGCGGCTTTTCGGCTGCTGATTGGCCGGTTTGCCAAATGCAGGCTTCTGATTGGTTGAAAATTTCCACGCAAAATTTGTCGAAATTTTTTTGTCGGTTCCAGACACCCTCCCAAAAATAACTGGTTCAAACTGAAAATCTCATTAGCTCAAGCTCAAAATCGCATCATGAGGTAAAAAATTTTAAATTTGAAATATCAATTCAGCAAATTTAAACTCAAGAACCAGGACTTTTAAAAATAAAACTGTTAAAAAGGCTTCTGCCAATTTTTGCCAAATAAACTCTGAAACAACTTTCTCTTCCTTGTTTTCAAACTAAAATTGCACAAAAAAAATGTCTAAAAGGGGAGAAAGCGAAGAATGTTTATTTTGAGGAATTAATTTTGATGAGCTTCAGGCTTGCCCAAAATCACTTGGATCGTTTTGACGATAAACGTACGCTCTCGAGCAGCTTATCTAACGTGTTTGACATCAATACTTTCCAGCCGTATTCTAGAAGATAGCACATCAGGAGAAAAAATGCGGCAGATTTCGACTCTTAGACTATCAAGTTAAAAAAAGCCGCGCGAATCTAGATTTTTCTATTCGAAAAAGCCGCATGCGGCTTCTCGATTTTCTACAAGATTCGTGGCAAAATAAAGTGGAAGCGAATGAAAATCGAGCTTTCCCAGTTTATTGAATTCTTTAATAAAGGTCTTCTGCATCAAAGCTTGACTCGTACCCAGCTTTGACTTTTAAAGAAAAGCCGGAGTCCTCCACACTGTGATCGGATTCGAAATGAACGTCGACGTAGGAAGAAGAGAAGGAGACAGTCATTCCCTTAAAAATTATCGAAAAAGCCACTTTTGCACAAAATACCGTTTGAATTCCACTGAAAGCATATTCTTCTGCGGAGGAATCGCGGAAGACGAGGTTGTCAAATCCATGTTCGACCTCGAATTTTGTGAATTCAAAGGTCAGGCCGTCGGAGTTAGTCGAAAATCTGGTTGTACACTCCAAAAAGGGGTCGTAATTGTTCGGGTAATTTGGAGATCTATAGGTTTTTTTCTATCTATTCGCCTTACTTAGAATAGGCTTACTGGAGGAAAGCATGAGCAGAAACAGAATAATTATGATTTCCGTCGCAAATTCCAACAGTCTCCAAATCGATCAACCCTTCATTCGAAAAAGATGTCGCAAAATTGAATGAACTTGGCTGAAGAGTGTTTTCTTCAGGCGAAACAGTGGTATCATAATCGCAGGGAAGATTGCTGTCTCCATCACAGGCACCAGCACTGAAAACTTTTCCTTTTCAAAATTTTTCTTTCAGATTTACCCGCTGCTTGTGTCCGAATTTAAGAAAATTACAGCCAAGATGAAGATAGCGCCAACGATAAAATAGCCAATATTATTTTTCGATTTTTCTTCAGAAGAATCTTTGGAGGGGACAGCTTTTGGTAAAGGACGATCATGCTGATCTCCAAGGATTTTCGACGAAGAGGGCATTTGCTAAACTGAAATAAGTTTTCAGGAAAAATTCTTTCGGGAAGACAATCTAGAAAGATTTTCGGGTCAACAAGGGAGGCTGCGAGTCGTAAAAAAGCTAAAATTTTGACTAAAATTTTTGTCAAAATAATTTTGGCCTAAAAAACTTAACATTTTTTCTAAGTATAATTCGCTGCTTATTCCATTACATATGCAAATAATAGGGCGAAATCATCGAATGGGAAAAGGGTTAATATGTGAGGCGGGATGAGTGGCGGATTTATGCGTTGTGCTTCGTCAAATCGAACGCAACGGATCAGCCGATCCTAGGACGATCGAAGCGCCACTGTCTTTTTCAGAAGCAGCCAAATACAAATACACTTTTCTATATTTTTTTCGAAAGGAAAGCGAATTTTCTTTCAGAGAAACAAAAATTAATAATTCAGAAAAAAAAAATCACAAAAAAAAGATAATCTTTATAATTTTTCTTGAAAAAAATTGCATTTTTTAAAATTTTTATGATCAAAAAAACCCTTTCGGAATTAATCCAAAAAATAGAAAAGAGAGATGGGTGTCAAGCCAATCTGCTCAAAACCTGCGAAAACAAGGGTCAGAAACAATCAGCGCGACAAAAGCAAGCTGATGATTTTTTGATGCTTGTAAGCGACCCGTAACGTTCATTATCCTAAAATGGTTGGCCTGCCAACATCTCATCACTCCCTTTCTCCACACCGAATCGACTTGCGTTACAGCTTTGTTCAGAAAAAGAGAGAACGAGATAAGCTACAGTTACATTTTCAAAGTCATCTGGGATCAGATTCCAGGAATTTGTGAAGTAGAGAAACAAGAGTCCTCGTTGATGGATGATTTCGAAGTGTTGAAAAATTTTTATCGTCTCTTCTGAGACTTTGCCAAATGCCACCCCCGCTCATCTGTCAGTACTTCATAAAATCATCGCGCAATTGAAGAGGGAGTCCCTTAATTTTTCAGAGAAAAAATCTGCAAAACGTCATTTTTTAACAGAGATAAAAATAACTGTTCTTTTCAAAATCCATTATTTTTAAAAAAATAAATTTATAAAAATATATTTTTTTAATATAAAAAATTTTTAATTAAATAATTTTTCAATTTTATAATATAATACTAAAAAATTAAAAGTTAAATAAAAAATTTAAAAATAAAAAAATTAACAAAAGTCAATTCTTAAAAATATTAAAAAAATTCTGAAAAAACTTGCGGATCCTAAGCGGTCAAGAATTAGCTCATCATAAAGCACGATCAATGATCAGAGGCAAGGATCATCAAGGCAGGCTTATCCCTCAAATCCTGACACTTTCAATCCCAATTTTTAGCACTTTTTGCATTTTGGAATTGAGAAAAATAATTAAGAATGAAATCGAAATCGAGAGCGAGCAATTTTGCCAGAGACAAAAGAAAGAGAGAATTGAAGACGAGAATTAGGTGGATTTGTGCTGCAGGTTGCGTTTTATTTTTTACAGGTAATTGAGTATATTTTCGAAAGATCTTGAATTGTCCGTTTTGTCCGAATGTTTTATACAGTATTTCGAGTTATCTTTTTAATAAGAACCCCGGCACCAAAAAGCTAGCAAATAAGTTATGGTGTCTAAAAATATTTTCCAGTTTTTGCCGTTTTTGGAGGCCGAAATTCCGGAAACCTGGAATCAAGGAAGAGAAGACAAGCGCCGGAAACTTCGAATGTCACGTGGTCAGACGAAAGTAATCATCCCGTAGTTTTTAAATGAAAAGAAATCCAATTTTAGAGGGAGATCCATGTCCCAGTTTCAACGACACGGCTGGCTGTATATTCGCATTTGTCGAGGATTATAAAGATGATCTCGGCTTTCTCTCCGACACTTGCGCCCGGGTCATCAGAGAAGGGAGGATCGATCTTAATGAAACTGCCGACGAAATTGAAAGTAAAAACTCTCCATATCTTCCCCTTTCCAAGAGTATTTTAGTTTGTTCGTATGAAAAATCAACGATTCCAGGTCTTTGGCTCGCTTTTTACTGCATCGCTATTCTTTGGCTTTTCGTCGCAGTGGCGATTATCTGCGATGACTTCTTTGTCCCGTCTCTAGAAGCGATTTCGGAGAAGCTCGATCTTTCGGAAGATGTGGCGGGAGCGACCTTCATGGCTGCGGGAAGTTCAGCGCCGGAATTATTCACTTCTTTGCTTGGTGTCACAAAAGTAAGAAAAGCCCCTCTTTTCCGGATCGAAAATGAATTTCAGGAGACAGACGTCGGCGTTGGCACCATCGTCGGATCAGCTGTTTTCAATTTGCTCGTGATCGTCGCTCTCAGCGCTGCCCTGGCTGGAAAGAGCCTCAATTTGGATTGGCGCCCTCTTGCTAGAGATGCGACTTATTACGCGATCTCCATCGGCTTTCTGGTCGGATTCGCTTGGGATGGATACATCACTTGGTGGGAAGCGCTGATTTTGACGGCGCTCTATGTGATTTATGTGGTCATTATGGCGTTTAATCCACAGTTGATGACGTTTTTGCTCAAGAAAATGGTCAAAAATTATTTCAAGAAATTAATTCGATGGAAATTTTTAACCTCAAAAAGATCGAAAGCGCTTTTCGCCGAAAAACAGAGCCAGCAGATGTTCTCCCCGAAAAACGCCGCTCTAGTCTCGTTGGATCCCAATTTCGACACACTCGACCTGGTGAAATGACCGGAGCTGTCGTAAGTTTTTATTTTCAGTGTCGTTTTTATTTCTTTAAAAGTCGGGAACACCAAAGCCAGTTAAAAAATCAGCGCAAGAATGCGACGACTCGGTATTGAAAAATTGAATTAGAATAGTAAATATACTTTTTGACTAATTCTCACAAGAAAAGAAGCAGTTTTTTCTTACTAACTATTGAATTCTAGAGCCAGCGGCGGAACACATCAATCATTCGAAATCAAAGCATCGTGTCGAAAGGCAAAATCGAACCTGACGAAAGACATCAAGAATTAGACGAAGAGAATCTTCCAACCAGGTACAAAGCCAAATCACGTGACCCCCCTAACGCTCTTCTCAGCGGGCGAGACAGTGGAATAGACGACGCGGAAACTGTCATCGAGCGAAATCCCGAAGCTCGAAATTCCCAAGATGAAGTTCTCAAAGAAGACGACGAAGAGGAAGAAGAATTGTGCCATCTTTGCCCTTGTTGGAGTTTTTGCCCCGGAGTACCGCATATTCCACCGAAACTCGAGGAAAAAACGCCGATTGGAATTTTGAAGTTCATCGGCTCAATTGTTTGTCCATTTCCTTCTGTTTAAGTTTTGACGGCTATTTCTAGATATTGTTCATCATGTCATTTCCCTTCTACGTTTTCTACACTTTTACGATTCCAAGATGCGACACCGATGAAAATCGCAAATGGTATCTTCTCTCTGTAAGTCTCCTTTTTTTTATGAACGATGACTGTAATGATTGTAACTGCAGTTCATCATGTGCATCGCCTGGATTGTTGCGCTGACTTATGGAATGGTGACGGTCGTCGAGCACGCCGGCTGCATTCTCGGAATTGGTCATTTTACAATGGGACTTGTCATCATTGGTAAAAAATAGGGATAGCAAACTTAACTCATTCCTAAAAAGCGGTTGGTACGAGTCTACCAGACGCTCTGTCTTCCATCCTCGTCGCTAGAGATGGTTTTGGCGACATGGCAGTCAGGTGGAAAAATATCATAGAAAGAGGTGAATCGTTTTTTTCTAGCAACGCTATTGGCTCAAATGTCTTCGACATTGACCTTGGAATCGGCGCTCCATTTTTCATTTTCGCTTTGGTCCGCGATAAACCCGTTTCGCTGCTGAAACCGGAAGAATGGGTAGACAAAGAATCAGTTTTAAAATAGGCTTAAATTATTCAAGTGCGAATTTAACAGCTTCACGGGAAAGAAAATCATGCCCCATTCGAAATTTGGCCTGGTGCTTTTAGGAATTTTGACAATTGCCATCATCATTTTCGCTGCTCTCAGATTCAAGTAAGATTGAGGATTTCTTTCTTCCTTGATTTCATCTCACCTTCAGGTTGGATAAAAGAGTGGGCGTTGCACTGTTGCTGCTTTATGCCTGTTTTCTTGCCTATGCTTTTACGCAGGAAATTTTATGCCACAGGTTTGGTTTCTTCGCTGAAACGGGTTAATTTTGTTTTTTCAGTCTTTCCTGCTAAGAAAAATAAAATTAAAAAAGAAGCTTTCAAACTGCCATATTTATAAATATACTCTTTCATACATTTTTGTTTTTTTTTATTTTAAACTTCGAGAAAAGAAAGATATGATTTTGCTGGATGTCGAAGTGATTTCGTGTAAATTCGTGTTTTGACAACGTCAAAGACGGCTTCGACAATGAGAAGAAATAGGAAGATCCCGGCGATTATTCCGACTTTGAGGAGTTTTCCAATAAGAACAGACTATAGGAGAGAAAATTCTCGAGAAACTCTTTCAAAAAGCACGTCAATTTCCAAGTGAATAGAGCCGAGATTTCCGTTCGTTACTTGGCTATTTACATGCTGATGAAAAATAACGCTTATTTTGTGATCGTTCTTCATTTTTCTCTTTAAAAAAGCGAGACTTACATGATAATGATTGAGGTTCATCGAGCCGGCTGGAGTCTCCGTGGTTTCGCTAAAAAAGCAAAATGCGGCTTGACACATCAAATTCAATTACGGATTTCTCTAGGCTGCCACTCATTGGTTTTGTGCATAATTCCGTAGTTCGGCATTTTTCGAGGTCGTCGAGAAAATTCTTTTTCGCTTTTTTCCAAATTCTGATTGCATTTTCGGGTTTCGTGTTTAAAATGAAGCATTTTGAGTTTCTTGCTTTTTCCCGAGATTTCTCTGTGAGATGAACTTATCGGAGCGTCCAAACAGGAGCAAAATTTCAAATTTCTATTCTCGAGACGTCGTGATTCCATCGGAACTGATTTTCAGCAAAAATTGAGATCCATCCAGCAATATGCAGAAACCCTTGTCAATTTCTTGTCAGAATAAAACCGGAATTGAAATTGCCGGGGGCGTTTAAGTGTAGTTAAGTTAAGTTAAGTTAAGTTAGGTGTGTAAGTCTTCCAACGCACCAGCAAAGCACTGCAGCGTTCTCCCGCTGGTCAACTAAATCAAGATAAAGAGAAAAAAGAAGACCGATGAGGAGACTTTTCAGGAATTTGTTGAAGTAATCGTCGCTAACTTAGTACAGTAAGAAAAGAAAAACCATTTCGAATGGAGGTTAGAAAGTTTTTGATTGATTTTTCGATCGGGGGCGCTCGGTAAGAATACCAATTTTTTCTATTGAAACAGTTTTTTCCTAAATAAAAAGGTAAATCACATGTAGATAAAAATCAGGCGCGGGGCGCATTCTCCAAATTTTCCGAATTGTTCAGTCATCAATAACCGAAATTGGTATTTGAATACAAATTGGTATTTCTAGCTGAGACTTCTTACACTCATTATGCGTTGACCCTTGCCATGACTCTGAGCATCGAAAAAGTGTAGTGAGTCTAGTAACCGTTCTCTGGACCATATTAAAAATTCTGAATTTGAGGAGAGAACTTATCATGCCAGGCCGGCATTAAGGACCCCCGTCAACACATTTCCTCAAAAATCTAAAATTTCAAAACAGCCATATTTTGGCTTCTTAGTGTGCCTGGAAATTTAATGCATCACGAAAACTTGTCCTGAGCAATTTTTGACCAATAAAAATCTTAAATTTTAGCAAAATTTGGACTTTTTTGTCAATTTTTATTAAAAAGGCAAATTTTCAAAGGCGATTTTGAGGGAGTTAGAGTCGAGATAGACCCCCAAAAAATGCAGCCTTAAAATCGTTTTTTGACCCGTAGAATCTATTTCCGGGGTAAAATTATGAAATTCCGATTTTAGATTTTTCGAAAATTGTTGACGGGGGGTCCATAAATATTTATTATGATTAGAACTAGAGACGTACGGAATAAGTATTGCAATTTTATGCTCAACAAGTGTTTTTAATACAGTTTATTCTCAATCATTAGACCCGAAAATTCGGAAATCGGCACTTGAATTTTTTATCGATTTTCAAGTCCCATCTTTCGAAATGGCTCGTGACCAGGTGCGTTGAAAAGCTGAGCGTCTGAGTTTTTAAAGATTAAAAAATTTAGATTTTTAGAAATTAGATTTTAGAAATTAGATTTTCCCTGCCTCATCGCCGCAAGAGGCGCTCAAAAATCGTATGAAATCCTGGATTAGAGGCACAAACAATATTTCAACTAACAAAGTTATCTTTTATCAGCAACTTTGGTATCGGCTTCCTGCTACGATGGTCAGAACGGTGGATGCTCACATTACTGTACTGGCGATGGATAGGCTACCCGCATCAAAAATTTTTTGCAGGTTCTTTGGATAAGTGCGAGAATTATTTTTTCCTTTTTTCTTAAGGTTGTGACTAGAGCAGGGTTCGAAATCCGCGGAAAACCCCTGCTCTCTGTTCACTCTAGAGTGTTCACTCGTGTTCAAGATCAAACTCTGTCCGAAATCGAAAAAAAAATCTTTTTCGCGAATTTTTAAAATCAAACTAAATTTATTTGAAGTTAATGAGCACAATTTATTTTCAAAAGAGACGTTTTACGTAGTAAGAGGATAAAAATCGTCTCTTCCGATAAATCATAGATTTAAATGAATTCTCGTCATATTTTTTTGCAAAAATACATTCTAGAACGAAGTTGATGCTTTTTCACTACAATTTTCTGCTGAGTTTTAGAGTCGATAATAACAAATTTGGCTCTAAAATTCGAAAAGCTGCGAATGAGCGCGAGCGAGCGATTGAACGCTCATGCTCGCTCACAAAAAAAATCAAAAGGGTCTACTCGCGCTCACTCAGTTATGTTAAAAATATGAGGGCCTCTGCCCGCGCTTACTCGCTCACGAGAGTTTTTACCACTATTGAAACACTGCGTCAACGCCAAGGCAGCTGCACGTGACTGCCAACCCTTTAAAAATGTAGCTGCCACTTCCAAGTGGTGTCGAACTCTGGTCCAAAGAACCTGGAAAAAATGATGCGGGAAGCCTTGCGGTTGAGTATGCTCGTGTCCTGATTGTTGGGTTCTTGGTGAGATTCCATTCTTCCCACTAGCGATTAAACAAGCCCTATAATTAAGATAGTTCCAATAAAACATGCACCATCTCGCCTGGAAAGGCAAACATCACGTGTTCTGCAGAAGGCTTTTCGATTTCAATGGATGAATGTCTCGTTTCCGGCGTTGATACAGCGGCTATTCATCTCAACGATATGAACTGTTTCGCTGTCCAAAACGAAACGAATTTCATAATTGAAAGCTCTTGGGCCAACGGCTGCGGCGCTGTGTCTTCGTTCGAAGACGACGTGTTTGTTTTTTCCAATACTCTTCATTTTGGAAGAGTAATTTCAAATGGAATCGTTATTGGTCGAAGTGCTGCCATAGCTTTCAGCTGTAAATTTAACAGCATTGCCTCCGTCGTCAGCAGCTACAAATCAAACAACGCTCCATCCTCAGTGACATTCAGTGCTGGCGATGATAACTATAATGTGATTGATCTTGCGACAACATTTAATTTCTATAAGACAGCAGCTTATCAAGAAACTGTCGATTATAATACCCATCAAACTGCTGTTGGAAACACTCTCTATGCACAGGACTGAGGTGTCTTTTTCAGTGCGAATAGTTTATAGGCGATTTAAAATTTCTGCTTCCAAAAATTTATACCGATATTAGAGTTGAAGACATCTCAAGTCAGATAAGTTCCTCCGCAATGATTCCTGACACCTCGATCATCGTTAAAAATTGTTCTGTGTCAGATGATGCCATTGCTAGCTCAAGTGTCTCTTTGGTCGAAAACAGTTGCCCGATCGAGAGCGTTCTAGATGTCACCTTGAAGGAATCGAATGATTCCGCTGCTCGAATCGAATACAAAAGTTTTATTTTTCCAGAAAGCGCTGATTCTGCCAGTATGACAATTACTTGCGATGTATGTTCAAAATTATATTATATTATATAATATTATTTTTTAAGGTCCAGTTTTGCAATTCAAACGACTTTGATTGCTTGGGTGGATGCAACGGACCGGTAGATTTTTTAATATTTCAGGATTATTATTTTTGTTGTAAGCGTGATACGAATATGGTTATTTTGCTACCACAAATGGCTGATTCTTATCGTATATCCGGCGATGGAAAAACAAAAACATCTGTAACCATTGACGCACCAACTGATAATTATGCGTTTAAACGCATGCACGCTATAATTAAGGGAGATCTTTATATTTTCGGGGGACCTCTTTCTACCGGTAGTTATCGCAAGGTAAATTTAATTTGTCCTCAAGATATGGCATGGCTTTTTAAGATTGCTAGGATGGACGGATGTTCTATCACAGAGACAATTTTTGAAACGTTGAATGGTTATACTTACCGATCTGCGAGTTTAGCGATCGATAACGGAGAAAAAGGTAAGGAATACACATACTCTACTACTTATGTTTAGCATTAATATGTTTCCCGGTCGGGAATGTCAATGGACAAGAATGCGAGATTTTCGATACAACAAGTTCAACAGCTACTCATTCCTCGCAATATGCTCATTGGGACGGTCGTCTTGCATTTTATAAAGGAAAACCTCTTAGCGTCAGCGGCAGGGAAACATTGAATGGAAAAACCACTTATTTGAAGATCGAGACGTTTTCAGAATTGAGCGGATGGGAAACTCTTTCAGTGAATTCACCGAGGTAAAATGCAGAGTAACTGAATAGCGCCGCCTTGCGCCGCCCAGTGCCGCTCGATACTGCTGTTATCGAAGATTTTCGGCGTTTCAATTAATTTTTTTTTGTTTTCTCATCAAAACTCTTGTTCTCATTCAAATAGTCTCACCATCAGAAAATAGAAAACTAATCTCTTAGACGCGTATTATTTTAGGTTGGGAACAAATAAATTTCGACTGGAAAAAGATCAAGGGGAGGTTAAGGGCGCAAATTGATCCTAAGATAAAATAAAAATTTCGCACCGCATTAGATTTTCAATTTCGGTACCAAACTTCTGGTATTTAAATATGGTACCAATTTTTGTCGTCGTATCGCTACCAAAAAAGTTGCCAGAAAATTTCATGAAGACTAGTACTGTAGTGCTTATTCTATGCAGTATGACTTTTGCACTATTTAACAATAGTAAGCGAGCTTGCCCTTGGCGTGCTAAGTGCGCACGTGACTAAGGAGGAGCAAGCGAGCGCACGTGACGCAGCGCGCAGAAAACCAAAAATTTCGTTTTCAACGAAATCGCTGAATAATAACCGCGCTCGTGGAAATACGCCGATTCCGTCGTTGCACTCCCAGAGATAAATTTGAGTGTCAATAAACAACGAGATAAAAACTTTTGTTTCCTTTTTCTCTGTCACTTGCAAAATAGAAGCAAGCAGTACAAATTGGTGACTGATACAAACGGCGAGAATTTACAGCAAAACTACTGTAAATTACGATTCCCCGAGCACGATCGAAGAGAGCTGCTAAAAACGATTTTCCTGACTATTCAAAGGACAGCTATAAGGTCCTTTATAAATTATATCCAGGGTAAACCTAAGCAAGCGGAGTTTAACCATAAGTTGAACCACCGACAGGTGAACCTTTAGGATTGATTTTCGCACATAAAATCGGACCTTCTGAGCGCTTCAACAATGAGTAATACTTATTTCAAACTTGTTGTCGATCTGAGCAGAACGGAGCTCATGAAAATTTACGATTCACTGGATGGGCGAATCTTCCCAACCCCTATTCCGATAAGTGATAAAGCTTCCGTCGCTGCGAATATCCTTAATTTAACGAGTCTGTCCTTGCTCGCGGAAAGAAATACTTTTCCAAGAAAAACGCCAAAGGTACTGTTCAATATCTACCCACCTTTGCCGCGGATCACCCAAATGAAGCAGATTGGGTTGAACAAAAATATGCGAAACGCCACCACCGACTGGACCTCGAGCGAATTAAGACATCGAAAGCAGCAAAAGATATTGATTCACTGATGGGAAACCTACCCGCCATGGATAGCGAGATCGAAGACGAGCTAGATCTGTCCGATGAGGAATCTGAGAACGAGGCTGATGTGACTGTTATTCCAGAAACACAGAACTCGGAGAATGGCCTGAATATCAAGAAGGAAAAAACAGAGTCTAAGCCACGTGTTAAAAAACCGAAGCCAACAGCGAAGTCAGCTCCTACAATGTTGAAGAAAGTGTCAACTCCATCAACGTTGAAAGTAAAGCCGCCGAAATTTGATGAAACCATACCAATCTCTTCCTGGCTTAAAAATCTCGATATTTACGCCCGCTGCTCCAGATTGAAAGACAACGAGGTAATAACAGTGGCACTTACGACACTTCTGAACGAGTCAGAAGGCAGTCATATCATCGAGAGCCTGGAAGAAGAGGACCTTAACGATTGGAGAGAATTCAAACTGCGACTAACAGCGATGCTTGGTAAAACCGCCGACTATTACAAAAATGAGTTCAAAACCTACAACCGCGGATCCGACAGCTTCGGAATGTGTCTTAGCAAATTGATCAGTCTTTACAAACAGGGATACGGTCTGAAAAATCTTGGAGAAAACGACGACTTTTGATCATAGAGCGATTTGCTGAAGCTCAGGATCAGAAAATCCGCGAACTGCTTATGCGAGAGAAATCAGCGTTAACGATTGAGAATATTGCAACAAGAGCCAATGAGATCGAAAATGCTATCCCAAAACGCGATATCAACTTCAGTATCAAAACTGAAGAAAGAAACGAGATGTTCCGAGAGTTTGTGAACCAAATTAAAGAAATGATTCGTGCAAATCGAAGTGATGAGAGAAGAATCACTGAAAAAATCAACCCGTAAAAACTGGAAGGATACTGCATCAACTTCATCAACAATCGCAATTGCAGATTTAAAGATGACTGCAAATATCTTCACTCCGAAAATGCGCCTAGAAGAGTTATTGACTACGTTTCTCAACTGAAGAAGACGCAGTTGTAAAAATGTACTCAAACTCTTCTGTGATCGTATAAATCGATCACAGACAGAAAATGAGTTTATCAAATAAAACGAGAAAAACAAATTCAAAAAAAAAGGAGAAGAGAAGAGATAAATAAATCGTCGAGTTACCCTATGAGAGGGACAACCAATTTTTTCGAATCGTCATTCTGCAGCCATCTCAAAAGCTGTAAGAAAACCATTTCGAAACAATTACGAGCATCCAAAAAGAGCAATCAAAACGATAACTAAGAGGGAGAAGTTATTCCACCGAGAAATTTATACGAAAACTAAAAGAATGTAAAACGAGACCTTCTCGAGTCCTTACAGCTTAAAAATAGCTGACTGTATGCTGGAAGACCATCACCACCCGAGAGAGAATGAGATCGAGCGAGAACCGTGCCATGGACCTCGTATAATCCATGTTATCAAATGGCGTGTTAGTTTCAACGCAGAGGGAACCTGCTTATCAAACCCAGCCTTGGCCCGCACAGCTACCCTGATGGCTACTGGACTTCTGGACCTCTATTTATATGTGACATTTGTGCCCACCGCGCGCACCTGGGCTCGAATCTCTCCATATGATATGTTTAATGACGAAAGTAGAAGCAAAAATCGCCTGCTTCGCGTACAGCTTAGTTTATCAAAAACAAAATAATCAAATTCAAATATCAAGAGCCAACACAATTTAACGCGGTCTGTGGAGAACTGATGACAAAAACGATCCGTTGAAAAATGTGTGCAAAAGTCATAAATTTAGAAGGGAAGGATTTGTAGTGCATATTCTATGCAGTATGACTTTTGCACTATTTAAGAATAGTAAGCGAGCTTGCCCTTGGCGTGCTAAGTGCGCACGTGACTGAGGAGGAGCAAGCGAGCGCAAGTGACGCAGCGCGCAGAAACCAAAAATTTCGTTTTCAACGAAATTGCTGAAAAATAACTGCGCTCGTGGAAATCCGCCAATTCCGTCGTTTGCAACGGAATTCTTGGAAAATAACGAAAATCACGGAAATCAACCAAATTGACGGGATAAGAATATAAACTGTTCACTGTTCACACTTTTTCACTCACTACTCACTACACAACTTCACTAACACTCCCAGAGATAAATTTGAGTGTCAATAAACAACGAGATAAAAACTTTTGTTTCCTTTTTCTCTGTCACTTGCAAAATAGAAGCAAGCAGTACAGTACCAAAAACAAACTAGAGAAAGTTCTTATTTTCATTTGACAGCGCTCTGAAATCACGGCTTATGGTCGATTTTGAGCAATTTTGAGGAAAATCAACGTCCGGTTATTCGGGTCGGTAGTAACGAAGTACTGATATTTTGGTACTAGTTTTCATGAAATTTTCTGGCGATCTATTTGGTACTAGTTTGGTACCAATACGACGACAAAAATTGGTACCGAATTTTAATACCGGAAGATTGGTACCGATATTCAAAAATGCGGTGGGAAATTTTAATTTTTTCTGAGGATCAATTTGCGTCCTTAACCTCCCCTTGATTTTGTTCCGGTCGAAAGTTATAAGTTCCCAACCTAAAAAAACGCGTCTTAGATAGTCAGTAGCGGGAGATCAAATTATCTTCAGATTTAGGAATTAAATCAACAATCTATTAAGCACGCGACGGGCCAGAGTCCCTTACGCGCGCATCTTCTGGTCCAGAACTCATTAGATTTCCGGTACCGAATTCTTGTTCTTGTTCCGAACACTTTGTTTGGTCATGATTTGTCAGAAGAGACCCGGTTTGTACCAGACCGGGCGGCGCTATTCAGTACCCCCCAAAAATGGGTTTCTCTCTTAGATCAAAATTCTCTGTATAAATTTTATTTTTTTGAAGACAAGATTTTCGGATATGTTTCGAAATTGAACTCTCGATAACAACTAAACAGACTTCACAGACAAGTCGAAATGGTATTTTTCGAGTTTATATTCATTATTTTAAAAGAGACCTTTCGAATACTTTTTTAGGGATTTGATAGCTCCAAGTTTGATTGGACTGGAAAATGGGGCCTTGTTTATGGCTGGTGGATACGATCTGACTTTAATCGCAATCTCTAATGATATATGGATACTAAAAGATGAAGTTTGGACTCTCTCTTCATCTGCCTTGAAAAATGTAAAAATATTCTCCATCTATTCTTCATTATTTATATTTGTCTATTCTACATTTTTATATTTGTATTAAGCGAATGCGTTTCGGCTCAGCACTGAAAATTGGCAATTTCATATATCTCGCATATGGAGATGACGAAACAAATCTAATTTCAGTCGAAAGACTCGTGGTTATAAACGATGAAGTATTTTTGGATAGAATCATCGGAAGTCAAGCAACAAGCACAACTGATTTTCCATTCTACCCAATTATGTTTGAAGTTACTACTGACAATTATTTTTGCGATCAGCAAAATTTACCTCCAATATCCTGAGCACAACTTCCCATATTTTCTTTTATAGTCCAAAATAAACAAATACTTCGCCTTATTTATCTTCATTTATACCTATATGGTATCTTATCGTTTTCAAGCCGATGTTCGGATTTATCTTGATAATTGCAGACCTCTTTTTGTTATGAGGCATGCACTATTTGGCATGGTTCCTTTATATACAGTTAACAATGGAATTTTTGGACATTTTTTGTCCCAAGATTTTCGCAAAAATGTCCAAAAATTTGATGCATGCTGTCAAAAAAATGACCCATCCAAATCGCTTAAAAAATTTTTTTTGAGGAAAATCTCCATCATCCTCTGTTTCATGCTTCTTCTAAAGACAAAAAATTTTCGAGGGGTATGAGATCAACCTTAAATCTCATCATTATCAAAGAAAAAGTAAGATTTTCGATATGAAAAAACGCCATATCTGACAAAAACGGAAAATTAAAAATTTTGGCGCAGAAAATGTCCAAAAATTTGATTCAGGCACTTTTGAAAAGTGTCCCAGAAAAACCCTTAAAATTGCAAAAATGTCCAAAAATTTGATGTCCAAAAATTCCATAAAAAACTGTAATAACTCTCTCTTTCTCGCAAGAACATTTTTTTGGAAAGTTTCAAACAGCCCTATTTTGGCTACTTAGTGTGCCTCAAATTTCAATTCATCATTTTATTTTGTTTGGAGCACTTTTATTCAGTGTGAATATATTAAATTTATTGCAGAGTTTTTTACGACATGAGCCATCTAAAATAACGATCTAAAATATTTCGGCGATATATTTCAAAATTGAATTTTGCGTAAGATTGAAAAGGAAAACATGATACAGAAGCATGAAAAAGCAAAAAAAATATGATAATTGAATTTTGATCATTTTACGTTTAGAACCTTTTAAACATTTTTGTTTTATAATGGTTTTGCAACCTATGCAAATAAGTGAACACAAGGGAAATATACGGACAACTGAGCGAAGTTGGCTGTGTATAAAAAATATTAAAGTTTTTGAGCTTTTATTTATCTTATCTCAATAGGCGTAAAAAAAAGAATGGTTGGTAGGGTTAACAGTGACTCTTTATATAGATTTTAGGTTCCATGTAATCTTCTAGTTGACAGGTAGAGAAGAGTATTATGCCGGTGGCGGAACGTAGTTGGTTGGTGACGGAGCGTGTCATAAAACCTGAGTTAGGGCATTTTTATTAAATAATCTTAAATAATCTAAAAATATTCTTTCAAATTTTATGACAAATTAAAGTTTTAAACGTTTTTCTCAAGCAAAATTGACAAAAACGAATAAATTAAAAAATGGGTTAAAATGTTGAGGGTGTTCTTGGGTTAAGCGAGGGCCGCTTTGATAAACATGATCAGTACCCCCCAGGCTATCACCCAAAAAATTTGAGCGTGTGCGGCAGTCGTCACGTGACAGCGCCTGACCCTAATGTATACCATTACTAGGGATTCTCACGGGAAAACTGCGCGCCGATTTACGGAGAAAATAAAAGTTGAAATGGATAAGTCACTAACCGGGCATACACTCGAGGCTCGACCCCCGCAGTCTGTATCGTTAACGTCACAGAATCGCACCTTGAAAATAATATTTTTAATATTTGAATTTCTAATGTGCTCTAAAAAATTCATGCTTATTTGCATTATTAATTTTAGTGTTGAAAATGATTGAAGCAATTTTAAAGCAAAAAGATTTCTTGAATTAATTGACTGACATTTTCTGATTTTTTAATCAACACAGCTCGTACCGCTTTTTCAAAAATCTGAAGTTCTTATACTCATTCAGAACTTTATTTATAAATTTCGTGTAATTATATTTGCACTGTTTTCAAGTGAGCAAGAAAGAACAGAAAAACTTTGAGTTTTTAGAAAAAAAAAATTTGGTTACAAAATATTAGAAGAAAAAGGGGAAGAATTCAACGACAAAAGGGGAGATTTGAAAGAGCGGCAAAAGTTCGGTTGGCATGGTCCCAATAAAATACTTACATCACAAGAAATTGTCATACTGGCGGAATCAGAGCTTTCTGGGAAGAGGAAACTTTTGTAATTGAAGAACACAGACGTCTCATTTGAATCTCCCCACTTAAAGTTCAGGATGCTACCAACGGGGCAATGGTTTTCAAGCAAGGCAACACTGGAATTTGCAATGGCATCATCGGAAATAGAGCAATTTTGGACGACAAATTTTGTGTCAGGGATCATATCTGGAGCGCTGATCTGACGAGTGTTTTTTAATTTGTACATGAAAGCTACATTTTACATGTAGAAGTTATTTCACCAATATAAATTTCGGACTACAGTGGTATGACCGCACCCCTACGATTTTTAAAAATTACACAGTAAATTTCAAAAACTCTATTTATTGTATTTTTCCCTAATAGAAAATGGCGTGAAAATTTAATTACTGGAAACAGAAATCGAATATCATATCTGAATCAAAAGATATGAATTTTGAAAGGCGAAAAATAGGGGTGCGGAAACCGCTCATACCACTGTAGGGAAAAACAAAAAAGCGGTGAAACCTGATTTGATGGAAAAAATCCGAATTTACGGGTGAATAAGAAAGGTTGAAATAACTCATCAGAAAAAAATATGGTCAGGAAAAATTTGCGAAAAATGGTTATTTTTAAGAATTTAAAAGAATCTCGGGTCGAAGATGAACAAGTGGATCCTTTTTCTTATACAACAATCATTTTATAAATAAGATTTCATCTGAAAGAATTTGACCAAGAAAATTTGAGATATGAATTTAAATTAAACAACACTGGTCTGAGCATACAAAGTATTTCCAACAGCAGTTTGATGATTTGAGTAATTAACAGGCTTCGAATATTCCCCTGACTCATAAAAGTTCAAATACACATCAAAGTCGAGAACATCGTTATTGTCAATTCCTGCATTAAAAGAAACTGACGAAACTTCATTGTTTGAATTATAGTTGCCTATTGAAGAGGCGTGACTGTTGAATTTACAACTGAAATCGACGGCAGCGCCTCGGCCAACAACAACGCTATTTATAATACTTCTTCCAATGTTAAGAGTATTTGAAAACGTGAAAATTTCGTTTTCAAGGGACTGGGTTGCGCCACATCCGCCAACAGATGAGCTCACAATTTTCCAACTCGTTTCGTTTCCGTCAAAAGCAGTGCAATGAGGGTCATTGAGATGGATGTCCATAGCATTTACGCCGGGTGTAACACACTTGTCGATTAAAATAGAAGTGCCTGTCGGTGTACACGTGATTTCCGCTTTTCCACCCTCGATGATACATGTTCTATTTGAGGAATCTTCAAACATTATAATTTGAGGCGAAAAAGAATAATATTACCAAGAGTCCAACAGGCTGGACATGAACAAACGCCGTCGCCACTGCAATAATGAGAGCATCCTCCATTTAAACCATTATAACAGCTTCCTAAAATCTCTGATATAAATACAAGGAGTCTTTAGAAATTGATTTTTTTAAATTATTCACGGGAAGTCATAATCAGACGAGTCTGACTGCATTTTTAATTTTAAAACTCTACTTAGCTTATTTAAAAAATAATTAATATCCGTTAAATTAATTTTGATAAAGAGGTAATAAAAATAAATAAATAGCTGATAACCATCGCAGGTGAACGATCCCAGAGAATTCTTGCACGTCTCGGTTTGATCATCGCAAGTGTGTAAGCCATCGACACACTCGTTTACGTCCACACAAACGTTATTTTCATCATGAGCGTAACCAACGGAGCAATCGCAGTTGAAGGATCCAGGAATATTTACGCAAGTTTCGCTTGATTCGTCACAATTATGCGTGTCATTAGAGCACTCATCGATATCCGTACAAACGTCGCTTTCGTTCCGGAAATAGCCAGAAGAACATTCGCATGTATAAAGTCCAATCTCGTTCAGGCAATTTTCTGTTGTTTCACTACAATTATGAGTCCCGATCGCGCATTCATTAATGTCCACACATAAGTCATTTTCATTTTTTTCGTAACGGACAGAGCAATCACAAGTAAATGAGCCTTGAGTATTTGAGCAAGTTTCGCTCGGAACAGCACAGTCGTGGGTTTCATTAATGCATTCATTCATATCCTTGCAAGTTCCGTCATTGTCAAAATCGAAGCCTTTAGAGCATTCACAAACGAAGGAACCATCAATATTTACGCATGTTTCTGATATTTGTTCGCAATTGTGTGCCTCAGTAGAGCATTCATCAATATCCTCACAAATTTTTTGATTATTAAAAGCATAACCAACACTGCAGTGACAACTAAACGAGCCTTCATGGTTTTCGCAATCTTCATTGACATCACATGGGGACGAGGCGCATTCGTCTATGTCTTGACAATTGCCGGCTGTACCAGAAAAGCCTTCTTGACAACTGCAACTAAATGATCCAAAACTGTTTGTACAATTTTCCTTTGTTGAATCACATAGATGCGTTCCAAGCGCGCATTCATTTTCGTCTAAACATGTGATCCCATATTTGTAGAATCCTTCCTTGCAATTGCATTCATAGCTTCCAACAGTATTTGCACATTTTTCTGTTGAAGCGCTACAAGTGTGCGCGCCATTTTCACATTCATTTATGTGGGGGATCTTCACCAATTGGCAATTAGTTCCAGCACTTAAAGCAGTCATACAAATCGGATGATATTCTTGCTTTGATTGTTCTGGCGTTGGGGACCATGTACAGGTTATCCATCGAGTTTTTGTTCCAGTTTTTGAAGTACAACTCATTCCTTTTGGTCCAGATAGATTATATCCATTTGAAGACAGGATTGGTAGAGTTGGCAGATTGGTTGAAACTATTCTCCATTTTTTTTCGATTTCTAATCCTTCTGTGTATCCAGTTGTTTCGACAACTCCATGCTCAGGATAAATTGAGCCTGAGGTACTGTGATAATACATGTGGCAAGCATCAAATGCAATATCCATAGAAACTCTGTACGCTGTGAACTGAAGAGGCACTGAATGCCTTAAAACATTTACTAAAATAGAAACGCTC